TGGAAGTTATGCGTCCTTTTCAGTACTCTAAATGCCCTGTTCCTTATCCTCACCATTACCCCACATTCATCCGTCCACCATGGGACTGCTTTCCTCCTCCCTGAACTCTTAGGTATAGCCTCAGTAGCTGCCCCCACTAACGCTGTTCTCACCCAGTTATTCATACTATCTACATCCCCTCTCATATCCACCCGAGCCGTCACCTGCTCACTCAGCTCCTGAAACTGATCCCACTTTGCCCTTCCAAACACCCACCTGCCTGCTCCATCCACTAACACCTCCTCCTCCCTCCGGCCTACTGTGCATACTATGGGGTAATGATCCCTCCCTACTGTCGACTCCTCCCATACCTCCCACTCACATATCCATCGCACTAGATACCAGAGTGAGGTCCAAGGCATACTCTTTCCCTGTGGCTACATAAATCCTGGACCCTCGGCCATCATTCAGGCACACCAGATCTTTCTTTTCTATCAAATTTTCCATCACTTGGCCATTTCCATCCATCCGTTCCCCCCCCCCCCCCCCCCCCCCAAAGTGTGTTGTGGGCGTTAAAATCCCACACCACATTACCTTACTTCTTTCCTGGCCCTCCACCCTCTCCAGCACTTCCATTTCCAATATCTGACACAGATTATAGTAATTCACTACCACCGCTCCTCTCAACCACACCTCCACCACATAATCCTGTTCAATACCTTTGCCTATCATCTTGTAGGGAATTCCTTGCTTTATGAAGGTGGCACATCCCCCCCCCTATACAGTGGGGAGAACAAGTATTTGATACACTGCCGATTTTGCAGGTTTTCCTACTTACAAAGCATGTAGAGGTCTGTAATTTTTTATCATAGGTACACTTCAACTGTGAGAGACGGAATCTAAAACAAAAATCCAGAAAATCACATTGTATGATTTTTAAGTAATTCATTTGCATTTTATTGCATGACATAAGTATTTGATCACCTACCAACCAGTAAGAATTCCGGCTCTCACAGACCTGTTAGTTTTTCTTTAAGAAGCCCTCCTGTTCTCCACTCATTACCTGTATTAACTGCACCTGTTTGAACTTGTTACCTGTATAAAAGACACCTGTCCACACACTCAATCAAACAGACTCCAACCTCTCCACAATGGTCAAGACCAGAGAGCTGTGTAAGGACATCAGGGATAAAATTGTAGACCTGCACAAGGCTGGGATGGGCTACAGGACAATAGGCAAGCAGCTTGGTGAGAAGGCAACAACTGTTGGCGCAATTATTAGAAAATGGAAGAAGTTCAAGATGACGGTCAATCATCCTCGGTCTGGGGCTCCATGCAAGATCTCTCCTTGTGGGGCATCAATGATCATGAGGAAGGTGAGGGATCAGCCCACAACTACACGGCAGGACCTGGTCAATGACCTGAAGAGAGCTGGGATCACAGTCTCAAAGAAAACCATTAGTAACACACTACGCCGTCATGGATTAAAATCCTGCAGTGCACACAAGGTCCCCCTGCTCAAGCCAGCGCATGTCCAGGCCCGTCTGAAGTTTGCCAATGACCATCTGGATGATCCAGAGGAGGAATGGGAGAAGGTCATGTGGTCTGATGAGACAAAAATAGAGCTTTTTGGTCTAAACTCCACTCGCCGTGTTTGGAGGAAGAAGAAGGATGAGTACAACCCCAAGAACACCATCCCAACCGTGAAGCATGGAGGTGGAAACATCATTCTTTGGGGATGCTTTTCTGCAAAGGGGACAGGACGACTGCACCGTATTGAGGGGAGGATGGATGGGGCCATGTATCGCGAGATCTTGGCCAACAACCTCCTTCCCTCAGTAAGAGCATTGAAGATGGGTCGTGGCTGGGTCTTCCAGCATGACAACGACCTGAAACACACAGCCAGGGCAACTAAGGAGTGGCTCCGTAAGAAGCATCTCAAGGTCCTGGAGTGGCCTAGCCAGTCTCCAGACCTGAACCCAATAGAAAATATTTGGAGGGAGCTGAAAGTCTGTATTGCCCAGCGACAGCCCCGAAACCTGAAGGATCTGGAGAAGGTCTGTATGGAGGAGTGGGCCAAAATCCCTGCTGCAGTGTGTGCAAACCTGGTCAAGACCTACAGGAAACGTATGATCTCTGTAATTGCAAACAAAGGTTTCTGTACCAAATATTAAGTTCTGCTTTTCTGATGTATCAAATACTTATATCATGCAATAAAATGCAAATTAATTACTTAAATCATACAATGTGATTTTCTGGATTTTTGTTTTAGATTCCGTCTCTCACAGTTAAAGTGTACCTATGATAAAAATTACAGACCTCTACATGCTTTGTAAGTAGGAAAACCTGCAAAATCGGCAGTGTATCAAATACTTGTTCTCCCCACTGTATATCGGTCCCTACGAACCACTACATATCCCTGTATGATAAACTCCACATTCGGTTTGAGCCATGTTTCCTGCACACATTTTACATTTACATTTTCGTCATTTAGCAGACGCTCTTATCCAGAGCGACTTACAAATTGGTGCATTCACCTTATGATAGCCAGTGGGACAACCACTTTACAAAAGTTTTTTTTTTGGGGGGTGGGGTAAGGGAGGGGTAGAAGGATTAATTTATCCTATCCCAGGTATTCCTTAAAGAGGTGGGGTTTCAAGTGTCTCCGGAAGGTGGTGAGTGACTCCGCTGTCCTGGCGTCGTGAGGGTGCTTGTTCCACCATTGGGGTGCCAGAGCAGCGAACAGTTTTGACTGGGCTGAGCGGGGCACACAAATCACATCAGGCTTAGCTAGCATATCAACATTGAACTGCTTGAATTCCTGCCCATTCACCAACAGGCTTCGAGCATGCCATTGTAGTATTAGCACCATAACTAAGATCCAGTAATACATGACTCCACCATTGGCTGATTGAGGTCATCTCGAACCTCTTCCCATGTCAACCCTGTTATACTCAAATGTCTCCCAGCAGCCTTCACTATTAGTTTAATCCTCTCCGTTTTAGACTCTCCTTTAGCAGTGCTATTGATAGCTCCTGCTATGAACGTCACCAGCTTTCTCTTTTCTATGTATACCATATCGCTGCACATCTGCCCCGTAATCCCCAGTCTAGATGCTCCTACCCATCTCTCCCTTGAACCTGTATCTCCCTGGACCTGGACCACCCTCACTGCCTCAGCATATGACACCCTTCTCTCCTGGACCACCCTCACTGCCTCAGCATGACACCCTTCTCTCCACTCTCACTTGTTGCACCTCTACTGCCTTCTTCATAGCCTCATACCCACTATATGCCACACTATGAGCACCCCCACAGTTGCAGCACTTTGGTTGTACACCATCTCCACACTTCCTATACTCATGCTCCCCTCCACACCTGGCACACCTCTTTTTGTCTTTACAGACTGTTGCCGCATGCCCAAACCTCTGGCATTTATAACATCTTAAAGGCTTCGGTACATAAGCCCTCACATAATAACTCATATATCCTATTGTTACCTTATTTGGCAGTACCCAGTCCTTGAATTGTAACAGAATAGACGTGCTATCTACCCTAACTCCACCCCTTGTTGCTTGCAATCTTTGAACATTCACTAGAACGCCTCCTCTCAAATTGTCCCTTACCTCATTAATGCTAACACTCACAGGCACTCCTGTTATCACCCCTTTACTCCACTGCTTCCCTGCTTGATCAGTTCAGCTGCTCGACTTCACCTTACACTTCCCTATTTGCTTCACTCCGATAGCTTTTTCCCTCTGCGCCATGTCCTTACAGAACACCAACAATCTCCCATCTCTTAACACTTTAGCATTAACAACTTCCCCAATCAACTATTTTATCACAGCCGTCAACCTTTTCGGACTCATCGCCCCAACTCCCCCTTCCTCCCTAAACTTCATAATCACTTTATGCTCCTCCTCACCTCCATGTTCCTCTCGTGTCTTATCTTGCCCTTCCTCTGCACTTTCTACCTCCGAACTTCCACTAGCGTTGGAAGCTAGGTTGCTCTCCTCAAACTTCCTTTTCTGGCTCCTCTCTACCTCCATAGACCTATCGCTCCCCTTCATACCCCTACTCCCTTTCTTTTTCTCTTTCTTACTCCCTCCTTTATTTGTACCACTATGTTCCATACTTGCTTCACTTTCCTCTCCATCACTATCTCCTACCATCTCTGACCCATTCACAGCACGACCGTGCCGAACCTCCGCCACACCGAGTAAAGTTTGTTTGTTTTTCAACGATTTCAAAAATCCCTCTCGATTCACAACCGTCTATCGTGGTTCGTCGCCCAAACCAACTTCCGCCTACCCTTTCCGGTCCCAGAATCAGACGTAGCCAATCAATGAATGATTTTCACGACGTGCACTATCTTCTTCTTCTTTGGTTTGACGTCAAGCTATTAGCTTCCCAACGACATGTTTATTGTTCGAGCAGCAGGATTATGTCCTAAACTAGTGTTTAGGTTTGACTAGTCCAATCACCCCATAGTTATCTGTTCCTAATATATAAATTGCCATTTGCAGGCAAGTATTGCACGAGAAGGACAAATCAGCTCACGAGGTAAGTAACTTAAACTAAAATCCCAGATGGTCTAACTCGCTAGCTAGCTGTGCTAACAGCCTCTAAAATATTTACCATCATTGGGAAATGATTATTTAAAAGTACTAATATACATGACCCTTTACTGTTACTAGACAAAGTACTCCCAATTTCAATAATATGCATGAATATATCTCAAAGCTTGCCTCAGACAGTACTAGTAGTAGGATAGCTAACGTTAGCTAGTTAGCTTTTTACGTCATCAAGTTCCTCCTTTTCTTGTTTGTCAGCTAACGGGTAAATGCCGGCAGCAGCCATGATTGATTTGTATAATTGATCTCTTATAGGGGCCACACTGACAACCAGGGAAGTATCTTACAGGCAGAGCCACACCATCTGGCACCACCATCACAATAATAGGCTAGTTGATTACATAAGCATCACTTAGGACAGCCGCATCAGCGGGCAACTACAACAAAGATGGGGAACAGTGCAATCAAAGCCCATCTGGAAAACTCGCAGAAGACCGGGATCTTTCAGCTGACAGGGAAAGGTCTCCCCGAGGTAGGAGGGACACACACACAGAGCCTATTGTATAGTCTGCTTGTTAAAATGTCAGCACTCCACAGCAGTCTTAACTGGTCCTTCGTTTATTTAGCTGAATTCCATTCAGTTGTTATCTTGGGCAGTTTGAATGTATGTATACTGAACAAAAATAGAAACACAACATGTAAAGCGTTGGGCCTATGCTTCATGAACTGAAATACAATTCCACCAATTTGTTTACATCCCTGTTAGTGAAAATGTTTTGCCAAGATAATCCACCCACCTGACAGGTGTGGTATACCAAGAAGCTGATTAAACAGTATGATCATTACACAGGTGCACCTTGTGCTGGGGACAATAAAAGGCCACTCACACAACACAATGCCACAAATGTCTCATGTTTTGAGGGAGCGTGCAATTGGCATGCTTACTGCAGGAATGTCCACCAGAGCTGTTGCCAGAGAATTGAATGTTAATTTCTCTACCATAAGCTGCATCCAACGTCGTTTTAGAGAATTTGGCAGTACGTCCAACCGGCCTCACAACCGCAGACCACGTGTAACCATGCCAGCCCAGGACCTACACATCCGGCTTCATCACCTGCGGAATCATGAGGCCAGCCACTCGGACAGCTGATGAAACTGTGGATTTGCACAACTGAAGAATTTCTGCATAAACTGTCAGAAACCGACTCAGGGAAGCTCATCTGCGTGCTCGTCGTCATCACCAGGGTCGTAACCGACTTCAGTGGGAAAGTGCTCACCTTCGATGGCCACTGGCACGCTGGAGAAGTGTGTTCTTCACGGATGTTTCAACTGTACCTGGCAGATGGCAGACAGCGTGTATGGCGTGTGGGCGAGCGGCTTGCTGATGTCAACGTTGTGAACAGAGTGCCCCATGGTGGCGGTGGGGTTATGGTATGGGCAGGCAGAAGCTACGGACAACAAACACAATTGCATTTTATCGATGGCAATTTGAATGTATAGCGATACCCTGACGAGATCCTGAGGCCCATTGTTGTGCCATTCATCTGCCGCCATCACCTCATGTTTCAGCATGATAATGCACTGCCCCATTTCGCAGGGTCTGTACACAATTCCTGGAAACTTAAAAATGTCCCTGTTCTTTCATGGCTTGCATACCCACCAGACATGTCAACCATTGAGCATGTTTGGTATACTCTGGATCGACGTGTACAACAGCGGGTTCCAGTTCCCACCAATATCCAGCAACTTTGCACATCCATTGAAGAGGATTGGGACAACATTCCACAGGCCACAATCAACAGCCTGATCAACTCTATCTAAAGGAAATGTGTCGCACTGCATGAGGCAAATGGTGGTCAAACCAGATAAAGACTGGTTTCCTGATCCACGCCCCTACCTTTTTTTTAAAGGTACCTTATCTGTGACCAACAGGTGCATATCTGTATTTCCAGTCATGTGAAAGCCATAGATTAGGGCTTAATGAATTTATTTCAATTCACTGATTTCCTTATATGAACTGTAACTCAGTAAAATCTTTGAAGTTGTTGCATGTTGCGTTTATAGTTTTGTTCAGTGTATTTTTTTCCCCACTAATGTATTTCAGTTCCCCGAGGAGCTCCAGAGGTTGACTGGAAACCTACGGACTGTAGATCTGTCTTCCAACAAGATCGAAGTGCTGCCTGCCGCCATAGGAAACTTCCTTCAGATGAAGAGTCTGACTTTAAACTGTAATAAACTCAGTAAGTGGTTCCTACACCTCCTCGGCTTTTGTCTGATACTACAGCATCTGTAGATGACAAATTATTAACCCTTTGATTTCACTGAATAATTAATGTCCATTAGGTTAATTGATTATTGATGTGAATTCCTGTGCTTCAATCAGTCTCTTTTAGCTATGCTATACATTAAGTTGGTGTGTTTGTTTTGTGCGTACATAGCAAGTCTCCCAGATGAAATTGGGAAGCTTAAGAAACTAGAGACCCTTTTGCTGAACGGGAACCAACTGACGCAACTCCCTAGCACCGTAGGACAGTTGAAAGCATTGCGCACACTCAGCCTGTCTGGGAACAAGTTCCGGGAGTTTCCTGGCGGCCTCGGCTCCCTACGACACCTGGACGTCCTGGACCTGTCCAAGAACCACATCCAGGCTGTGCCTGCTGAGGTAGCGGCCCTGCAGGCCATTGAGATCAATCTCAACCAGAACCAGGTAATCAGGTGTTTATGGGTGCATCTCAAATGGCACCCTATTCCCTGTATAGTGCACTACTTTTAACCAGGGACCTAATCTAGAATCACATCTATGTAAATTATGATCCCAGATTTCAGTTGTGTCTGCGGAGGTGTCCACCTGCCAGAGGCTAAAGGTGCTGAGACTGGAGGAGAACTGTCTGGAGCTTGCCTCCATCCCTGTGTCCATCCTCACCAACTCCCAGGTGTCTCTGCTCTCTGTGGAGGGCAACCTGTTCGAGGTGAAGAATATGCGGGACCTGGAAGGGTATGAGAAGGTGAGTCGTGAAACAGATACTTGTTTCTTTAACTTGCTGCCAAATGAATGGTCAAGGTTAAAGCAAGGAACAGTCATGCTGCTGCACTAAATCACTAAGCTGTCTTTATATCTATTGTAAACAAAACCACTCATGAGATTCAAAGGCATTGGTTTGAAATATGTCTGTCCCCCCCCCCCCCCCCCCCCCCATCCCTTCCCATGGTTGACGTCATTTGTTTGTGAGCAGTGTGGAAACAAAATACTTTCCCCAGAGTGGTGGACCCAATAATGGGATTTCCTGTTCAACATAAGGAGGATCAAGTGAAGAAAGTTGTGGCTCAGTTAGCCATAATCCCTGCACTTGACATAATCAGCGGTCAAATATAGCCCCTGACACTAAATACATCTGACATTTCATTATGATATTACAGTGTTGAAATGTTGTGAAGCTTAAAATGACAATCGAATTTCATAATTAAGTTCTAATCTAATATGACCACTTGCTATTATAATAGCCAGAACTTGGACCACCCATTCAGTGCTTACTCAAATAGCTAATCTCTTCAGTTGTTATGCCGTCCGTAGTGTCCCAGATGTGACTGATGCCGATCTAATTTGTTTACCCAACAGTACATGGAGCGCTTCACTGCAACCAAGAAGAAGTTTGCCTGAAGAATAGAGAGAGGAGCGTCCCCCTGAGTGCAGCTTGTGCAGTACACACAAGCACCCTCCCTAGTGGTTGTCTTACTACAGTATATATGGCTTCTGCACTACAGCAACAGGTTACAACAGAGCACTGATTGAGAGCACGCTATGATCTGTGTATGACAGTAACAGGATACCATGGATGGTTATAGAGAACTATGTGAATAGTGGACGATAGACAGTGCATTCACTTACGATATTCATAGAAATTGCATCTTGAATACTAAGCTACTAATTTTTGACAAAAACCTAAGCAGGTTATACTTAAATAGTACAGTGGGCAAAAATGTCCCTCTACATACATTGGCTTTTAACTGCATCTAAATTATCAAACACTACAATTGTTGCAGAAGGCAAACTCCTCGGTTCAGTATCAGGTGGTGTTGTTTTGCCTGTCAGAGATAGCATTTGTCCCGTGACCAGCAAGCGAATGAAAACTGTAGTACAGATTTAACAGAATGTCAAAGCAGTGACAATTGCACTACATAGACCCAGAATGAGAGAATTATTTTAAAGCTCCTTTTTGCATTAAGGCTTACCCTGTGGATCTGGAATGGGATGTCACATTTGTTCTGTCGCTCTGGTCCAGAGTGTTTATTTTCAGCTGAGGAAGTCTCCGCATCAGCATGCCGCACATAACTCCTTGGACCAGAGCTAGATTTTCTGGTGCGAGAATGAAGAAAACCACAGCCTAAATGTAAACAAATCTATACTGAACAAAAATATAAATGATTTTATTGAGTTACAGTTCATATAAGGAAATCAATCAATTTAAATAAATTCATTAGGCCCTAATCTATGGATTTCACATGACTGGGCAGGGGCGCAGCCATGGGTGGGCCTGGGAGGGCATAGGCCCACCCACCCCTGGGGTGCCAGGCCCATCCAATCAGAAGGAGTTTTAAAGTTAAAGACAGAAATACTCCTCAGTTTCATCAGCTGTCTGGGTGGCTAGTCTCAGACGATCCCGCAGGTGAAGAAGCCGGATGTGGAGATCCTGGGCTGGCGTGGTTACACATGGATTGCAGTTGTGAGGCCGGTTGGACGTACTGCCAAATTCTCTAAAACAATGTTGGAGGCGGCTTATGGTAGAGAATTTAACATTCAATTATCTGGCAACAGCTCTGGTGGATATTCCTGCAGTCAGCATGCCAATTGCATGCTCCTTCAACTTGAAACATCTGTGGCATTGTGTTATGTGACAAAACTGCAGATTTTAGTGGCCTTTTATTGTCCCCAGCACAAAGTGAACCTGTGTAATGATCATGCCGTTTAATCAGCTTCTTGATATACCACACCTGTCAGGTGGATGGATTATCTTGGCAAAGGAGAAATGGTCACTAACAGTGCTGTAAACAAATTTGTGCACAAAATCTGAGAGAAATAAGCGCTTTGTGCGTATGGAAAATTTCAGGGATCTTTTATTTCAGCTCATGAAACATAGGACCAACACTTTACATGTTGCGTTTATATTTTTGTTCAGTATATTTGGCGCTTCGCAAGCATACTCTATTATTGCTTTTGAATGCTCAGTAGTTATATTATTTGGACTTGATTTGTATTGATGTATTATTTATTATCTTCAGTTGGTCTGTTGAACACATCCTTACTATTTTAGTAATTTAACTCAGTAAATAATGTCTACATTTAAGAAGTGTGTGTTATTGTATCAGATAAAAACCACAAAATAGGATAGACCTCCACTTTTCTAATTTTCACCCACAAAGTAGTGTTGACGGATCCTCTTCACATTGTTTTATCTGGCAAGGGCCTCTGCACCTTAACCTTTATTACTAGATTGAAGACAATCTCACAAATAGGATAATTCATATCCGTTTTCTAATCAGTGTTGCTGATCAATGGTGCACTTTCTGTGAAAGGAGGGGTTACATTAGGCTGTCATTAACAAGAAGTATAACTTATCGGGTGTATGTATGTAAGTTAATTTAATTGTAACAGAATACTCTCCATGAGTTGTATCAATATACTAACATGGATTTATGTAGAATTACTTAACTTTGTTTCATTTTAATGCTTTTATTATTTAATTTTCCATAAATCTGATTCCATTTTTTGAATAGTCTTAAGTAGGCTTATGTTGCTATCCTAGCTTTGTGCAAGAGTGTACAGTATTCAGGCCATTTCATATCAGGTTGTCACAACCTTATTTTTGTGAAAGTACATGCAGTAAGGTAATACCCCGCATGTCATCGCTAATTCTCCTAATAAAGATATAATAAATACAATTGCTTATGTCTCGCTGTGCCTTAGTTAAGTTCAATCGGTGTTATATTGATACTTTGTTTCATCACTTTACTGAGAATCTTATTTCCCGCACTCTCTCACTAGGCGGCGGTCATGCACATTGACATTCCTCAGGAGAGCAGCACTTCATCCTCTTGTAGTAATGATGGGAAGTTCGGCTCTTTTCTGAGAGCCGGCTCTTTTGACTCGGCTCCCAAAGAAGAGCCGGCTCTTTCGACTCCCGAACGGCTCTTTATTTAGGATCTTTTGTAGCCTATATTTTACCTTAACTTTGAAAAAAAATCATGGTTTATGTGTTGAAAACCCTTTTGCTTTCAGTGTTTTTATGAGAGACCTTATAATGCCTAATTCTGTGCATTTATTCTGTGACAAAACCACTCTTACATTTGTTTATTTCAATTAAACTTTTTTATTGCACAAATTAACAATAAACTTCAAACAAATCCACAGAACAGAATCAAAACCAGAACCAAACTCCAGCAAACAGCATTAGTCCTCAGGGCAGGTTGGCATTCAGGAAGATCAGATGCCTCAGCTTGGATGGGCTGATAGGCCTGATACGATTTCGCCTCTCCGTGAGTATCTGCCCTGTTTTGGAGAAGATTCTCTCAGAAGGAACTGATGTGGCAACAATACATAGTCTCCCCTCCATCACCTTCACCAGGAGTGGAAAGACTGAGGCCTTGGCCTGCCACCAGCTCAGTGGGTCTTCTGCTCTCTGGATGAGGGGCTCCTCAAGGTAGCTCCTCACCTCCATTATAGCATCAGCTGTCGGATTTCTCCTTGAAGCATCTCCTGTAGCTCTGTCATCAAAAAGCCTCCAAACAGCAGAGGTTTGCTGCTCCTCCTCCACTTGGCCCTGTAATGGTGGAGCTGGCTGGCTGCTGGGGGTGCATTTTGCTGCTGCTGCTGCACTAATCCTCTGAAGAGCTTCATCAACAGCTCTACGATCACTGAAGGCAAGTTTTTTAAACCTTGGATCCAATAAGGTAGTTTCTGAAAGGACAGTGTTGTACTCCATCCGCAGAAATTTGCGGTCCATGGCTGAACAAAGAGCTGCAACTAATTCCTTCACTTTCTGCACAGTTACTGTCCATTGGTTCTCGGCTGTCACCAGCTGCAGACCTTTGCAAAGCAGGAGCATTTTCGAGGCTGTGACATAGCTGAAGGAGAGAAAACAGCAACTTTTAGAATTTAGTTTTTTAAAAGTATGTGGCATATTATACGTGATGCATTATACTGTATGTGTTGTGTTTGCAATGTATAATAGTGACTGAATAGTAGTAGAGAAAACAATGCTTCAATGGTTCTAGGTACCTGTCTGCACTTATCTCCACAGTCACCTCCTGGAATGGTTGCAGGACGGCGCAGACCTCTTTCACCAGCTCCCATTCCTCTTGGCTTAATGGCTCAATAGATGCGTTGATGAGGGCCAGGGTGGAGATGATGGCATCTTTTATTTCAAGCATTCGTTTCAACATATCAAATGTTGAGTTCCACCTGGTGGCACACTCTTGTTTGGGCCTCAGTTCAGGAATCCCCATTTGGCGCTGTGTGGACTTTAGCTTCTGTGCTGCTACTGTGCTTTTGTGGAAAAACTCCACAACAGCCTTCACCTTATCCACGGTTGTTTTGATCACCTTCAGAGCATCTCTAACCACCAGGTTTAGTGTATGCGCCAGACATGGGTGATGGGTCCACTTCAAAACTTTTATGGCTTTGGTGATGTTTGCAGCATTATCACTCACACAGCACACCACTTTGTCCTCTACTTGCCACTCTTTTGCCACTCTTAGTAGCTCCACTGCCAAGTTTTCTGCAGTGTGTCTGTCGGTGAACTCGAAGCAGTCCAGAAGGCAAGATGTCATCTTGTAATCTTCAATAAAGTGGCAAGTGACAGACATGAAAGAGCAGGTTGTTCTGGAGGTCCAGCAGTCAGTTGTCAGGCAAACTGATGGAGCTTTTGTCACCCTTTCTTGCCATAATGCACGTTCTGTGTCATATAGTTTTGGGATCATTGTTTGGGAAAGTGTTTTTCTACTGGGTAGAGTGTATGTGGGATTTAGGGCTTTGACAAAGTTTTTCATTCCTTTGTCCTCCACAATGGAAAAGGGTTGAAAATCAGAAGCTACCATTTTAGCCAACTCATCATCAATACTGTGCTGTTTGGCTGGGGTCATCAGTTTAGGTAAAAACTGACTTATTTTGCTTTGAGTTGCAGTAGGAGAGGTTATACTTGCACGCATGGGGATGGCAGTAGACGTTACAGCAGCTGTTGTTCTGGTATGAGACACACCAGGATCAGTAGATGGTGAGCTGGCTTGCCCTCTCTCCTCTAACTGCACTGTAGGATGGACAGTTCTTGTATGTCTATGCAGGTTTGTGGTGGAACCTGCTCTTATAGTGACCTTCGTTTTGCAGTGAAGGCACTCTGCTTTCTTGTTCCCAATATCTTTAAACTGCAGCCAGATGCTGCTTCGCTTTCTAGTGTCACTCATAGTTAAACGACACGACAATGCAAGACGCACACACGCTCCTCAGTCCGCTCTGTCTCTCTCTTCACTTGCAGTGGAGTCAAGTGGTGTGTCTGCCCCGCCCCCTCTCTGTTTACACATCCTTAATTCTCACGTGAATGCCGCATGCTGGTCGCCATGCTGGCCAATCATAACAGACCTCTGTGAAAGTGAAACCTAAGCAGCGAATGGGCAAAAAACTGGGAGCCGGCTCTCACTCGATGCGAGCCGGCTCTTCTGATTCACTACAAAGAGCCGGCTCTCAGAGCCGATGCTTGTGCGCATGACCCATCACTATCTTGTAGTAGGAGGCTAGAACAACAACGTGTATATCACACTAGAAGACCAGAGTCCACATCAACTTATCTAAAGAAGTGTAGCCGGTTATTCACGGGTCGAAAGAAAACAATATATACTTTGTCTATCATCCTGACCAGGAATTTACTGACATTCCGGTCTTGGTGAATTGTGTATCAGCGCCGCTGGATAAATTATTGCCGAAATATCTCAAGCGGTCACTTTCTAGTGTGGAAACCTACTTTGGATCCCCGAAAGGACGTGTAGTTCAGGGCATCGACTCATTCCACTGTTCAGCACTTGGGATTAGTATATTTGTGGAAAAGAGCCTCAAATTGTGAACCAGATGATGAAAAGATGACCATTTATCTTTGGATAATCCTCTTCTTGGCACAAAGTAGTAGAGCAATCCCTGGTAAGTTTGAATAGTTATCCCTATACTACATGACTAGGCTACTTTTCATAAATGTGTAATATACTATTTTATATGGCTACTCAGTACATTTGCGCAGTAAGCATTTGTCAACACATCGATTTTAGCCTATTTCAAGGGACACCAGTGTGTTGCGTTATGGATGTATTAGACTTCAGAACTGCATTGGGGGCATACTTATGTTTCACTGTACAGCCTCACCTATGGATTGTGCCCCCATGAAATCTGGTATCTGTCAACTCAGTGACACCCACAGAACACAACTACAGTGGGGGAAAAAAGTATTTAGTCAGCCACCAATTGTGCAAGTTCTCCCACTTAAAAAGATGAGAGGCCTGTAATTTTCATCATAGGTACACGTCTGTAATTCACTCTGGATAAGAGCGTCTGCTAAATGACAAAATGTAAAATGTTGACAGAAAACAAAGTACTTGTTTAGAAAGCTCTAGCTGAGTGATCTAATTTTATGATATGCCTGTTGTGAAATCATTATCGTTATTAATGAACTCATCTAATGAAATATAAGTTGTCACTGAGTAGGCTGATACCCCATTTGAGTGAGTGCACAATCCATAAATTAGTCTGTACAGTGCAATATGAATGTCCAATACACACGATAGACTGACTGGGATGGTGTTTTCCCACAGTCCAAGTCCTGTAATAAGAGCTAAGATGCTAATATTTGTGTAAACTCTACATAGTTATGTTCTGTGGGTGTCACTGAGTAGGTTGGTACCCCATTTCATGGCACAATCCATAGGTTAGGCTGTACAGTGCATGTAAGTATGCCCGCAATGCAATTCTGAAGTCTAAAACCTGCACAACGCGATTTCAAGTTAGTTGTTTGGTCGTCACGTGCGCTAGTACAATATTAAAAAACAGATTCAACTGTTTTTTTGTTGTTGGTCAAATTAACTAATTATCTTTTGTTGAATTTATATTTTATTTATTTATTTATTTTTATTTAACCTTTATTTAACCAGGAAGGGCTCATTGAGATTTAAAATCTCTTTTTCAAGAGCGTCCTGGCCAAGATAGGCAGCACCAAGTCATTACAAAAAAATTACAGACAGACAACATGAAAAACTACATATAACAACATTCCAACCTTGTTTAGCATTCTATAGTCCAATTGTGGCATGTTTTCATTATTTTTAACCGTTTGCATCAGTTTCAATGTAGGACTTTTATTTTGAAGGCAAACCGTCAATTCCACTATTGTTGCTCACACTGTTGTTTACCACACAAGTACAACAGACCACAATGTAGAAGTTCTGCTCAAAATTCAGTAGGCATATTCTCAACCTTGTTCTCTTTAAAAAGTACAATACTGAAGTGGATCTGTGTCTTGTAACAATGCTTATCAATAGGGAAAAATATCAAGTACAAAGCGGGCACATATCGCCATGACATTTGGTCCCATGTGACTCAGTTGGTAGAGAATGGAGCTTGCAACGCCAGGGTTGTGGGTTCTATTAATACGGGACCAGTACGAAAATGTATGCACTCACTACTGTAAGTCGCTCTGGATAAGAGCATATGCTAAATGACTAAAACGTAAATTTAAAGGTAGAGGTCGTTTGCATTTTCCCTATCCAGACCAGACCTGGGTCAAATACATACTCAAGTATTTGAGGTGTGCTTAATTGATTTACACTTTTTGGGACTATTCCATTGGTTCCAAATATGTATAAGTATTTTACATAGGCCCATGTATTTGAAGGCTTCCCTCACCCCCCTCTTATATAGCAATAGGGTAACAAGTCATTGGACTGGACATGCACTAATGAGACATTCTTTAAACAGAGTGAAGGTGTGGGAGGATAGGAAGGCCTATAGGCTACATTTAGCCCCTGCCTCTGAGCAATGCAGTATAATATGGTCATTGATATTACTCCTCTGGCCGTTGGTCTGTTGCAGGCAGCTAAACCCAGCAACAGCAGCTGTAGTGAGCTGCCACAGTGGAGAGCTTTCAGCCCTCTACAGCCTTGGATGACGTCTGCTCTGTCTGCACCCAGGCTCAAGTCGGAGCACGCAGATACTCGGCCAAGATGCATGCAATGGCCCAAGCAACACAATGGAGACAAACAGTTCTAAAGACAAAAGCCTCTTGCAAAAACAACTATTTTTCAAATATCTTTGGGAAACCATTTTCATATGTCACAATGTCTACTTCAAAATGTTTCATGTCTGCACATTACAATAACTGAACAAATACAATTTTGTAGGCTACCTTTTGAGGGGTATCTAGCTAGCTCTGCTGTAATGCTCACTGCTGCATGTGTTGGGATCTGATGTAGCCTCAGATCCTGTCCATTATATTTTCTGAATGGCATTTAGAGTAGTGAAGGGCCCATAGTGAAGAAGAAATTACCACAATGGACTTAAGCTATTAATGAATGACTCATTTAAGTATCTGGTGTCTCCTACTCTTTGACCTTTAGGAATCCGGTTTACCAAGAACCCCGCCAACCTCACGGTAACCCAGGGCAACATGGCTCGACTGGGTTGTGCCATCGAGGGCCTGAGTGAGCCGGAGATCGTGTGGATGAAGGACGGGGAGAAGTTGTACAGTACAGACCAGATGTACATCACCCTGGAGCAACACCACTGGGAGACCTTCCACAGGTCGGTGCTTCAGTAGTCCTGACCTACTATTAAATAGTGTTATCCTCACCACTTTATAGGCTGATTGGAAGATGTCTTCAGACCTTCCATCATAGTATCACATTTATTGTGTTGCATTTCACCAGAAATCATTGGGAAGCTGTCTTGCAAAGCACAAGCAAACTAACCTTGGAGCGTTGCGAAGCACTTAGCTCACAACCACCATATCAGCTTCTCATGAGGTCAGGTGTCCTGACAGTTAGTTACTATTTCAGAGAAAGTGCTTGTACGTTGAATCAGTAAGCTGGAAAAAACAACATTGTTTTATCTTTAAACCCTGTGGCTGCTTGCATTGCCTGTTATCCTTCAAAAGTCTTAAAAATGAAGAAACATGCAGTGTAATACCGTAAATAGAGGTAGTAATGCTGTTCCTGGCTTTGAATGACTTTCTCCCCCTCTGACTCAACATCAGACCTGGGTTCAAATACTATTTGAAATCTTTCAAATACTTTCAGCGTTTGTTTTAGCCTGCCTGGAGTGCCAAGTAGGTGGGATTTGCACTTCTATGACATTTATATTGGTTCAAATGGCAATGGGTAAGCTCAATCAAGCACAGCTTAAGTATTTGAAATTATTCAAATAGTATTTGAACTCAGGTCTGCTCAACATGGCGGAACAGAACATGCAGTTTTGGGTGCTGGTGGTGGAGATGTGGGTGAGGTTTAATAATCAGCTTGGGGAGGATTTGTCCCTGGCAGAAAGAGAAAGAACCTGTAAATAACATGGCTGGAGTGGAGAGACAGGGGTCTACCCCTACCGTAACCCACCCAGCAGGGAAACCAGGCCCCATAGTGGGGCAGGGGCAGGCTGGATTGGAATGCAGTTAGCTGCCTGTGACTGAGTGACCTAAAGCTTGATGCAGACTACTAGACCTGCTGGTTAAGTGAACTTGCATTGCCAGTGGCAGACGTTTCTGTTAATCTCATGCACATGTGCTAGGCACTGAAGCTCAAAGGTCTTCAGTTTGACCTCTCATCACACACACAACAATGTCCTAGATACCACGGACATCCACCATTTGCTGTGTCTAGTCTACGGAACTAGAATGAAATGATTGATAGATATTAACAATTCTATCACTTCTATCATATTTCTGTGGTCTAGTGACTAGTCCTTCATTGGTTATTGATTGGAGTGGTGAGTTTGGATGCGATTGTTGTCAGAAGTGGGATACCATACACGGGTTAGGTGACAACGTCACGAAAATGGTGCGTGCGCGTCGATGGGGCAGAAGTCTGTGTGTTATTACGATTCTGGATAGTCAGATAGCTAGCAACAATGACAACAAGCTGCCTTATGGGGAATCGTAGGTGGCTTGTTTCAGCTCGTTGTTTTTTGTTATTGATATCATGTTTTGAGGTGTTTTGACTCTTGTCTAGCTAGCTAACCAACAATTGTAACAATGTATTTGAGAGACAAGTGCTCGTTGTGCAAACGTATGTATGTTTTCAATAAAGATTTGGAGAGGAAATCTACTGGTTTACATGTTGTCAACAATCCTTTGATTTTAAGCCAACCTCGCATATTTTGCTCCACAGTTGTGCACGCGTCGGTTTTGTTGCTAAACAACCCATCCATCTATGAGTGAGTAGGACCTGTCAATGCAGGCAATGATTTCCTGAGTGACTCCTAATACAAATACACAGGGTACTCCTGCTGAGTGTAATTTGCCCCAAGTTAGTTTATTGCTCCAATTAGTTACGGTGTTCCACTTCCAGTGGTTGAAAGTACTTAAGTAAAAATTACTTTAAAGTACTACTTAAATTATTTTTTTGGGTATCTGTACTTTACTATTTATATTTTTTTGAATACTTTTACTTCACTACATTCAGAAAAAAAAATATGTACTTTTTACTCCATACATTTTCCCTGACACCCAAAAGTACTCGTTACATTTTGAATGTTTAGCAGGACAGGAAATTGATCCAATTCATGCATTTATCAAGAGAACATCGCTGGTCATCCCTACTGCCTCTGATCTGGAGGACTCATTAAACACAAATGCTTCGTTTGTAAATTATATCTGAGTGATGGAGTGTGCCCCTGGCTATCCTTAAATAAATAAATAAAAATAAGAACTGTACTGTCTGATTTTCTTAATATAAGGAATTTGAAATGATTTATACTTTTACTTTTGATACTTAAGTATATTTTAGCAATTACATTTACTTCTACTCAATTAGTATTTATCTGGGTGACTTTGAACAAGTATGACAATTGGGTACTTTTTCCACAACTGCCTACTTCATCTGTCAACATATCCTCAAGGGGTTCTTTATCTTTATTGTTCTGGTGTCAGTTTTTCTTCTGCCACCCAGTTATATGTGATGGGCTTTTACCTCCATTCTGCCTAATGGGTCTCCCCTCATCTATCAGTACTAAACTACATCATATTTTTAGGAGAGGTGTTTTTGGACGTGCTCTGGGAATAATTTGAAATGTGATTTATTTTTTTGCATCATGTCAAGTTAAGTACTAGGGGAATCACTGAGTGTCTGTCTGTCTGGGTGGTTTCAGTGTGAAGTCTGTCCAGCAGCAGGATGCAGGGAAGTACTGGTGTGAGGTAGAGTTCCGAGGCTCGACCATCTCTTCGGAGCCCGCCTGGATAACAGTAGAGGGTAAATCAATCAATGCATTTAAATCAATAAATGTTGTCCTCTCTGTCTGTCTCTTTCTATCTCTCAACACAATGGCCTTTTTTCAATGACTTGATAAAATGTATTATCCTGATCCCGTGGTTGTACTTTCTGATTCTTTCTCCAGGTGTCCCCCACTTTATACTTGAGCCCCAAGACGTAGCCACGGTCCCTGGCGTGCCATTTAACCTGACGTGTACTGCTGTGGGTCCCCCGGGCCCGGTGGAGGTGCTGTGGTGGCTGGGAGGAGTACAGGAAGGAGACGTCACTTCCTCTCCATCTGTACTCCATGTTAATGGTAAGTCTCTACCGGGCTGTTTCTCAAAAATCTTTCCTTGATTCCTTTCCTGAAATCTCTTTACTTGATTCCTTGCATCCTCTCCTCTCACCTTCTTCTCAAAATGCATTGGAGGAGAAGATCCAAGGTTCCTCCCCTCGGGCCCTCTCCTTCAATGAGAAGGTTTTTAGGAGGTGAGGAGAGATGATTTGAAGAACCGAGTAGACTACGGAGACTACTGAGACTACTGAGCAGTATCCTCTTTCTGCTTCTTCTCACCCCCCTCCTCCCCTCCCTCTCACCCCCCTCCTCCCCTCCCTCTCACCCCCCTGGCTGGTTAAATCAATATTGATATGATGAATCATAAGAATGAGTTAGATCAGAGTGTGTCATTTTCACATACTGTAAGTTAAATAAGGTGGACTGCCGTCCATCTGTTGTAAGAGAGCCATTAGTCACACAGTACATTACAAGGAAGGGATTATAGTTTTATATCATTCTCACTGGTCGTTGAGCTCTGCCCATGAGTTGGAAATAGAACTGTTTGAATGGTAGAACTAAGCCAAAGGTTATTCTTAGTGGGTGGAAGGCTACTGAAGGGCTGTCTTGTTTACACACTCCGATGGCTATGCTATGCTGACGTTTACCTGTAAATAAACTGCTTTTTCTACAGGCACAGCACCGAATACAGCACTGAATGAATGACATGTATTTTTTTTTATATATAGAGGGGGAACCTTTGACCTCACCTGCCATATAATGATTTCCCTTATGTGAAAGGACAAATGTCTTGACCTGAGATTGGAAATGCGTTGTAATTGGTTGAAAACACATACAAGTGTAAAAGTTTTGTTTGATACTTGTAGACACCAGCCAGTCTTCTGTCACATCCCACAAAAGTGGATTGACTGGATGTTTCATTAGTTGTCTGTTTCATTCCGTTCTCATGATATGCAAGCTTTTCATCGTAGTGTCTCTCCTCCTTCATTTCTCGTTTATGTTGAGCTGGTTCGGTTTCAGTAATAAGGAGCCTCCTACACTCTGCCATGTAAGCTCCCGAGTTTGAGCTCCCGAGTGGCGCAGTGGTCTAAGGCACTGCATCGTAGTGCTAGCTGTGCCACTAGAGATCCTGGTTCGAATCCAGGCTCTGTCGTAGCCGGCCGTGACCGGGAGACCCACGGGGCGGCGCACAATTGGCCCAGCGTCGTCCAGGGTAGGGGAGGGAATGGCCGGCAGGGATGTAGCTCAGTTGGTAGAGCATGGCGTTTGCAACGCCAGGGTTGTGGGTTTGATTCCCACGGGGGGCCAGTATGAAAAATAAAAAATAAATGTATGCAGTCACTAACTGTAAGTCACTCTGGATAAGAGCGTCTGCTAAATGACTACAATGTAACTGGACCTGCCTGGCCCTTCCTCTACTGTTAGACTGCAGTGGGTCTCATTCATCTCAATCAACACTGTTGACCAGAACCTCTCAGTATAAGCCTGTGTCCCAAATGGAATCCTATTCCCAATGTAGTGCACTACTTTTGACCAGGGCACTATATAGGGAAAAGGGGTGCCATTTGGGCATATACAAATACTTTGCTGCTGAGTGCCAACCTAGAGTCAGGAATGCAGCAGCCATATACTCCACTTAACAGGCGTTGATGTTTTCCTATTTGACTCCCAGAGACTGATGTTTCCCTGGAATGTGAGAGTAATCAGAAACGTTTCAGCCCAGCTGATGATTCTCAGTTATGACTCTGACTCTTTTGTGATTGTCAGTCAGTTAATGATTAACCAGGCAGTATCCCTCAGTGCCTGGTAGTAATCACTGTACAGTACACACACACACACACACACACACACACAAACACGCCTTCCTGTAAACATATTTGTCATGAAGGATTAGCTTAAGGACATTTATTTAATGGAGGGATACAACAGGCTTATCAAAACAGTCTAGTTTAGGAGTTATTCATTGTGCTGGCCTTGTTTCCTTGTGTAGTTTCAGTAGCTGGTTTGTTCAAATTGGTAGTGCCAAAATCTCTTTGATCCTTATGAGCGAAGTCTACTACAAACTCTCACAGCACTTCATATACAGTACTCCACTGTGGTATGCATTGCCTACTGTCCACAGTGTGTGAGAATTGCTCATTTACATTGGAGAAAGACTGTTGGTCAGGCATGGTTGCAGGGGCCTGGTTTAACTCTCTCTGTTGGCATCAACTGGCAGCTTACCTTTAAAGGGCTCTGGCATGCTGTTGAGTACATCACATCATGAGTACATCATGTCTCCCTCCTCTGTTCCCTGTCCCTGTAGGTGTGAATAACAGCATCAAGTTCTACTGTGAAGCCAAGAATGCCAGAGGTATCTCAGTATCGCGAACAGGCACTGTGCACATTAAAGGTGAGAAATTCATGAATAATCAATGCTGTCATGAATGTGACTAAGTCATTTTTCAGATTAGAACATGCTGCCTGATGAAGACCGGTTAGTCAATGCACATTGCAGTATGCTGCTGTAATTTAGCTAGGCTTATCTGCTCCTAGTCCAGCTTCTGTTCAGAGTTGGATGTTTGTAAATCTAAAACCCTGTCCTTTCATTGACTGCAGTCCTCCCAGCAGCCCCTAAAGGTGTGCAGGTGGTCCATGTGGTGGAGAACAACGTCACACTGGCCTGGAGCCCTGGCTTCACTGGACACTCTGACCTGTCTGCCTGCACCATCCAGGTACAGTAACTAAGACTGAACCAACACGACTGAGATGTCCTGTGTCCGTACTAAATTCATATAACAAAGAACCCCCTGACCTAATTCTTACATTTAGATTTTCAATAAAGCAACCATAATATGCAGTGGATAAATTAGTTACTTATTATTATGTGATGTGGTGGTTGTTGTCAGTGCTATTTTAAGATGGGAGTGACAACCATCAGAATTCCATTAAAGCCTTGGATGAATGTTTGGCCTGAGATAATATAAACCACATACCCATTCTTTTAAAATGAAAGACACCCTGAGTATTTAGACCTCAGTTTCAATATTGGAATGAAAGAATTTGGCAATGGAAACATGACAATTTAAAGGGATACTTAGAGATTTAGGGAATGAGGCCCTTTATCTACTTCAAATCAAATGTTATTTGTCACATGCGCCGAATACAACCGGTGTAGACCTTACAGTGAAATGTTTACTTACAAGCGCTTAACCAACAATGCAGTTTTAAGAAAGAATACCAAAAACAATTCACTAAAAAATGCAATATCAAATAATACGAAATAAAAGTAACATAATTAAAGAGCAGCAGTAAAAATAACAATAGCGAGGTTATATACAGGGGGGTACCAGTACCGATTCAATGTGCGGGGGCACCGGTCAGTCGAGGTAATTGAGGTACTATGTACATGTCGGTAGAGTTATTAAAGTTACTATGCATAGATAATAAACAGAGAGTAGCAGCAGCGTAAAAGAGGGGTGGGGGGAGCAATGCAAATAGTCTTGGTAGCCATTTGATTAGATGTTCAGGAGTCTTATGGCTTGGGGGTAGAAGCTGTTTAGAAGCCTCTTGGACCTAGACATTGCGCTCCGGTACCGCTTGCCGTGCGGTAGCAGAGAGAACAGTCTATGACTAGGGTGGCTGGAGTCGTTGACAATTTTTAGGGCCTTCCTCTGACACCACCTGGTATAGAGGTCCTGGATGGCAGGAAGCTTGGCCCCAGTGATGTACTGGGCCGTACGCACTACCCTCTGTAGTGCCTTGCGGTCAGAGGCCGAGCAGTTGCCATACCAGGCAGTGATGCAACCAGTCAGGATGCTTTTGATGGTGCAGCTGTATAACCTTTTGAGGATCTGAGGACCCATGCCAAATCTTTTCAGTCTCCTTAGGGGAAATAGGTTTTGTCGTGCCCTCTTCACAACTGTCTTGGTGTGCTTGGACCATGTTAGTTTGTTGGTGATGTGGACGCCAAGGAACTTGAAGCGCTCAACCTGCTCCATTACAGCCCCGTCGATGAGAATGGGGGCGTGCTCGGTCCTCTTCTTTTTCCTGTAGTCCACAATCATCTCCTTTGTCTTGATCACGTTGAGGGAGAGGTTGTTGTCCTGGCACCACACGGCCAGGTCTCTGACCTCCTCCCTATAGGCTGTCTCGTCGTTGTCGGTGATTAGGCCTACCACTGTTGTGTCATCGGCAAACTTAATGATGGTGTTGGAGTCGTGCTTGGCCATGCAGTCATGGGTGAACAGGGAGTACAGGAGGGGACTGAGCACGCACCCCTGAGGGGCCCCCGTGTTGAGGATCAGCGTGGCGGATGTGTTGTTACCTACCCTTACCACCTGGGGGCGGCCCGTCAGGACGTCCAGGATCCAGTTGCAGAGGGAGGTGTTTAGTCCCAGGGTCCTTAGCTTAGTGATGAGCTTTGAGGGCACTATGGTGTTGAACGCTGAGCTGTAGTCAATGAATAGCATTCTCACATAGGTGTTCCTTTTGTCCAGGTGTGAAAGGGCAGTGTGGAGCGCAATAGAGATTGCATCATCTGTGGATCTGTTGGGGCGGTATGCAAATTGGAGTGAGTCTAGGGTTTCTGGGATAATGGTGTTAATGTGAGCCATGACCAGCCTTTCAAAGCACTTCATGGCTACAGACGTGAGTGCTACGGGTCGTTAGTCATTTAGGCAGGTTACCTTAGTGTTCTTGGGCACAGGGACTATGGTGGTCTGCTTGAAACATGTTGGTATTACAGACTCAGACAGGGAGAGGTTGAAAATGTCAGTGAAGACACTTGCCAGTTGGTCAGCGCATGCTCGGAGTACACGTCCTGGTAATCCGTCTGGCCCTGCGGCCTTGTGACTGTTGACCTGTTTAAAGGTTTTACTCACATCGGCTACGGTCATTCGGAACACAAATGATCACACAGTCATTCGGAACAGCTGATGCTCTCATGCATGTTTCAGTGTTATTTGCCTCGAAGCGAGCATAGAAGTAATTTAGCTCGTCTGTTAGGCTCGTGTCACTGAACATATTCCAGTCTGCGCTAGCAAAACAGTCCTGTAGCTTAGCATCTGCTTCATCTGACCACTTCTTTATTGACCGAGTCAATGAACTCCTGGATACCATTTTTATGTCCAGTATGAAGGAAGTAGAGGTAGTTTTGCGAGCTAATTCTAAACTACCTCTAACTTCCTTCATACTGGACAACGAGACATAAAAATGGTATCCACAAGTTCATCTGACTCTGGGGAAGTAGATAAAGGGCATCATTGCCAACATCCCGAAGTATCCCTTTAACCTTAATGATAAGATAGAGGAAATATCACACATTTATCCTATAACCTTTCCCTCATGGGATGTTTTCCTTCATTCAAACCTTTTGCAGATGTCTAAGAACTCTGGGAGGAAGGTGGAACTTCTAGACCAGCGTGTGAAGGTTCCGCCGTTCCAACAGATCCTCAGTGGGCTGAGCTTCTACTCCAACTACAGTGTTAGAGTGTGCTGTGACAATGAGGTGGGGACATCCCCGTTCTCTGGCTGGCTGGACTTTCAGACACCAGAAGCAGGTGTGCATCCAGTCACTAGAATAGATTATGACATATCTGGAATAGATTATGACATATCTGGGGCTGAACAAAAGACCAGGGATGAGTTCCAAATGGCACCCTATTCCTATGGGCCCTGGTCAAAAGTAGTGCACTATAAAGGGAATAGGGTGCCATTTGGGACTCAACCCTGGCCTTTTGTTCATCAACAGTTTTTTGTTGTTGTCATTTTCTACCAACTGCACTCACATCACCAGCTGGACATCAAAAGCATGTCACAATGGGAACATAATGATTCTCAGTGTTTGTGGCCGGCTGTGCCTCACAGCCCCACGGACGACCTTTCAAAGTTGTTACTCTGTCAAAGTAACATCAAACATTTAGAGGTGGTTACACGGACACAGATTAACCCTAATACTGGACAAAAATAATAATTTCAGATGGAGATTCTCCATTGAGTTGTCTTAGTCAAGGACTAGCATTAGCCTAATCTTTGTCTGGGAAAGCACCCCTTAATGTTCATATAGGATACGGTATAAGTTCATAAGTTGATATGCAGTTTTAAATGGGTTGTTAAGATAAGTGGTACAGGCGGCTGAGTTTAGAGTTGATCATGGAAGCTAGTCTGAGGGGAGCAGTGCAGCGGGGGTTTCTGGTGGCGACCTTGTTTGTATGTTTGTAAACTGGCACTGCTGGACACAGGCCAGTGGATTCCAGTCCCACTTGTACAATGAACCATTGTGCATGCCCTCAATCCATATCAATGTGCTGCAGTGCTGAACTAAACCCTGTTGTCTCAGTGTCGACACACGCTGGTCAGGGAGGCCACTGCAGGGATGACTGGGGTCTCATTTTAGGGGGAACTGAAGCCGGTCTCAATTTGCTTCGGGATTATCTACTTCCCCAGAGTCAGATGAACTTGTGGATACCATTTTTATGTATGTGTGTGCAGTATGAAGGAAGTTACAAGTAGTTTTGCAAGCTATTACTAACTAGCAATAGCGCAATGACTGTAAGTCTATGGTTATCTACTAGAATGCTAGCAGATACCCATAGACTTAGTCATTGCGCTAATGCTAGTTAGCATTGGCTCGTGAAACTACATCTAACTTCCTTCATACTGGACACAGAGACATAACATTTTTATCCACGAGTTCATCTGACTCTGCCAGAAGTAGACAAATGGTCTCATTGCCAAAATCCAGAAGTATACCTTTAATCTTGGCCCTTTCCCTTATATCAGATTCAGATCAGATTCAGAGTGTTTAATAGTCACATGTACAGGGTTGCAGGTGTGATTGCGTAGTACAGTGAAAATCTTAGGCTCCAACATGAAGGACTAAGTGAAATACAATAATGAAAATGGTAATAAAAAAAACTACAATATAAATAGAACTATATACATCATAACTGTAGCAGTGATTAATAAATACATTTCCATATGTTAGCAGATGTGGAAGCAATATGGTGGAAGTTCCACCACAACACTGCTTATACCTATCCAGACCCTTCAGATCTGTTAACTTTGTTAGGACCAAGGGAGAGGGTTTGGGAGAGATGACAGCATGGACATATACAATGGCAACCCCTTATTGTTCTTTGATGAAATGTAAAATGTTGTCATGACACTGTCCCTGTGTCTTCTTTCTTCCTAGTGCCCTCTGCTGCCCCCCGGAACCTGACCTTTGAACTAACTGAGCAGCAGCTGTCCCTGAACTGGGCGACCTTGGACGACGAGGAGCTGCATGGGAAACTGATGGCCTACAAAGTCCAGTGGAACCTGGGAGGAGAGGGACAGGTTCAGACCCATACACCTGTACACACTGGAGAAATCTAGCATACACCTCAGATGGTAGCAAAGCTGCAGGAAGAAAATAAACTGAAGAAAATAGTGTCTGGCTGTGCTGCACACTTAGAGCAATGCACATTTCAGTAATTTAATATGCCAAGCTCTCAGTCACAGTAGACCTTGGTCAGTGGAGCATACAATAACCACAGCCAGCCGACACCAGTCTTGAGCTGCTGTCAACGATCTACTACTTCTTTTTAATTACAATCCCTATGTTTGTGTTATTATGGAATGTGGTACATTACAGTATGACCTAAATGATGACGTTCACAATCCTATGGTCATAACAGAAGTTGTGTTGTCATACCAGGGATTTATAGGTTGCTATGGTCATACCAGGGATTTATAGGTTGCTATGGTCATACCAGACGTTTATAAGTTGCTATGGCCATACTAGGGGTTTACTTGTTTTTAATAGGGACATTGCTATAGAAAATGGGTCAAAGTATTTTTACTCTCCTTTCTATGACTCCCAATCTGGCAGGTGTTCAGGTGAAATATCTAAGCCCGTTGAGCTCGCTACATGTGTTCTGGTTTGGTTTTCTTGTCCACTAGAATTGTATAATGACCATACAGTGCCTCCAGGAAGTATTCACACACTTTTTCCACATTTTGTTGTGTTACAGCCTGAATTTAAAATGGATTAAATTGAAATGTGTTGTCACTGGCCTGGACACACAATACCCGATAATGTCAAAGTGGAAATACGTTTTTTAAAATGTATTTCTTTACAAATTAATTAAAAATAAAGCTGAAATGTCTTGAGTCAACAAGTATTCAACCCCTTTGTTATGGCAAACCTAAATAAGTTCAGGAGTAAACATTTGCTTAACAAGTCACATAAGTTGCATGAACTCACTGAGCACAATAATAGTGTTTAACATTATTTTTGAATGACTACCTCATCTCTGTACCCCATACACAATTACCACAAAGACCAGGGAGAAGGGCGCCTATTGGTAGATAGAAAATAATAATATACAAAATTAATAAAAGAAGGCATTGAATTATCCCTATGAGCATGGTGAAGTTATTAATTACACTTTGGATGGTGTATCAATAGACCCAGTCACTACAAAGATACAAGCGTCCTTCCTAACTCATTTGTCGGAGAGGAAGGAAACCACTCAGAGATTTTACCATGAGGCCAATGGTGACTTTAAAACAGTTAAAGAGTTTAATGGCTGTGATAGGAGAAAACTTAGGATTGACCAACAACATTATAGTTACTCCACAATACTAACCTAATTTACAGAGTGAAAAGAAGGAAGCCTGTACAATCTTCCAAAACATGCATCCTGTTTGCAACAAGGCATTAAAGTAATACTGCAAAAAAATTTGGCAAAGCAATGTACTTTTTCTCCTGAATACAAAGTGTTGTATTTGGGGCAAATCCAATGCAACATATTACTGAGTACCACTCCATATTTTCAAGCATAGTGGTGGCTGCATCATGTTATGGGTATGATTGTAATCGTTAAGGACTGGGGAGTTTTTCAGGATAAAAAAATAAACGTAATGGAGCTAAGCACAGGCACAATCCTAGAGGGAAACCTGGTTCAGTCTGCTTTACACCAGACACTGGGAGATGAATTCACCTTTCAGCAGGACAATAACCTAAAACACAAGGCCAAATTTACACTGGAGTTGCTTACAAAGAAGACGGTGAATGTTCCTGAGTTGCCGAGTTACAGTTTTGATTTAAATCTACTTGACAATATATGGAAAGACCTGCAAATGTTTGTCTAGCAATGATCAACAACCAATTTGACAGAGCTTGAAGAATTTTTAATGAATAATGTGCAAATGTTGCACAATCCAGGTGTGGAAAGCTCTTAGAGACTTACCCAGAAAGACTCTGGACAGCTGTAATCGCTGCCAAAGGTGCTTCTACAAAGTATTGACTCAGGGGTGTGAACACTTATGTAAATTAGATATTTCTGTATTTCATTTTCAATACATTGCAAAATATTCTACAAATATGTTTGCACATTGTCATTATGGAGAATTGTGTGTAGATGAGTGAGAAAATCTATGTAATCCATTTTGAATTCAGGCTGTAACACAACAACATGTGGAATAAGTCCAGGGGTATGAATACTTTTTGAAAGCACTATATAAGGATTAACTCAAAAGGTAAAACAGCAAGATCTAAAGTTATGAGACTTCAGTGACACAGTGCCCTTAACAAAGATCATGAGCTTTTATGTTGATGAAACTGTAACACCAAATTAATGTACCAAATGTATTGAAGTCCTCTTGCATGGCCTTAAATGTCATCTTCTCTCATGATGGAGAGAAGGTCACATTCATATTTTGTTCCTGTGGTGCCAAAGAAAAGTATCCCAAAGTATTTCTTTCTCAGTATTCAGCAGTTCCAAAGCATAATGTGTGTCTCTGTGAAAAAAACGGCAGCACTTAATTGGATCTAATTTGTAATGGAAGCTTTGTTTTAAGTTTCTTAGACTCAAAACAACATGTCATAATAGACCACAAACTGACATACATTTGTTGTGTTCCAGGAGGCGTTGCTCTTTAAAGAGAACATGGCCCACCTGTCTGGTGGAGGTCGTTTCTTCAACGCCACCTTCCAGGTGTCGGCGTGTACAGTGGCTGGCTGTGGGCCCTGGAGCCATCCTGTACTGGTCATGCCCGCCTCAGGTCAGTGAGCCCTTATGTCACTCAGCCACTATCCACTATTAGTCCCTCTGTCACGCTGGCTGTGTCTACACTTGACACTTGCATGCGACTTATGCTATCAGAATACGAAGATCGCATTGAAAAGACAAACGAGACGTATTGTGGTTGGATTGTGTTCAGATCTGGCTGACCACTTCAGGTGGTCAGGGACGCATTGTGGTTGGATTGTGTTCAGATCTGGCTGACCACTTCAGGTGGTCAGGGATGCATTGTGGTTGGATTGTGTTCAGATCTGGCTGACCACTTCAGGTGGTCAGGGACGCATTGTGGTTGGATTGTGTTCAGATCTGGCTGACCACTTCAGGTGGTCAGGGACGCATTGTGGTTGGATTGTGTTCAGATCTGGCTGACCACTTCAGGTGGTCAGGGACGCATTGTGGTTGGATTGTGTTCAGATCTGGCTGACCACTTCAGGTGGTCAGGGACGCATTGTGGTTGGATTGTGTTCAGATCTGGCTGACCACTTCAGGTGGTCAGGGACGCATTGTGGTTGGATTGTGTTCAGATCTGGCTGACCACTTCAGGTGGTCAGGGACGCATTGTGGTTGGATTGTGTTCAGATCTGGCTGACCACTTCAGGTGGTCAGGGATGCATTGCGGGTGGATTTCTCCTCAGTCTGGACGCAATTAGGCTACATAAAGTGCACACAGTGGGAAATGTCATCAGCACTTTGCCAACACAAGTCTCCAGAAAACGTGTGTTTTGGAAGCGAGAGGCGCCATTTTTTAATTAAACGTTGGAAGAAATACATTCTTAGCATGTGAGCAACGTGTTTGCTGGCTTCATAATTGCTAGCTAGCTTATTAGGAAAACTATTTTTTGTTTGGCTAGAGTTATGCTAACCTGTATGCAATCCCTTTAGCTTTGCTGGCTGGCTGGCTACAGAGGTTAGTTGGCTAGTTAGCTATAGTAGTTAGCTACTGCCATCAAGTTGTTGTTATGTTATCAGATTTAGCCTTTTCCACTGTTTGCAGAATGCATACTGGCATTTCAATATAACCCGGGAAAAGGGAATCCGGACACAATGTGGACACATTTAAATGTAGGTGTAGACGTATGCCGTGTTCGGAATTCCATGATCAGAACTCCATGATCAGAATACAAAAGCTGAATGAACTGTCGAGTCTAAACACGGCCTCTGTCACTATCCACTATTAGTCCCTCTGCCACTATCCACTATTAGTCCCTCTGTCACTATCCACTATTAGTCCCTCTGCCACTATCCACTATTAGTCCCTCTGCCACTATCCACTATTAGTCCCTCTGCCACTATCCACTATTAGTCCCTCTGTCACTATCCACTATTAGTCCCTCTGCCACTATCCACTATTAGTCCCTCTGCCACTATCCACTATTAGTCCCTCTGCCACTATCCACTATTAGTCCCTCTGTCACTATTAGTCTCTGTCACTATCCACTTATTAGTCCATCTGTCACTATTAGTCCCTGTCACTATCCACCATTAGTCCCTCTGTCATGCTAGCCCTGTCCCTATCCATCTAGTAGTCTAGTTGTTTTGAAACCTATGCTCCAAATTTGAAGGTAAAGCCAGTTTGTTATACTGTGTGTGTGTGTGCTTGTGTTTGCATGTTCCACAAAGCAGTGGGAGGCCAGACTCAGAGAGGCCATATGTGGGTGGGTCTGTTGCTGGGCCTGCTGGTGGCCACCATGGTAGGGCTTCTCCTGACAGTCCTAGTACACCGCAGAGGGAAGGAAACACAGTTTGGGTAGGCTATGATTGTCTCTCTCACTACTAGAATACAGCAAAAAGATTTGTCTAGACTTTATATTTTTTGGTGAGAATGATTTATATGGGCTGAAAGCAGCGCCCCACCCCCTTCACATGTAGGGATTCCCTGTTTTAGGGACAGCTTTGCACACTCTTGGCATTCTCTCAACCAGCTTCATGAGGTAGTCACCTGGAATGCATTTCAATCAATTCCTTGTTAAAAGTTAATTTGTGGAATTTCTTTCCTTCTTAATGCATTTGAGCCAATCAGTTGTGTTGTGACAAGGTGGGTGGGGGGGTGGGGGGTATACAGAAGATACAGTAGCCCTATTTGGTAAAAGACCAAGTCCATATTATGGCAAGAACAGCTCAAATAAGCAAAGAGAAACGACAGTCCATCATTACTTAAGACATGAAGGTCAGTCAATCCGGAACATTTCAAGAACTTTGAAAGTTTCTTCAAGTGCTATGATGAAACTGGCTCTCATGAGGATCGCCACAGGAATGGAAGACCCAGAGTTACCTCTGCTGGATAAGTTCATTAGAGTTACCAGCCTCAGAAATTGCAGCCCAAATAAATGCTTCACAGAGTTCAAGTAACAGACACATCTCAACATCAACTGTTCAAAGGTGACTGTGTGAATCAGGCCTTCATGGTCGAATTGCTGCAAAGAAACCACTTCTAAAGGACACCAATAAGAAGAAGACTTTCTTGGGCCAAGAAACACGAGCAATGGACATTAGACCGGTGGAAATTTGTCCTTTGGTCTGGAGTCCAAATTAGAGATTTTTGGTTCCAACCGCCGTATCTTTGTGAGACGCGGTGTGGGTGAACGGATGATCTCCGCATGTGTATTTCCCACCGTAAAGCATGGAGGAGGAGGTGTTATGGTGTGGGGGTGCTTTGCTGGTGACATTGTCTGATTTATTTAGAATTCAAGGCACAATTAACCAGCATGGCTAACACAGCATTCTGCAGTGATACGCCATCCCATCTGGTTTGGGCTTAGTGGGACTATCATTTGTTTTGCAACAGGACAATGACCCAACACACCTCCAGGCTGTGTAAGGGCTATTTTACCAAGAAGGAGAGTGATGGAGTCCTGCATCAGATGACCGGGCCTCCACAATCCCCCGACCTCAACCAAATTGAGATCGTTTGGGATGAGTCGGACAGCAGAGTGAAGGAAAAGCAGCCAGCAAGTGCTCAGCACATGTGGAAACTCCTTCAAGACTGTTGGAAAAGCATTCCAGGTGAAGCTGGTTGAGAGAATGCCAAGCGTGTGCAAAGCTGTCATCAAGGGAAAGGGTGGCTATTTGAAGAATCTCAAAAATAAAATATATTTTTATTTGTTTAACACTTTTTGGGTTACTACATGATTCCACATGTGTTATTTCATAGTTTATGCCTTCACTATTATTCTACAATGTAGAAAATAGTAAAAATAAAGAAAAACCCTTGAATGAGTAGGTGTTCTAAAACTTTTGACCGGTAGTGTATAGGCAGTTTTTCAGCAGTATATACCAGAATCAGAGGCATTGTTTGAATACTTTGACAGCATCCTTCCTCACTTCTTTCTTCCCTTCCTTGAAGTGGTCACTGAGCTGACATGATTGGATAAGGAAAAACAAGTTTTCCACTAGATTCCCTTCAACAATGTGTTGGTCTGATCAGTGGATTACCTCTAGGAAGGGAGGAAGGATTCGTTTTAGAAGTATTTGAACACAGGGCAATGTATCTGCAAGGTTACAACACCAACGTAAAGTTGGGATAAGCTGGCTCTGCTTGTCCTTGCAGGTCTGTGTTCAAGCACCTACATTTCCCTCATCCAATCATTTCAGATGAGTTCAGTGATACTTCAACGAAAGAAGAGAGGAAGGATGCAGTCATAAAGTATTCAAACAAGGCCTCTGATTGTGGTAGATGCTGCTGACAGTAGGCCTATGCAGTATGTGACTCCAGGGCTCTGATTGTCCTTGCAGGTCTGTGTTCAAGCCCCCGGGGACTGAGAGCACGGTCTCCTTCACTGCAGTCAGGTCATTCAACAGGACCTGCCCTGAGCTCCCAGAATCCACGTGTAAGTAAAGTCAGTCATGTTTGGCTCGTAGCCTCCACAAATAAAGGTGCCTCTATTGACACATAGGGCACAAGCACTACAGTACGGTTGCGTCCCAGATGGCACAATATTCCCTATATAGTGCACTGCTTTTGACCAGAGCCCTTTGGGCCCTGTTAAAAAAAAGGTGCACTACATAGGGAAAAAGGTGCCTCTATTGACACGTACTGTAGTGGACCTGGGTGGTGAATAATGAATTGTATCTCTGTCTTCCACCAGTGGACAGCTTGGGTATCAACGACGATCTGAAGGCCAAGCTTCAAGACGTCCTGATCCCAGAAAGGCTACTGACCCTTGGTCACATCTTGGGAAAAGGTTGGTGGGACATCCTCTGTTGATTTCACATAGCTGTGCACAACAGATAAAGTAAATTTAGATAGAAAGCCTTTACAATGTATTGTTTGATAATAATAATAATAATAATAATATGACATTTAGCAGACGCTTTTATCCAAAGCGACTTACAGTCATGCGTGCATACATTTTTGTGTATGGGTGGTCCCGGGGATCGAACCCACTACCTTGGCGTTACAAGCGCCGTGCTCTACCAGCTGAGCTACAGAGGTGCTGCAATGTGCAAAATCAAATCAGTTTATTGGTCGCATACACAGATTTGCAGATGTTATTGCAGGTGCAGCGAAATGCTTGTGATTTCTAGCTCCAACAGTGCAGTAATATCTAGCAATACAGAACAATACAAACATATTGAAAAAATTAAGAAATCAGAACGTGCAATGAATGACAAGCTTTGTGTACTATACAAAATACGACCTGTATGTATAGAGCCATAAACAAGACAATGCTCACCCAGAGGCGGCGCTCCTAGTGGCCGGTGACTTTAATGCAGGAAAACTGAAATCTGTTTTACCCAATTTCTACCAGCATGTCACATGTGCAACTAGAGGGGGAAAAAATCTAGATCACCTTTACTTCACACAAAGAGATGCATACAGAGCTCTCACTCGCCCTCCATTTGGCAAATTTGACCATAACGCTATCCTCCTGGTTCCTACTTACAGCTGGTAGAGCACGGCGCTTGTAACGCCAAGGTAGTGGGTTCGATCCCCGGGACCACACATACACAAAAAATGTATGCACGCATGACTGTAAGTCGCTTTGGATAAAAGCGTCTGCTAAATGGCATATTATTATTATTATTATTATTATTAAAAACTCAAACAGGAAGTACCAAAAGTGGTCCGATGAAGTGGATGCTAAGCTACAGGACTGTTTTACTTGCACAGACTGGAATATGTTCTGGGATTAATCTGATGGCATTGAGTAGTTTACCACATCAGGCTTCATTAATAAGTGCATCGACGTCGTCGTCCGCACAGTGACCGTACGTACGTACATAACCCAACCAGAAGCCATGGATTACAGGCAACATCTGCACTGAGCTAAAGGCTAAAGCTGCCGCTTTCAAGGACCGGGACTCTAACCTAGACGATTATAAGAAATCCCACTACACCCTCTGACGAACCATCAAACAGGCAAAGCATCAATACAGGAGTAAGACCTAATCCTACTACACCGGCTCTGACGCTCGTCGGATGTAGCAGGGCTTGCAAACTATCACGGATTACAAAGTGAAACACAGCCGCAAGCTGTCAAGTTACGCGAGCCTACCAGACGAGATAAATACCTTCTATGTACGCGTCGAGACTAGGAACACTGAACTATGCATGAGTACCAGCTGTTCCATGTGACTGTGTGATCGCTCTCTCCGTAGCCGATGTAAGACCTTTAAACAGGTTAACATTCACAAGGCTGCAGGGCCAGCCGGATTACCAGGACGCGTACTCAGAGCATGCGCTGACCAACTGGCAAGCGTCTTCACTGACATTTTCAACCTCTCCCTGACCGTCTGTGATACCTACATGTTTCAAGCAGACCACCATAGTCCCTGTGCTCAAGAATGCCAAGGTAGCCTGTCTAAATGACTATCGCCCCATAGCACTCACATCTGTAGCCATGAAATGCTTTGAAATGCTGGTCATGGCTCACATCAACACCATCATCCCAGACACCCTCGACCCACTCCAATTCGCATGCCACCCCCAACAGATCCACAGATGACGTAATCTCTATTGCACTCCACACTGCCCTTTCTCGCCTGGACAAAAGGAACACCTACGTGAGAATGCTGTTCATTGACTACAGCTCAGCGTTCAAGCTCTAAGCTAAGGACCCTAGGATTAAACACTTCCCTCTGCAACTGGATCCTGGACTTCCTGATGGGCCGCCCCCAGGTGGTGAGGGTCTGCAACAACACATCCATCACGCTGACCCTAAACACAGGGGACCCTCAGGGGTGCATGCTTAGTCCCCTCCTGTACTTCCTGTACACCACGACTGCAGATGAGACGATGGTGGTAGGCCTGATCACCGACGACGATGAGACAGCCTACAGAGGGAGGGGGTCAGAGACCTGGCAGTATGGTACCAGGACAACAACCTCTCCCTCAATGTCAGCAAGACAAAGGAGCTGATCGTGGACTACAGGAAAAGGAGGGCAGAGCACACCCCGATCCACATCGACGGGCTGTTGTGGAACAGGTCGAGAGCTTCAAGTTCCTCAGTGTCCACATCACTAAGGAACTATCATGGTCCACACACATCAACTGTAAGTGAGGACTTGGTGGACTGTATATTCTTTAGGTTAGGTGTTCTCTCCCGTGTGCTGGTAAGGGCACAGATGACAGACAGGTATGATTCCAGTTGAGGTGGTTTAATAAGGGCACAGATGACAGACAGGTAGGATTCCAGTTGAGGTGGTTTAATAAGGGCACAGATGACAGACAGGTAGGATTCCAGTTGAGGTGGTTTAATAAGGGCACAGATGACAGACAGGTAGGATTCCAGTTGAGGTGGTTTAATAAGGGCACAGATGACAGACAGGTAGGATTCCAGTTGAGGCGGTTTAATAACACTGAATATGCACAGGCACGGAACAGCACTGCACAGTGTATGTAGTATGGATGGGCTAAGGCACTTAGTGGTCTGGCAACTTGCTTCAACCAAAGTGTGTGTTTGTACAGTGGGGGAAAAAAGTATTTAGTCAGCCACCAATTGTGCAAGTTCTCCCACTTAAAAAGATGAGAGAGGCCTGCAATTTTCATCATAGGTACACGTCAACTATGACAGACAAATTGAGATTTTTTTCTCTCCAGAAAATCACATTGTAGGATTTTTTATGAATTTATTTGCAAATTATGGTGGAAAATAAGTATTTGGTCACCTACAAACAAGCAAGATTTCTGGCTCTCACAGACCTGTAACTTCTTCTTTAAGACGCTCCTCTGTCCTCCACTCTTTACCTGTATTAATGGCACCTGTTTGAACTTGTTATCAGTATAAAATACACCTGTCCACAACCTCAAACAGTCACACTCCAAACTCCACTATGGCCAAGACCAAAGAGCTGTCAAAGGACACCAGAAACAAAATTGTAGACCTGCACCAGGCTGGGAAGACTGAATCTGCAATAGGTAAGCAGCTTGGTTTGAAGAAATCAACTGTGGGAGCAATTATTAGGAAATGGAAGACATACAAGACCACTGATAATCTCCCTTGATCTGGGGCTCCACGCAAGATCTCACCCCGTGGGGTCAAAATGATCACAAGAACGGTGAGCAAAAATCCCAGAACCACACGGGGGGACCTAGTGAATGACCTGCAGAGAGCTGGGACCAAAGTAACAAAGCCTACCATCAGTAACACACTACGCCGCCAGGGACTCAAATCCTGCAGTGCCAGACGTGTCCCCCTGCTTAAGCCAGTACATGTCCAGGCCCGTCTGAAGTTTGCTAGAGTGCATTTGGATGATCCAGAAGAGGATTGGGAGAATGTCATATGGTCAGATGAAACCAAAATATAACTTTTTGGTAAAAACTCAACTCGTCGTGTTTGGAGGACAAAGAATGCTGAGTTGCATCCAAAGAACACCATACCTACTGTGAAGCATGGGGGTGGAAACATCATGCTTTGGGGGCTGTTTTTCTGCAAAGGGACCAGGACGACTGATCCGTGTAAAGGAAAGAATGAATGGGGCCATGTATCGTGAGATTTTGAGTGAAAACCTCCTTCCATCAGCAAGGGCATTGAAGATGAAACGTGGCTGGGTCTTTCAGCATGACAATGATCCCAAACACACCGCCCGGGCAACGAAGGAGTGGCTTCGTAAGAAGCATTTCAAGGTCCTGGAGTGGCCTAGCCAGTCTCCAGATCTCCTACCCCATAGAAAATCTTTGGAGGGAGTTGAAAGTCTGTGTTGCCCAGCGACAGCCCCAAAACATCACTGCTCTAGAGGAGATCTGCATTGAGGAATGGGCCAAAATACCAGCAACAGTGTGTGAAAACCTTGTGAAGACTTACAGAAAACTTGCCAACAAAGGGTATATAACAAAGTATTGAGAAACTTTTGTTATTGACCAAATACTTATTTTCCACCATAATTTGCAAATAAATTCATTAAAAATCCTACAATGTGATTTTCTGGATTTTTTTTTCTCATTTTGTCTGTCATAGTTGACGTGTACCTATGATGAAAATTACAGGCCTCTCTCATCTTTTTAAGTGGGAGAACTTGCACAATTGGTGGCTGACTAAATACTTTTTTTCCCCACTGTATGTGTGTGGTCTGCAAGTAAAGAGAGAAATAAAGATACAATAGTGAATGACAGAATACAATCTGCAATTCACATCTCTTATAAACGATAACATGACTATGATGACTTAATGCTATACACGACCATACAGCGCAATTCAACGTGACTGTGACTGCACTAACTGAGATCAAAGGGGTGCCGCTGCACGTGTACTACAAAGCATAGCACCATCATCTTCAGTACAAGGCTACAACTGCACAATGAAATTGAATACCTCTAAACAGTGAAATACAATGTAATACCCATATAATGATGCACCATTCACTTAAACAATTACAGGGCATATAAACAATGCACTGGGGGACATTATCCTTTACAAATACAGGGTTAAATGTCCGAAATGATATGACAACCAAACCAGAGCTAGCCAGCTCACAATAGCTAGCTCGCAGTAGAAACTACTAATTAGCATAACCATAAAAATGACATTATCGTAAGAGTGCATCTTCAGACATAAACACCTGAAAGATATGAAATATGTACTTAAATATCAACAAGGATGCACACTGGCCTTGGCTAACACAATGAAAGCTACCTGTTGGGAAAACGCAAGGATCGCTGGAACTTACTCTCACTTGACTTCTCTCGAGCTGATCTTCTCTAAGCTGGAGATCGCTCAGCATGCTCTGCTCCACTTCATCTGTGGGCGGAGCTACAACTCTGACATAATGAACTAACATTACTGATATGATTAACTACAAATACTTCACAGCCTTTTGTACAGCAACACAGTCGTCAAGAGGGCACGACAACACCTCTTCCCCCTCAGTAGGCTGAAAAGATTCAGCATGGGCCCTCAGATCCTCAAAGTTCTACAGCTGCACAATTGAGAGCATCTTAACTGGCTGCATCACCGCTTGGTATGGCAATGGTTTGTCATCCGACTGCAAGGCGCTACAGAGGGTAGTGCGTACGGCCCACTACATCACTGGGGCCGATGCACCTAAGTCATAGACTGTTCTCTCTGCTACCGGACGGCAAGCGGTACCGATGCACCAAGTCTGGAACCAATAGGACCCTGAACAGCTTCTACCCCCAAGCTATAAGACTGCTAAATTGTTGGTTAAATTGTTAACCAGCTACCCGGAATATCAGCATTGACCCTTTTTGCACTAACCTCTTTTGACTCATCACATACACTGCTGTTACTGTTTATTATCTATCCCGTTGCCTAGTCACTTTATCCCTACCTACAGTGCCTTCGGAAAGTATTCAGACTCCTTTTTGTTAGGTTACAGCCGTATTCTAAAATTGATTTTTTAAATTTTGTTACTCATCAATCTACACACAATACCCCATAATGACAAAGCAGAAACAGGCGTTTAGAATTGTTTTCAAACAAAAATGAAATATGACATTTACATAAGTACTCAGACCCTTTACTCAGTAATTTGTTGAATCATCTTTGGCAGCAATTACAGCCTTGAGTCTTCTTGGGTATGACGCTACAAGCTTGGCACACCTGTATTTGGGGAGTTTCTCCCATTATTTTCTGCAGATCATCTCAAACTTTGTCAGGGTGGATGGGGAGCGTCGCTGCAAAGCTATTTCTAGGTCTCTCCAGAGATGTTCGATCGGGTTCAAGTCTGGGCTCTGGCTGGGCCACTCAAGGACATTCAGAGACTTGTCCCAAAGCCACTCCTGCATTGTCTTGGCTGTGTGCTTAGGGTCGTTGTCCTTTTGGAAGGTGAACCTTCGCCCCAGTCTGAGGTCCTGAGCGCTCTGGAGCAGATTTTCATCAAGAATCTCTCTGTACTTTGCTCTGTTAATCTTTCCCTCGATCCTGACTAGTCTCCCAGTCCCTGCCGCTGAAAAACATCCCCACAGCATGATGCTGCCACCACCATGCTTCACAGTAGGGATGGTGCCAGGTTTCCTCCAGACGTGACGCTTGGCATTCAGGCCAAAGAGTTGAATCTTGGTTTCATCAGACCAGATAATCTTGTTTCTCATGGTCTAAGAGTCTTTAGGTGGCTTTTGGCAAACTCCAAGCGGGCTGTCATGTGCCTTTTACTGAGGAGTGGCTTCCGTCTGGCCACTCTACCATAAAGGCCTGATTGGTGGAGTGCTGCAGAGATGGTTGTCCTTCTGGAATGTTCTCCCATCTCCACAGAGGAACTCTGGAGCTCTGTCAGAGTGACCATCAGGTTCTTGGTCATCTCCCTGACCAAGGCCCTTCTCCCCCGATTTGCCAGCAGGCCAGAAGTGGATGAACGCAATGCCCTCGTTTGGGTGTAGGGTCTGATCAGAGCCTGAAGGTAAGGAGGTGCCGTTCCCCTCACAGCTCCGTAGGCAAGCACCATGGTTTTGTAGTAGATGCGAGCTTCAACTGGAAGCCAGTGGAGTGTGCGGAGGAGTGGGGTGACATGAGAGAACTTGGGAAGGTTGAACACGAGACGGGCTGCAGCGTTCTGGATAAGTTGTAGGTGTTTAATGGCACAGGGAGGGAGCCCAGCCAACAGCGAGTTGCAGTAATCCAGACGGGAGATGACAAGTGCCTGGATTAGGACCTGTGCCGCTTTCTGTGTAAGGTACGGTCGTACTCTGCGAATGTTGTAGAGCATGAACCTGCAGGATCGGGTCACCGCTTTGATGTTAGCGGAGAACGACAGGGTGTTGTCCAGGGTTATGCCAAGGTTCTTTGCACTCTGGGAGGAGGACACAATGGAGTTGTCAACCGTGATGGCGAGATCATGGAGCGGGCAGTCCTTCCCCGGGAGGAAGAGCAGCTCTGCCTTGCCGAGGTTCATCTTGAGGTGGTGATCCGACATCCACACTGAAATGTCTGCCAGACATGCAGAGATGCGATTCACAATTAATTGTGTGTCGTCTGCGTAGCAATGATAGGAGAGACCATGTGAGGATATGACAGAGCCAAGTGACTTGGTGTATAGAGAGAATAGGAGAGGGCCTAGAACTGAGCCCTGGGGGACACCAGTGGTGAGAGCACGTGGTGCGGAGACAGATTCTCGCCACGCCACCTGGTAGGAGCGACCTGTCAGGTAGGACGCAATCCAAGAGTGAGCAGCGCTGGAGATGCCAAACTCGGAGAGGGTGGAGAGGAGGATCTGATGGTTCACAGTATCAAAGGCAGCAGATAGGTCTAGAAGGATAAGAGCCATGACTGTGTATTGCTAAATAACAAGACAGACATAATGTCTGTATTATGTTTTGGAATATGTTGAGTTGTTTCAGGAGTAACGTGCCAGTGATGTTTCTGTGTCTGTTTAGGGGAATTTGGCTCAGTGCGTGAGGCCTTCCTAAAGATGGAGGACAGCACTGTACAGAAGGTTGCAGTGAAGGTGCTAAAAAGTGAGTGAGACTTTAGACTTTAGATTTTACTGCCTTTTATATAATAATAATTGATCTGATTTATATAGCGCTTTTCTACCAACGTAGGTACTCAAAGAGCTTTACATAGTAGGTGGAAACTCACCTCATCCACCACCAATGTGTAGCACCCACCTGGGTGATGCACGGCAAGCATTTTTGTGTCAGAACGCTCACCACACATCAGCTATCAGGTGGAGAGGTGAGGAGTGATGTATGCCAATTATGAATGAGGGGGATGATTAGCTGGCCATGATGGAATGGGGCCAGGTTGGGAAATTAGCCATGATACCGGGGTTAACACCCCTACTCTTATGAGTGTGTCAGTGGATATTACATTGATACACATGATAATTGTACCTGTATAATGTGAACTAATAAGTCCTTGGAAGTTATGATAATTGTTATGTTTTCTGTCCTTTTTACATCAGCGGATATCAACTCATCATGTGATATTGAGCAGTGCCTGAAAGAGGCTGCTTACATGAAGGACTTCCACCATCCAAATGTCATCCAGCTCATTGGTTAGTAGTAGTGAAGACACATTTATTTCCGCCAACTCACTTCAATTAAATATAACTTTATTTATACCCTTAGGGGCAATTAAGAAAGGGATTGCCAGATTACAAATAATAACAGCTTCCACATACAGTGGGGAGAACAAGTATTTGATACACTGCCGATTTTGCAGGTTTTCCTACTTACAAAGAATGTAGAGGTCTGTAATTTTTATCACAGGTACACTTCAACTGTGAGAGACGGAATCTAAAACAAAAATCCAGAAATCACATTGTATGATTTTTAAGTAATTAATTTGCATTTTATTGCATGACATAAGTATTTGATCACCTACCAACCAGTAAGAATTCAGTCTCTCACAGACCTGTTAGTTTTTCTTTAAGAAGCCCTCCTGTTCTCCACTCATTACCTGTATTAACTGCACCTGTTTGAACTCGTTACCTGTATAAAAGACACCTGTCCACACACTCAATCAAACAGACTCCAACCTCTCCACAATGGCCAAGACCAGAGAGCTGTGTAAGGACATCAGGGATAACATTGTAGACCTGCACAAGGCTGGGATGGGCTACAGGGCAAAAGGCAAGCAGCTTGGTGAGAAGGCAACAACTGTTGGCGCAATTATTAGAAAATGGAAGAAGTTCAAGATGACGGTCAATCACCCTCGGTCTGGGGCTCCATGCAAGATCTCACCTCGTGGGGCATCCATGATCATGAGGAAGGTGAGGGATCAGCCCAGAACTACACGGCAGGACCTGGTCAATGACCTGAAGAGAGCTGGGACCACAGTCTCAAAGAAAACCATTAGTAACACACTACGCCATCATGGATTAAAATCCTGCAGCGCACGCAAGGTCCCCCTGCTCAAGCCAGCGCATGTCCAGGCCCGTCTGAAATTTGCCAGTGACCATCTGGATGATCCAGAGGAGGAATGGGAGAAGGTCATGTGGTCTGATGAGACAAAAATATAGCTTTTTGGTCTAAACTCCACTCGCTGTGTTTGGAGGAAGAAGAAGGATGAATACAACCCCAAGAACACCATCCCAACCGTGAAGAATGGAGGTGGAAACATCATTCTTTGGGGATGCTTTTCTGCAAAGGGGACAGGACTACGGCACCGTATTGAGGGGAGGATGGATGGGACCATGTATCGCGAGATCTTGGCCAACAACCTCCTTCCCTCAGTAAGAGCATTGAAGATGGGTCGTGGCTGGGTCTTCCAGCATGACAACGACCCGAAACACACAGCCAGGGCAACTAAGGAGTGTCTCCGTAAGAAGCATCTCAAGGTCCTGGAGTGGCCTAGCCAGTCTCCAGACCTGAACCCAATAGAACATTTTGGAGGGAGCTGAAAGTCCGTATTGTCCAGCGACAGCCCCGAAACCTGAAGGATCTGGAGAAGGTCTGTATGGAGGAGTGGGCCAAAATCCCTGCTGCAGTGTGTGCAAACCTGGTCAAGACCTACAGGAAACGTATGATCTCTGTAATTGCAAACAAAGGTTTCTGTACCAAATATTAAGTTCTGCTTTTCTGATGTATCAAATACTTATATCATGCAATAAAATGCAAATTCATTACTAAAAAATCATACAATGTGATTTTCTGAATTTTTGTTTTAGATTCCGTCTCTCACAGATGAAGTGTACCTATGATAAAAATTACAGACCTCTACATGCTTTGTAAGTAGGAAAACCTGCAAAATCGGCAGTGTATCAAATACTTGTTCTCCCCACTGTATAATACAACAAGAAGTAGGCTATTTAGGATGGGAAACTGAGTGTTTTAAGACTTGTCCATCAATCACTATACTTCGACCAGGGCCAGCCCTAGCCTTTTGGGGGCCCTAAGCGAGATTTGGCCGGGGGGTGGCCACCTCGCAGCAAAACATTTGTCCCACCTCTTGACGCGGAGAGAAAAACATGTTACGTTTTAAGTTAATTACCTTCAATTCTACACATTTTGCTATGGGGTGTAGAGAAAATGTTGCAGGTTTAAATAAAGTTTACTGCAATTCTACAGATTTTGCAATGGGCAGAGAATTTTTTTAATTTACATTTTATAACGAATTTCATGCAATTCTACTCATTTTGCCATGGGGTGCATATCTAATATGATGTCTGAGTGAGAATGACTCACAAAATCAATGGGGGCCACCTAGACGTCAGGGCCCCTGGGCGAGTGCCATGTGTGCCCGGTCAGTATTCGGCCATGATTATTACAAGTTTAGATAGCTGGCTAGACTACTAATAAAAAATAGTTAGCTGACATGGCTAATTGAGTGACTGTCAGTAACTGACATAACAAGAGAAACTGCTGACGCACAACCACATTTTGAAATTGCACCTGGTGTATTCTACTATTCTTACTCTCAAAAGTGAGTTCCTAAAAAATTAAAAGGGGGGTTGGGGTTTAGGTTGGGGGCCCCCTAGCAGCCTGGGGCCTTAAGCGACCACTTATGTCTGGAGCCGGCCATGGCTTCGACTGACTTGTTCTGCTGAGTTGTTGATTGAATATATTTTGGTTCTCTAGGAGTGAGTTTGCACAGACGTCTTCAGCAACGGTTGCCCATCCCTATGGTTATCCTTCCCTTCATGAAGCACGGGGATCTTCACACCTTTCTGCTCATGTCCCGCCTTGGAGACGAGCCCTTTGTGAGTGTCACCTATACATTTTATACACACTCAGTGGCCAGTTTAATAGGTATACCCATCTAGTACTGGGTCGGACCCCCTTTGCCTCCAGAACAGCCTGAATTCTTCAGGGCATAGAAACGTTGCTCAATTGGTATCAAGGGACCTAACGTGTGCCAGGAAAACATTCCCCACACCATTACACCACCAGCCTGTACCGTTGACAGCAGGCAGGATGGGGCCATGGACTCATGCTGCTTACGCCAAATCCTGACTCAGGAACCGAGATTCATCAGATCAGGCGATATTTTTCCACTCCTCAATTGTCCAGTGTTGGTGATTGCCTTCCCACTGGAGCTGCTGCTTCTTGTTTTTAGCTGATAGGAGTGGAACACGGTGTGGTAGTCTGCTGCAATAGCCCATCCGTGACAAGGATCGACGAGTTGTGCGTTCCGAGATGCCGTTCTGCACACCACTGTTGTACAGCGCCGTTATTTGCCTGTTTGTGGCCCGCCTGTTAGCTTGCACGATTCTTGCCATTCTCCTTCGACCTCTCTCATTAACGAGCTGTTTTCGCTCACAGGACTGCCGCTGACGGGATGTTTATTTTCTCTTGCACCATTCTCGATAAACCCTAGACACTGTCATGTATGGAAAGCCCAGGAAGCCGGCCGTTTCTGAGATACTGGAACCGGCACGCCTGGCACCGACGATCATATCACGCTTAGGTCACTTGTTTTGCCCATTCTAACGTTCAATCGAAAGGTAACTGAATGCCTGTCTGCCTGCTTTATATAGCAAGTCACGGCCACATGACCCACTGTCTGTAGGAGTGAACCATTTTCGTGAACAGGGTTGGTGTACCTAAAACTGCCCACTGAGTGTATATTGTTACTACTAATAATAATAGTATTGTCCTAATTGATGCATACCTTCAAATCATGTTTTAACAAAGTAATGTTGCGGTCTCTCCCTCACACAGACAGTGTCACTGCAGATGCTCATACAGTTTATGTTGGACATTGCTCGTGGAATGGAGTACCTGAGCAAAAAAAGCATCATACACAGGGATCTGGCTGCACGCAACTGCATGTGAGTCAATTACCAGCAGAGTAGACAGTGGCTTCATCTCAAATGGCACCCTATTCCCTATAAAGGGCACTACTTTTGATCAGAGCCCTATAGGCCCTGGTCAAAACTAGTGCACTAAATAGCAGGGTTCATACACATTTTGAGAGATGGAATATCATAACTTTTCCATGACGTTTAACCAAATTTCCATTACCAACCATTGGCGGCGTCTCTATGTACGTATAAAAAAGTATGCATAATGTGGTATCAACACTGGGAGGCTGCTTTCTGATCCCATGTACCATCTGTTGTCGTTGTGCAAGGCACTTAACCCCCACAAAGTAGAATACCAGTTAGGCAACTGTATAAAACGCATGGTCAACCCTAGTCTGGAGAGCTACGGGGTGAAGGCTTTTGATCCAGCCCTGCTCAAACACATCAGAACCAGTTTATCAAGGTCTGGTTGAGCAGCTAATCTCTCAAATGTGGTTTGTTAGAGGGGGAGGGGGGGCTGGAACAAAAGCCTGTACACCCATTAGCTCTCCTGGAGGATGGTTGACCACCCTTGATATAAAACATTACAACCAAATACGTCTTATGCCCTTTGAAATAATTTGCTCATTCAATCTATCAAAGATCAAGTGGCTGTGGTAGGCTACAAATCTTTTTATTCAGCTGAAGCAAGCCCACAAATGTTCTAGTATTGTCATTTATCTTAGCTACCTTAGTGTTTACTCACCTGTTTGCGATTCACAAATTGTTATTTAGATTCACATGATTCGATTCATTACAATTTAACCAAAATCCAAACTAATACAATGACGAAGTGAATTGTTCTTTTCATTTTTAAAAAATTGTTAGAGTGTCGTCAGAAAGTTTTTGGGGACATGACGAAAATATGATTACATGCTAATAATAGCTCAACAGTTAACTAGAGCAGGGGTTCCCAGACTATTTCACTCGGGGGCCTCCCTTCCAGCATTGGGGAACATCCCCCCCAATGCTGAGGTCCTTTAAAAATATATATATACAGCATCTTCTAAAAGTATTAAGACCCCTTGACTTTTTCCAAATTTTGTTAAGTATGAAAATGTATGCACTCACTAACTGTAAGTCGCTCTGGATAAGAGCGTCTGCTAAATGACTAAAATGTAAATGTAAAATGTAAGTTAGACTTAATCTAAAATGGATTAAATTAATAATAAATAATCATCAATCTACACACAATACCCCATAATGACAAAGCGAAAACAGGCTTTTAGAATTTTTGGCAAATTTATAAAAAATAAAAAACATACCTTATTTACGTAAGTATTCAGACCCTTTGCTATGGGACTCCAAATTGAGCTCAGGTGCATCCTGTTTCCATTCATCATCCTTGAGATGTTTCTACAACTTGATTGGAGTCCACCTGTGGTAAATTCAATTGATTGGACATGATTTGGAAAGGCACCTGTCTATATAAGGTCCCAGAGTTGACAGTGTATGTCAGAGCAAAAACCAAGCCATGAGGTCGAAGGAATTGTCCGTAGAGCTCTGAGACAGGATTGTGTCGAGGCACAGATCTGGGGAAGGGTACCAAAACATTTCTGCAGCATTGAAGGTCCCCAAAGACACAGTGGCCTCCATCATTCTTAAATGGAAGAAGTTTGGAACCACCAAGACTCATCTAGAGCTGGCCGCCCAGCCAAACTGAGCAATTGGGGGAGAAGGGCCTTGGTCAGGGAAGTGACCAAGAACCTGAGGGTCACTCTGACAGAGCTCTAGAGTTCCTCTGTGGAGATGGGAGAACCTTCCAGAAGGACAACCATCTCTACAGCACTCCACCAATCAGGCCTTTATGGTAGAGTGGCCAGATGGAAGCCACTCCTCAGTAAAAGGCACACGACAGCCCGCTTGGAGTTTGCCAAAAGGCACCTAAAGACTCTCAGACCATGAGAAACAAGTTTGTCTGGACTGATGAAACAAAGGTTGAACTTTTTGGCCTGAATGCCAAGCATCACGTCTGGAGGAAACCTGGCACCATCCCTATGGTGAAGCATGTGGTGACAGCGTCATGCTGTGGGGATGTTTTTCAACGGCAGGGACTGGGAGACTAGTCAGGATCGAGGCAAAGATGAACGGAGCAAAGTACAGAGAGATCCTTGATGAAAACGTGCTCCAGAGCGCTCAGGACCTCAGACTGGTTCAACTTCCAACAGGACAACGACCCTAAGCACACAGCCAAAACAACGCAGGAGTGGCTTCGGGACAAGTCTCTGAATGTCCTTGAGTGGCCCAGCCAGAGCCTCTAACATCTCTGGAGAGACCTGAAAATAGCTGTGCAGCAACACTCTCTATCCAACCTGACAGCTTGAGAGGATCTGCAGAGAATAATTTGAGAAACTCCCCAAATGTGCAAAGCTTGTAGCATCATACCCAAGAAGGTTCGATGCAGTAATCGCTGCCAAAGGTGTTTCAACAAAGTACTGAGTAAAGGGTCTGAATACCTACGTAAATGTGATTTTTCAGTTTATTTTTAATAAATTAGCAAACATTTCTAAAAACCTATATCTGCTTTGTCATTATGGGGTATTTTGTGTAGATTTATGAGGATAAAAAAACAATTTAATAAAGTAACAAAATGTGGAAAAAGTAATGTGGTCTGAATACTTTCCGAAGGCACTGTACATGCAGGTGATGTGATCAAACAGACACACTAAAGCACAGAACAATGAGCCAGATATTTCACCAAATGTATAAATGTGAATAATCCGGTGGGCATTTCCACTAACTACCAAATATGTTGATGAGAGGAAGCACAGTGGCCGGCAAGTGGGAGAAGATGGATTTTGTCCGACATTCAGCACATTTTCTCATTGATGAAACATTTGATCTCCATAGAGTTTTCTGTTTCCAAAACCTGTAACAGAGTGGACTGCGTTTTGTAGACTGTACCCTTAGCCAAAGTTTCAAAAACATTTGTTGTTTAGAAGGAGTGCAAGGGCGAATTGAGTTATTGCACACGCGCACTTCAGAGTAGGTGTTCCCTACCGGAATGTTCAAATAAATGCTAGAATGTACGAATAGGATCTCACTAGCTCAGTGCTCTGCCCACCTCCTTGCTTGTTCTGCCCACTATGATTAATTTGCTCCCATTGGAAACGACATGCTGTGGTCTATCTTAGGTTAGTTATAAAAAATATTTGGCTAAAGTGTCATTCCGATCCTGGCTGATATGTTGATTTTTATTTGATCATATATGTAGAAACTATTCCTAAATAAATGACATTAACAAAAATTTAAAAATTAATTTTCCAAAACTTTTAGGATTTGATCATTTTCCAAAACCTTTCCAGGGCTGGATTTGTTTTATTTATTATTATTATCTTTTTTAAATATCATGACTTTTCCAGAATTTATGACCTACGAACCTTGAAATAGGGAATGGGGCGCAATTTTAAGACTCAGCCTGTCATTTTACTCTATTTATTAACTGGAACTCCCTCGAATATAGTTTACACACTGAATTTACTAGAACTTGGTTCTGCGTCAGGGTTACATTGTGACCATCTCCACTCCTTTATTCATAGGCTGAGTGAAAACTTGACAGTCTGTGTGGCAGACTTTGGCCTTTCAAAGAAAATCTACAGTGGTGACTACTACAGACAAGGATCTGTCTCAAAGCTGCCTGTCAAGTGGATAGCACTGGAGAGTCTTGCTGACAATGTCTACACTACTCAGAGTGATGTGGTATGTTACATACAACCAGACGCACCCTCAGTGTTCATACCTTTGCTTTAAAAATTAGAGTGACACTGTAGGACAGTAATATTTGAGTTGGGATCCCTCTTCAAATCAGCTTTGTGGAAAGGATTACATTTGTTTTGTAATGTAACTTAATGCATCATAGATAAAATGCTGATTTTGTTTTCAGACCAGTCAATTGAATTTTTTAAAACCATGTAGTGGCCCCAGATGTTCACTGACTGATTCTGTTTCATTGATGAGATGTTGTTTTCGGAACTGTCAATTCCTTATCTTTGCCTTTAGCGCCCCCAGAAGTTAACTGACTGTTTCCCACCAGTGGGCGTTTGGAGTCACCATGTGGGAGATCATGGCACGGGGACAGACCCCCTACCCCGGGGTGGAGAACTCTGAAATCTACGAGTACCTCATCAAGGGAGAGAGGCTCAAACAGCCACCTGACTGCCAAGACGACATGTGAGTGATCCACTGGATCTGATAGAAAAGACTCAGCCATTGACAAATCGTGATGGGTTCTGTTATACTTTTCAAATGACTTAAACAATGAAATTATCATTGGTGCCAGAAAAATATAAATCATGAGTTTATATGTTTTACTGTATTTAACTAGGTACCTCATTGAGAACACAATAATGACCTGATAGTTTGAATATTTTTCCAGTTATGAGATCATGCATAGCTGCTGGAGCCCTGTTCCCAAGTGCCGCCCCAGTTTCCAGCACCTGATTGACCAGCTGGAGGGGCTGTACCCAGGGCCTGGTTTTATGAAGGAGGCCCTTCTTTACGTTAACCTGGAGAGTGACAAGGGGGAGCCAGGGGCACTTGGCTCAGGGGAGGACCCCTCGTGGTCAGCAATGCCCTGGCAGTGTGTGGGAATGGAGGAGGATGAGAAAGACTGGCTCATGGTGTCTTCTGGGGCAGCTCTTGCTATCGGTGGAGACTACCGCTACATCATTGGCCCTAACTGCAACTGTACTGAAGAGGAGGGTGGGAGGCAGGGGGACTCAATAGATACCTTGCAGCAAGAAGTCAGGGATGAGGAATATGAAGACGCGATCATTAATGTGTGATTTATATTTTGAACAACATGCCGCCTTCCCTGCCCTACAGATTTCACAGACTGACCAGTAGGTTGTGGAGGGTTGGTCACTCATTACTGCCCTCCAGTGAAGTTTCTGAAAACAACAGCTGCTTACCAGCATTACTCAATGGAGAAAACTTGGATTGAAGTGCATATCTCACTGAACTTTTCTACCCATTTTATTGCCATTCATTCACAGTGTCTTTTTGTACTTTAAACGAAGGACTTCACAACACACACAATCAGCCTTACGTTTACACTGAACAAATCACAACAGTAACACGACTGATATTGTCAATGATACATTTGACTGATATACAGTTAACTTTTCAACTGAAAATTCACTACTCACTGACCGAGGCATTAAATAGTATTTAGATACGCACCTTTTAAAGTTTAGGGACTGAATTTAAAGTAAAATGCTGCCTACGTCCTTAGTGTGTACTGTAGGTGATAGGTATTGAACATTGGTATTTGCTGCTTTGCGAACGTATTCCCTTACACCCTTAACTATGATAAGCACCTCCTGTCCAAAAGTCTGCTACACGTTCTTAATCTGTATTCTCATTTAACCTTAGAATAACATTACACAGGACCACCACTGTAATAATCCCCTAACATTGTGACGGAGTTCTTTTGAAGTACACCATTGAGAATTTATGAAACAGGAATATATGCAGAACAGTGTGTATGTATTCAAAAAATATATATACCAGAGTGAATATGGATATGTGTTAAGACATTAGCCTGATCAAATGTGAGCCTGTCGTTCACTGATGTTCAGAGTGCTTACACACACCCTTGATTTAGCTTTTTGAAGCATTCCATGTATGGGATATCAAGGGACATGATGTTTTAATATATTTTAAATGTTATTTTTTGTATATTGTATAAAATTATTTTCAGAGATACAACCTAGATCATTAAAAACAGACTTAAGAAGCTGGTGCTTTGATTCTCTCTGTCCAGTCCATCCTTACCAGCATGTGTATAGTTGGTTTAGATTTGTGCATCAAGCTACAATGTAATTCTCACCTGAAGTGTAAGTAAATAAAGTATTGGTTGTTTCATCACGTATGGTATATTTTTCTTTGCACCTTTAGGGCGAACATGTAACGAAACCCATGTGCAGTCTAATTTGTGCCCCATCTGATCTGGATAAATGAAGGTCAAGAAAGTTATTTTATTGTAAATTGTCAGATACTGAGATTTGTTTGTCTTCTCCCAATTTCAAAGGTAATTTCAACACCACTGTTGTTGATCTCGCGTGCTGTCAGTCTGATTAATCAGGCTGTAATACACAATTCATTGGTATATACAGCCTGAAACTAATGCATGCAAAATAATAAAAAATGCCTGCATTATTGTGTAAATGTTCCTTACAAGCCAGAATTGAGTTTTTTTTTTTTACATTTTACATCATTTAGCAGACGCTCTTATCCAGAGCGACTTACAGTTAGTGCATACATTATTCTTTTTTATTTTCATACTGGCCCCCCGTGGGAATCGAACCCACAACCCTGGCGTTGCAAACGCCATGCTCTACCAACTGAGCTACCTCCCTGCCGGCCATTCCCTCCCCTACCCTGGACGATGCTGGGCCAATTGTGCGCCGCCCCATTGGTCTCCCGGTTGCGGCCGGCTACAGCAGAGCCTGGATTCGAACCAGGATCTCTAGTGGCACAGCTAGCACTGCGATGCAGTGCCTTAGACCACTGTGCCACTCGGGAGGTTAGTAATACTACATTTTAACTTACTGTACCGGTTGTATGTGCGATTTGTCCTTCAGCTTCTCTATTGAGACAAAATATCCACAGGAAAGTATTGTTTACCGACCTTTTAGAGAGCTGGTAGGTATTTTATTTACTTTACCATTATTTAACTAGGCAAGTCAGTTAAGCACAAATTCTTATTTACAATGATGGCCTACACCGGCCAAACCCGGACGACGCTGGGCCAATTGTGCGCCGCCCTATGAGACTCCCAATCACGTCCGGTTGTGATAAAGCCTGGAATCGAACCGTCTGAGATGCAGTGCCTTAGACCACTGCGCCACTCTGGAGCAGATAAAATTAGTTTCATATAGGATATTCTGTTCTCTTGTCAATACCTATTAAACCAAGCATGCCATGACAATGAAAATTGTATATTCTAAATCAGGGGAGAGGATGGGGAACAATCCACCCTTTTCTTAAAGATTGAAATCATGATTCAGAATATACCATTGTCATGGCATGCTTGGTTCAATAGACGGATTGGTTGTTCAGCGACAAAATCGATGTGTGCACAACTATGGGGTAAAAAATACTGGGTTGGCTTAGAATGTTGACAACATGTAAACGATATTTAGTCTCCAATGTTTCAAAACAAATTTCCACAATGAGCACTCCTTGTCTCTCAAATATAGCTTTACAGTTGGTTAGCTAGCAAATTTGCCATATTAGCATTGTCATGAATTCTGTCAAAACAATGGTATCAAGAACAAAATTGAACTAGCCACTTACGATTCCCCACATAGTTTGTCATTGTTGCTCACCATCCAGAATCACAACTACTCACGGACTTCTGCTCCATGGAAGCATGCGCATTGTTTTTGTGACGTCAGCTAACCCATCTATTGCTATTGAAGAGAACCAAATATAAAACTAATTTTACCTTGGTGCTAATACAAACCATATACCTACCTGCTAAACAATACTTTACGGTGGATATTTTGTCTAAAATTTCAAACAGCTGAAGGACAAACCGCACAGACAACCGGTAGAGTAATTTTTAAAGTTATTTTATTCAACATTCTAGCTTGTATGGAACATTTACACGATTTTGCAGGCATTAGTTTGAGGCTGTATATACCAATTTATTGTGTATTACAGCCTGATCAATCAGACTCGGGCTGTCAGTGTTTGCATCCAAATGAATGGACATCCCCAGGCCCATCCATCAGCGTTAGACTCAGGAGTGGCTATAAAGATTGTAAATGCCATTCCGCTCGGTAAATAACGACAGCGGTCTTTACCGCGTGCCAAGAAGGATTCACCAGTCCCACTGTTCCTCTCAACAATGCTAGGTAGCTAGTAGCTATTGCTGTAAACAAACCAAGTCTTGCGTCGTCGGCGCATATATGACTAACTACAGATCCATAGACAGTAAGCAACGTTGCCAAAACACTGAGCAGAAATACAAGGTTGCAGATAAATTCGAGGTTTGAACGTTTCAAACTGGTTAGAGCTGATTGGCTAGCACGTGTGGCTTCCCCCGAACCAACATGCCCATGAGCTTGGTCCGTCATTACAAAGCTACAACTGTTCATGCGCTCAACATATCGACATGTTTAACTCAAATACCTTGGATCATATTTTCTACCCCAACCTTCCTCTTTGTTGAAGGACCCCTACCAAAAAGCGGAGAGTTTCAAACCTCCCCATGGCGGCGTTCCATTCGGTACCACCACCGCATGCATTTTCTACCTCAGTTTTGAATCATGTGACACAATGGCGCTGAGTCTGCGCAGTAGGACGTGAACGTGCCTCCGCGGGGCTGTGACGTTATTCTACAGCACGCATGTTTCCTCCAGCTGGGAGATGCGAGTTTAACTGAGGAAAATAATTAGAGGATTATACAAAGAATCGACGACTACCATAGCATATTTTGATCTGTTCAAAAGTGCATGAGGTAATGCAGGTGTTTAGTAAAACACGATCCAGCCGAGAAAGACCGAGATGAATTTGCAAGCTCCAAGTCATCTCTTTCTAGCCTGAGGAGGAGTTGACTTGGGAATCACACGCAATTGAATTATATCGTGTTGTGCACGCGCTGGTGTGTTGTTAGCAAGGCTTGCGTGCTTAGGCCTTGCAGGCCCGAGCCACCTTTTTAGTCGTCGCAGTGCACGGCATCGAGGCCATTGGCAGAGAAAGATCTCGATTCATCGTCTTAATCCACTTATAGTAGCTAGGTTGGGAAAGATAACTGACTACATTCCTGCCACCACTTGGTGTTGTCAACAAACCACAGTGTATGCTACCACGGTCCGCCGCAATACAGTAGGTCCGCCAACTTGTTTGTTTACCTGTGTTGTCTCGTGTGGAAATGCAAAATGGCCGCCGCTTTTAGGTCTTTGATTTAATGATATATATTGTTGATGTGTTTTGGAAATGGACAAGGTTAGTGTCAGTACTAACAGTACATATCTTTAAAAATACTATTGAACGCTTATGTTAGAAGGTTCAAGTAGCCTACACTAGGTAGCTATTTTAATAATTAAACTTGACCTATATAAACTATTATTAAAGTAATTACTGTGTCTGCGACATATTTGCCAAAGCGTGTCCATTTTAGATCAAAACATTGTGTGATGTCAACATCAAATTTCATGTGAGTAATATGATTTTCGCTTAGAAAATCTTCAGGCCATTTGAGAGGATGCATACATTATCTTCAATAGGCCTATGGTAAGGCCTAGCAGCAGATTCTGACCCTGTAGGTACGCTTGTTTACACTGAGTTGCTCTGGGGTCGGAATGCAATCGTGGGCTGTGTCCGAACACCCGTACTAGTGTACTACATACTTAGGGTGCGTTCGTAAATTCACTCTGGATATCTACTCTGATTTCAGAGCACTCTCGTCTGAGTGTGCCAGAGCGCAGAATAACTGATTAATTTACGAACGCTCAAAACGCTCGTTGAATATGACCGGTGTCAGTAAATGTTGACAAAAAAAGTAATTCAATTGTTGCCAGCAGCACAGTTAGTCACCAACGTTCTAGACAACATGAAAACAGCCTAACTAGCTCTGCTAGGGCGAGTAAAATGGTTAGAGTGAGGTGTTCTCTCATTTGTGTCTGGAAGTAACTAGCAAGCTAGCCAACTTTAGCCAGTTAGCTTGACTGCCGTTGTGAGCTCAGAACGCTCGGTTCAACCCTCGGCCAGAGAGTCGATTGTGCACTTTAAACGCTCCGAGAGTGAAACACTCAATCTGACAACGCTCTGAATTTACGAACGCCCGGAGCGGACTCTGGCACTCCAGAGTGAATTTACGAACACACCCTTAAACTGCATAGTATTTACTCATCGTCGCATACTATTTATGTTTAGTAAAAAGTAGGAAACGGCTATAGCCTAATACTTTGCTACGGCTTCGCATAGATAACTGGCTAGCTAGTTTAAATATGAAGTTGTCGCTCAACAACAGCAAGCTTATCGGGTATCCAGGTAACTTCAAGTCCTCCTAAAGCACTTAGGTAACGTTAGCTACAGTATTTAGCTAAAGTAAAGGCATGGCAGGCTGCAAATAACTCTGTTTTCAGAGATGTACGATTAAATAGCTGTGATCATTTTAAGGACCAAAAAAACCGACTTACATTTGAACACTGCAGGAGACTCATTGCTCATCTTCTTTGGCATTGTCAATTCGTTTTTTGTTTACTTTCAAAGAACTATCAAATCTCAAAGCCCTCCTTTTATCCGGTTTGAATACATTCTGGGTGTGAAATTCCCGAAAAGTTTCAAATTCATTCATACTACATGAGAAGCCGAAATGAGTGTGACATCCTGGCATTTAAAGCATACTACATTTTCAAAATGTCACATTTAATTTTTTTCGTACTCAAACGGCCTACTATTTAGGACGCTAGTTATGGTTACATTAAGACACAGTGGAGCCGGCGTGAGATATGGGTCGGAAAACGTATCTCAATGCAGGGATGGGATATGGCACTGTACTCCAAATTTTACCTTTATCCACAGTGATACATCGAGAAGATTGAAATACTGCTAGTTTCCTGAAAACTGCCCTTTTTGTCCTCATGCTAGCTAAAGGCAGTTTTCTGGGAAAACTAGCACTATTTCAATCTTCTCGATGTATCAGTGTAGATAAAGGTCCAATTTGGAGTACAGTGGCATATCCCATCCCTGCATTGAGGTACGTTTTCCAACCCATATCTTGCACCGGCTCCACAGTGTTAATGTAACCATGATTGCATTCCGACCCCAGTGCAGCTCAGTGTAAATCGGAATCTGCTGGCTAGGCTATCTCCAATCAATTTCCTTAGCTATTAGTAGTAAACTGGGGGGTTTAATCAAATGTATGAAACATTTATGCACTCACTAAATGTAAGTCGCTCTGGATAAGAGTGTCTGCTAAATGACAAAAAAGGCATGTGTTATCAATTATTAAATTGCAAGACTGATTTACAGTTCTTTGTGATGTCCTTAATTTTTTTGGGTTTAACTTTATTGCCAATTGCTCATTATCTATTGATACATTTTGATTCATTTTCCTTTCTAATTGCGTAATGACCGAATATCCTAGCTATGACTCATGCATTTTCATACTGTTTTGTATAGTAATTTAGCCTAGTATTCGTAATGAATTTAATCATATTTACAAAGTAAGCAAATGTACTGAGAATTGCATGCAAAAGAGTGCATTCCCAGTGAGCAAAATTGGTTGAAATAAATATTTTCAACCAAAAATACATATTTTCAAGGTGTTGTGCTCCATAAGGTTGTTTGTCAATGTTTTGTAAATGTTTTTTGCTGTTCTAATAATTGATCTAAATAGCTTCACGCAGTTAAGGGGCCGGTCATGATCTTCCGTTCTGACCTGAAGAATGTTATATTTCCTCCTGGAAGCTTAACATCTGTTTAGTTCACTTGCTAGTTAGCCAGAATACTGTAGAGATCTGTCAACGTGAGGTGATTTGGCTAGCTAGAGAGTTGGTATTAGCTTGCTAACTCAAGTTGTTTCCTCTTTTGTGACCTCTTTTGATGTCAGATATTCATGATCATATCTTTAAAATATTGTAAAAATATATATTTAAAATATGAAGTATATTTTAAATAGAGTGGCTTGCGAAAATATTCACCCCCTTGGCATTTTTCCTATTTTGTTGCCTTACAACCTGGAATTAAAATGGATTTTTTTGGGGTTTGTATCATTTGATTTACACAACATGCCTACCACTTTGAAGATGCAAAATATTTTTGTTGTAATGCAACAAAATAGAAAAAACGCCAAGGGGAATGAATACTTTTGCAAGGGACTGTATATATTTTAAATATCGCTTTCTTTTTGTTGTTTTTAGGATGTTGAATGAAGACATGGAAGGACAAATGTAAGAGGGCGTTCTGCCCTCGAAAAGGACTGTGACAAGTTCATGGCTGCCAACAAGAAGAAGAGAATAATGGTTCTTCATGAGGAGGGGGCTGCTGCCCCCATGGCACTGCCCTCGGCTGCTTCTCCCCCTGACCGCTTTGGTGCCCTAAACACAGGGCAAGCAAGTGCAGTTGTAGCCAATGAGGAAGCAAACATTCCAGCAACATCCACTCCAGGTTCTGTAATGGGTACTGGTCAAATGGCTTCTACATTGAACTCTGCTGCCAGGTCTAATAACCAATCAGAGAATTTACCACCAGAGAGCACCTACAGCGGTATCAAGGTGATTTTGGACAATAACAACATGTGGAATGAGTTCTTCAAATGCAAAACCGAAATGATAATAACCAAACAAGGCCGGAGGATGTTCCCTTATTGCCGCTTTCGCATCTCTGGTTTGGAGCCCTTCCAGAAGTACACTCTGCTCATGGATATCAACCCTGTGGACAACAAACGTTACAAGTGGACTGGGCAAGACTGGCAAATGAGTGGAAAGGCAGAGGCCCATGTGCTGAGACGGGTTTTCATCCACCCAGACTCTCCATCTTCTGGTCACCAATGGATGCAGAACCCAGTGTCATTCTACAAGCTTAAGCTCACTGACAACACCATGGACCAGGAGGGCAATGTAATTTTGCACCCAATGCACCGCTACTTACCACACCTGCATTTGGTCTCAGCTGAAACGGCTACAGAGGATATTCAGCTCAATGGGCCTGACGTGATAACCTTCACCTTTCCCCAGACTGAGTTCTTTGCTGTAACAGCCTACCAGAACGTACGCATGTCTCAGTTTAAAGCAGATTTCAACCCTTTTGCAAGTGGACCCAACTCCTGGGCTCTAAAGCTGAAAACGAGTCCCTCCAATGAGTCAAAGAAGGATGAAACCAGATCTCCCAATGAACTCAAGCCTTTGAAAGGCTTGAATGGCCTGAAATCTTTGATGGCGGCAAAACGCAGCTCTAAAGACACTTCAACAGTAGATAAAGGACTCCTGAGCCCTGAGGCTCAAAATGTTTCCCTTGCAGATGGTGACAAAACTGAGGTCAAAACTGATGGACCCAGCTCCAGGCTGAAATCAAGTCCCTCCAATGAGATGAAGAAAGACTCAGCCCACTCTCCCAATGAGCGCAAGTCTGCGAAAAGCCTGAATAACCTGAAGTCTTTGATGGCAAAACACAACTCTAAAGGCACATCAGCAGTAGATCAAAGAGTCCTCCGTGCAGATGCTCAAAATGTTACACCTGCAGACAGTTACAAGTCTGGGGTCAACGCTAATGCACCAAGCTCCTGCACTCCAAAGCTGAGAACAAGACCCTCCAATGAGTTGAAAAAAGCAGAAACCACATCTCTGGAATTCAACCCTCTTAGAAGTAGTTTGAGGTCTTTGATCTCAAAATGCAACTCTAAAGACACTTCAGCAGTAGATCAAGGACTCCTGAGCTCAGATGCTCAAAATGTTACATTTGCAGACAGTGACAAGTCAGGAGTCAACGCTGATAAACCCAGCTCCTGCAAGAAATCAAGTCCCTCCAATGAGATGAAAGATGAAACCATATCTCCCAAGGTGTTCAATTCTGTGAAAAATACCCCAAAGTCTTTGCGTAGAAAACGCAACTCTCAAGTTGAAACTGCTACAGTTGCATGCAGTGAAAAGTCAGTCGGAAACACAGAGTCCACTGAACATCATTCTTGGTAAGTTCTCAAGTTCAGTAAGCTACATGTTAGCACTTTTGCTTCTTACTTTAAAATACACTTCTAATCTTTGACCTTTCTATTCTGAGCAGTACAACAGGTCCTCCCCAAAGTAACTTCCCTGAGCTGATTCGGGAGTGTCATCTGAAAATAAGAAGGTGCAATGTGGAGATAACCAATACAACTTGCAGTGTTGTGCAAACGAACACTAAGGGCATCGTTGCCAAAGGCAAAGTTGTGGAAGTATCTGTGAATGACAATTTCCCCCAGATTTCTGAACCTGAAGCCTTGTCCGGGAAGACTATTGAAAATGTGGGAGCCCAGCACAATAGGAATACGATTGACAGTGACAAGGACCTCCTCAATTCATCTCAGTCCCAGGAGCCGGTCAAGACCCCTATGTCAGTCAATGACCATTCAGCAGATGAAGTTGAAAACAGTCAAAAGGCTTCCCAGAGCTCCTCAGTGAGCTCTGAAGCAAAAAGGACAGGTTTTGATGAACAGCTGCAGGGGAAGGCTAAACCACACAAACGACCTGAACCTGTGCCTTTGCCCCTTCTTGCACTCTACCTTCAACAGTTGAAGTCGAAATCCAGACCTGTTAGGACCAAACCAAAACCTCCGGTATTGCCGCCTTCTTCATCCCCATCTTCTGCCGTTCCAGCCACCGATCCTGTTATTCCAGCCACCGATCCTGTTATTCCAGCCACCGATCCTGTTATTCCAGCCACCGATCCTGTTATTCCAGCCACCGATCCTGTTATTCCAGCTACCGATCCTGTTATTCCAGCCACCGATCCAACTGGCCCTTCCATGGACTCAACTGGTCCAGCCCTGGAATCTACTGGTCCAGCCATAGATTCTACTAGTCCAGCCATGGATTCTACTGGATATGCTGTAGTTCCTGCCGGTGGTCCTGCTGATCCAGCTATAGATCGCATTGTTCCAGTCATTGCCCCCTCTGGGCCAACCACAGACTATACTGGTCTACCTACCGATATTTCAGTCCCAAACACAGATTTTTTGGTTCCTGCCACAGATGCATTGTTACCAGAACCTAATCCAGTTTTACCAACCACTGATCAGTCGTTTCTTGTCCCTGAGCCTACCTTATCCATTGCACTATCATCCCCGACCCCTTGTTTTCCAGCAACTGTCTTGTCATCATCACCATTCCCTGACCCATTCGTACCAGCCCCTTCCTTGTCATCCCCAGCCGAAGAACTGCCACCCCCTGTACCGGTCACATTAAACCTAGCGGCTGATCTATCATCACTTACCTCTGACCCTCCCTCAACTGCTTCTGCACTGTCATCAACACCTAGTCTTGCCACCTTGGAACCTGAGTCTACCCCCTCGTTACCATCCCCTGGCCCTTCGCGAGGTGGCTTTGAGCCATCATCACCTGCATTATTATCAGATCTTGAACCCCCTTTAACTTCCCCTGTTACATTGAAACCCGAAACCGCCGCCCCCTCCTTACCTGTACCTGCCTCCTCATTCCCGGCCCTTGAACGATTACCGGCCCCTAACCCTTTTGTTCTCTCCTCTGAATTTTCATCACATGGGTCACTTTTAGGCCTACCTGCCCCTGATCCTTTTTTAACAATACCCTTTATCCCATTGTTGCCTTCCGCTCACCTTAACCCATTACCCTTTGAGGCAAACTCATTTTCCTCTACCTCTCACCTTGGCTCACTTGCTCTGGACACTGCAATATCCCCACCTCCCTCGGACACTGCCTCATCATTCCAAGTCAATTATGAACCATTAACACGCCCTTCTACACCGTCTCCACTCCCATTCCAGTTGTCACCCTTTTCATCGTTAGGTCCAGACCCATTGTCACCAACCCCATCACTGGCTGACCTCACTAACTTTTTCTCCATCGCCGATGAGCTTGAGATAACTGAAGACTTCCCAAGCAGTGAGGCAGCTCCTGTCCCATGTCCTCCTGTCCCAAGTTTAAGTACCCCTAGCGTACCAGTTAGTTATTCTCTACCGGTTGGTTCTAGTCAGCCATCAAAGAGAAATAAACCCCGGAGATCTAAGAAGAGATCTAGGAAAGGAGTGAAATCTGCCAAGGGTGATTCACTCCCAGTGATTGGCGGACCCACAGATGTCACCATGCAGCCCAACCTGGAGGAAGTTGAGGAGCAGCTGTTTGTCTCTTTCACTTCCAAGGTACGGCGTAAATAGTAAAATGTATTTTTGTATGTCAGTTATTTGGTAACACTTTACTTGCATTCATAACACCTTTTATGAGTGTTACAGATCATTCACAAGAACCTTCGTAACACATGTATACATGTTACCCTAAGAGCACATGTTTTTGGCTTATCTTGGCAGAGAACACAGTGTAGAGGCCTAACATGACATTTACAATGGGTGCTCCTGGCCAGAACTGGCTCTAGGCCAGGCACTCTGTTTACTTCAGATCCACCTTATCATGGATATTGTCAAAGAAAAGTTCATAATTCAATAAGATAATTCCAAGGGCTGTTTACCCAGTGGCATCCTGCCAAATTGAGAGATCAAGAGAGAAGATGCACAAGGCTCAATGCAAACAGTCACTAGCTGTTAACCCTTTGCTAGACTGTTATGTGAAAGGTGTTCTGAATGCGTTATGTATACCCCCTTCAAGTAAATTATTACCATTATTTAATGGTGTGCCACGCCACCTGTGTTTCCTCGGTTCTTGTTTAAGGGGGAGGGAGATCTTTAACATGGAAATCGTTATTTTGGTTATGTTTCTTGTAAAGCGAATAAAATGTTTTATCCCTATTCATATGTTTTCAACAGCCTACTGTTTATCCAAAAAATTGCAGCATGAAAATAATACAGCATATTATAAGCTGTGCAATAAGACATCATAAGGGCTCATAACAAGTAACAAAGCATTAGCTATATCCATCGGTTTTAAGTAAAGTGTCATATTTAAGTAAAGTGTTGTAATTTACAGGAAGCACTTGAAGTCCACCTGGGAGAGCCTGCACTTTGTGAGACGACGACTGCGCAACCTCAGAAAACCCCAGAGGCGACAGAGAATGGTACAGAAAATAACCAATTTGATTGATCATGGTCTCAAGCTGCTGTTACGTGACGCCTGTTAAAGCAGTTAAACTATTTCTCTTTCAGTTGGAGGACTAGAAACCACAGAGGAAAGAATAGCAGCTTTCGAGAAGGTTATTTTGGGTGATCTAAAGGTTATGAGGCATCGGCAGGTCATTCATCCCGTGTTGCAAGAAGGTAACACTAAAATAAATGGCTGTTAATGACAGCGTATATATACTTTTTATTGACAATAATTTCCTTGCACACTAGCATGTGACTCATGTCCCACTGTGCTTTTCATGACAGTGATCATGTGATGTTTAATCTTATGATGGTAGAATGCTTTATTATGATGCATAGTCTATGCTTGACGATCGCTTATCTGTCATCTGTGTTGTTTGAAGTTGGGCTGAAGATGAGTTTACTGGATCCCACTCTGGTCATTGACCTGCAGTACTTAGGTGTTCGTCTACCTCTTCCTCCACCCTTCCTATTTCCAGAACCAAGCTCTGCAGGATTGGCATCTTCTCCAAGTTAGTAGTTGTTTAATGTTGGAGTTTCTGTTTTATTCAAATGGTTAAGAGTATTTTTTTCAGTAACCTGTTAAGTGTTTTATTAGGATAGTTTAATACATTTTGAAAGGAGCAATTGTTTATTGTCATACCTTTTTTTCCCAAGGTGGTTCAGTCCCCTTTGTCTCCAGGACAGGCAAGACCACAGACTTCACCCAAATCAAAGGCTGGAGAGATAAATTAGTCCCCTCGGACTCGCCATCATCCTCCAAGCCTGAAGGTAATATTTACATTCAAATCCTACGTCTTCTCTGATTTGATAAACTAATCCTCAAGACTCCATTCACATCAACAGTTGTAACCTTTGACCTTGAATTTGTCTGAAATATTGCATGGTGCTTTAATGGTGGCATTTCCAGAGGGGATACAGTGGAGACTGTTTAATGTTGACGTTTTACCTCTGACGTCTTGAGAAAGGCTTTAATTTAAGCAGTCTCAGCTATATCTTGTGATTCCTATACTATGTAGCCCTATAGGGGATACAATTGACTGTGTAGTGCTGATTCAAAAATGTTTTTGCTTTAAAGGTGGCCTAAGTTCAGATGTGGTCCCGAAGAACTTGTCAGCCTTCTGCAGTGACATGTTGGATGAGTACCTGGCTAATGAAGGTAAACTCATTGACGAGCGCGCTGCCAGTTTCAACCAGACCACTGTCGTCACCCCTGTGGTCTACCAGCTGCCCACCAAGAGCACCAGCTACGTCCGAACCCTAGACAGTGTGCTGAAGAAACAGGCACCAGCACTTTCTGCCACCTTTGTCCCCCCCTCCAAAAAACCCAGACAGCCCCTCGCATCCAAAGGACCTAAAAAATTGGAGAAAAGGCAACAAAAACAACAACACGCAAAGCAGAACAGAACTAAACCAACTTCTGCAACAACACCAACACCATCGCCCACTGAGCCACCACCGCCGCCATTGCTGGATCATGCAGCCCCCATCACCCACGACGACACAATTAAAACTGTGAAAAGGAGAAAGAGGAAGCCGAGGGTCAAGACTCCTCCACCAGCCCAAGACGCTCCTGTGTCCAGGCCAGAGGTAGAAGAGCCACCTCCCGCTGACCTGGCTCCTGTGGAAGAGGATGACTCAGACCCAGAGCCACAGCCTGCTGCCGAGACCAGGGTCGTGGTTCCTGGGCTGACCAAGGCCCTGCTCCGACAGCGGGATCTGGAAGACGGGGTTGTCTGGGAGGGCAAGCATCGTACCTGTATCACAGACGAGAGGGCGACGGTCGCCCTCACCTCCCTCTTCACCTCAACGGTAAGATCAGTTACACCCCTACACCATTAAATCTGCTTATTGACTCATTTCGTTTGGTCTCACATGAAGGAGCAAAGACGTGTTGTCGTACATTTGTAGTGTTGATCTTGTTTAATAAGATTATTTTGTGAGTGTGTTATACCAACTCTACGATGGTATCCCTGATAAATTAACCATGCTAGCACTAACAGTCTACATTTACTTGCCTCTTTTCTCTTCAGGGTTTTGTTTGTGAGAACCCTACAGCTCCCGTTAGGATTATAAAGCACAGAGCTCCTCCCTGCCTCAAAGCGTTCTGCCGGCTAGGCTGTGTGTGTGCCAGCCTAGCACAGGACCGTCGTATTACCCACTGTGGAAAGATGGAGTGCATCTTTGGCTGCAGCTGCCTCAGGCAGAAAGTGGTCGTGCTCAAGAACTTAAAAGGACCAGATTCCAGTGCGTCAGAGGAGGGCCCGTCCAAGAAGAAGAGGAAGAAGAGGAGGAAGAGGATGAGGATGGCATATAGTGAGTGTCCTCTAGTTTAGAAAACCGCAGAATAAAACATTGTTATGAAGCTCTATGAATAGTTTTAAAAATGTTCCATACACTTTTTATTTGCTATACTACATTAGATTAGGTTAAATACATCACAAAGTGTGTCCATCCTAATGTAAAAAATTACATTTTGCATTAATTTGTAACTTCAGCTCTCAGGGAGGCTGAGACGGTATCAGAACCAGCTCCGCGTGTGAGAATGTTGTGGAAGCAGACGGATGGAGAGATGGACCCGGAGCCCCTCCGTGCCCCAACACCAGTCTACCTACCACAGCTTCCACTACAGGAAGAACCTTCAGCAGTGGTGAGTCGTGAAAGGGTGTCTATCTATCCATAAATGTTAGATATACCACTGTAAAAATAGAATTCATATTCTCACCCCCTGCCTTTTCTAAAGGTGTATTTTTCTCAGGTGAGAGAGGAAGGAGGGACCATGACATGTGCCAGAGTGCGTGCCTTTCAAAGCAAGAGCACAAACCGACCTGAGGTCATTGACGACCACTGCAAGCCAAAAGACTCCGCACCAGGTAAGTTCAATGAGTCAAATTTGACATAATCTTCTTAACCCCAAACATCAGTGTCTGTCTGAGAGTATATTTATCAGTCAGTGAAACACATCAGTAATTGGTTGCTTCCAAAAATCATGCATTTCTAATGGCTGTTGACTTTGTCTCTTGATGTAGTGAACCCTTCCAGTATGTCAGAGAAGTCGTCGTCCTTCCATGGTCCCGTGTACACGGAGCCCTCCAAGCGTCTGGAGATCGTGTCTGAGTGTAAGTGGAGGAGCCTGGCGGACAGGAACATGGTGCTGAGGATCGTGTGTGAGCACATGGCCCAGGACCACCTTACCAACCCCTTCTGGGTGAAAGGTTACCTCATAAAACCTGTGTCTCAGACCCTGAAATATGACGGCGAATGCTGCTCCGTCCACTACAAGGTACACATCTCTCAGGTCCCGCGACCGGAAGGAGTGGAGGAGGAGGAGGAGGAGGAGGAGGAGGAGGAGGAGGAGGAGAGCGGTGAGGAGGAGCAATGGATGGGAGAGGAAGATGAAGATGAACTGATGGAGGAGCAGAGAGAGGAGGATAAGAACGTGGAGGAAGTACCTGTCGTTGAGGAAGTGGAGAAGAAGGCTGTGGGGAATAGAAAGGGTCTGAAATGGAAGGGCCTGCCTTTCTTAACAGGAATTTCTCCTGCTGGCCTCCTTACTGGCAACCTTAAGCTGCCAGACATCTCAGACCAGGAACTTATCACGGTAAGCATTGTAATCCAAAACACATCCAATGATCAGTTAATTTTACTACTCTTATTGATGTGGAATGGCACCCTATTCCCTATGCAGTGGGGGGGAAATTACATGTTTTATTGTCACACACCAGATAAGTGCAGTGAAATGTGTTGTTTTACAGGGTCAGCCATAGTAGTACGGTGCCCCTTTAGCAATTAGGGTTAAGTGCCTTGCTCAAGGGCACATCAACAGATTTTTCACCTTGTCGGCTCAGGTATTTGGACCAGCGACCACTCTAGTGCACAGGGCTCTGGTCAGAAGTAGTGCTCTACATAAGGAATAGGGTGCCATTTGGGACGCACACTATATCTAGCTATGAGGAGAATACACATGGTCCATTGCTACTCACACTTTCCCCCTGTGTATCTTTAGGTGAATGGCAGGTCCTACCCCCATGCCAAGATACAACTGGGTGTGATGGGAGCCATGCACCCAGCCAACCGTCTCGCTGCTTACCTCACGGGCAAGTTACAAAGGCCTGCCTGTCTAAAGCGGTCTATGGTGGCCTCCTCCGTCCCATCACAAAAACACCCCTCAGAAACCCCTGAATGTTCTGAAGGTTCCACAGATACAAGGTCCTCTACTGGACAACCAGCCCAACTGGCAGCCACTCCTTCCACCACGGTTACCACCAGTGTTCCCTCTGCCACTCCAGTTGCCCCTGGCCCAAAGTCCATTGGTGAGAACTACTCTTTGTTGTGTTTTATTGAGCTCAGTTTGTGATACTACCCCCCCCCCCCCCCCCCCCCCCCCCCCCCCAAATCTCATATAACTGAATAAAAGTCAGTCACCCCCTCCCCACCCCCCCATCTCATCCTGGGCTGATGCTGTGTCTCGTGTTTCACTGTCACACTGGCATCAGTGTGTGATGTGATATGGGGATTGTTCTGTGTGGTGTGTTTTTTTTTGGTTGAACATAGTTTCATGGTTATGCCCATGTTGTTTATCATCATTAATGAAAAATCCACCACTTTGTTTACAGGTGCAAACGTATCACCCCAAAATGCGTCCCCCGTCAGTGGAGTGGACACCAGTCCCCCGATGCTGGTGCTCTCTGTCCCAGGGACCAGTCCTGCTGTCAGAATGCCTTGTCCTCCTACCTCCCCGTCCCCTCTCACATCCCTGACCCCTATCATGTCCCTGACCCCTCTCGCATCGGGTCAGAGCATGCTGCTGCAGCCAGTGAGGAACGCCTCAGGGAACACCCTATACCGGAACCCCAACGGACAGCTGATCCAGCTGGTTCCCCTCAGCCAGCTGCAGGCCCTTAACCCCAACCTCGTCATGCACAACAAGGGTTAGTGTCTGACAGTTAACATTATTGATGCCAAGGCACTGCTGCAACACTGAGTATGTTGATAACTATGTTATGAAACAATGACTTGGCAATGTTAGGAAGACGGATCAGGGATTCCCATGTATAATATGAAGTTATTATCTCCAACGAATGAATGTTGCTTAAATACATACAGTTTTTGTGTATCTGTAAATAATGGCAAAATAATTTAAAGTATTAACCAGTGTTCCATCCAACATTTTTATGCGAGTAAAGTACATGTTGAAGAAAAATAAATACATTACGACAGGCCTGATGGAAACAGCAAATTTGTCAGTAAACTTTCCAAATGTCGACAACAAAATACGCTAGACAAGGTGGGATCTTTTTGTGTCTAAAATTAACTATTCGAGAAATGACGGTGGAGTCGCGCAATGGTAGCCTATGTTGTATGGTCCTCTCACGACTCGGGAAAGCATGCAGTGTATTAGGATACAGATTAAATAAGTTATGATTAACTTTACAGGGTTGTGAAAGTGCACGGTGATGAGCTTGATGCTCCTTTCCAATAAATATTGAGGGTCTTATTCTGGTGACATGATGATCGATGCTTGGCTGCCGTTTGACAAATAAATATTGTCCATAGTAATGATCTCAACATGTAGGCTGTTCCCGCACTGTATCTGCAAGCTGTTGGTTAGAGCACATGTGCCAATACCAGAGTGGGGACATTCGCTATATACACAAAACATTTTGTGACAAAACCATCAGTAGATTTGAAAATGTGATGGAAACGCATTTAACTTGTGTTTTTTATTTGGTACATGGGAATTTAACCTCAAGTTATTTTACGCGCAGACATTTATCCGCAACATGTACATTTGATGGAAACACATCTCTGATGGGACAATGCGCATATTGTTTTTATGCAGATTTTAGAATATTCAGATGAAAATCTGTTGCAAATTGGATGGAAACCTAGCTACAGCTGAACTTTTCTATTTTATTTTCAGGTGGGATGATCAGTTTAACCACGCCTGCGTGCTTGGCCTCAGGATCGACAGCCACCATTAACAGCTCCCCCTCCACCTCCTCTCTCACCACATGGCAGAGCAAGGGCCCTGGTTGCAGTGCTTCCACCATCAGTACTGCCCCCCTTGTCCCTGTCACTTTCCCAAAGACCCAGACTGCATCCAGCACCACTTTCCCCGTCCCTAAAACCACCCCTGGTTATGTTAGTCTCTCACCCACCGAGACAAATGGCGGGACGTACACCTTGAAGATAGTTCCTCAGACAGGCAACAAGGAGCCCATCATCATCAAGTGTCCCAACGTGCCAGCCCAGGGCTCCTCCAAGGTGATGCCTGTAGTAGGGGGCTTTACTGTGCTGCAGCCTCACCCGAAAACCACAGTAATTACTGTCAAATCCCCCACAAAGACGGTTACGGACACCGGTGTCAAAGTTGACAGTATCTCCACAGTGGCCGCCAATGTAGACCCCAATTTAGACTCTAATGTAGTCTCTGAGGTGTATAGTTGGATGCTGCCTTGCCAGAAAACCACAACACCTCCTATAACCACAAAACCCTCTACATCCACAAAAACCCCTAAAGGCCCCCCGTTTAAATTTATAAAAGCTGATGCTATATCCCCAGCGGACTGCAATTTAGACCCTAAAATCCAGCCTGAGGTGGTTAGAGTGCTGCAGCCTCCCCCGAAACCCCTTAAACCCCCTATAACCCAGGTTACAAAGACAGGGGTCAAAGATAACACCATCTCCACAGCGGATTCCAATCTCCTTACTAAGATGGTTCATGTTGATGACCCCTACCAGACGTGGACAGGAAGACCGAAGAAGAAGAGGAAGGAGGTGGAGGACCTGGTGGAGGATGAGGACGACAAGGATGAGGAGGAAACGGATGAGAAGACGGACAACTCATCTGATGAGACCGATTCTGCTGATTCAAGTGTTAATAAAGAGGATCTCATCGACGTCATCAGTGTAAGAACTCTCTTAGCTTTATACAACACGTCTGTTTTCAGATTCCGTCACCTACATTTCCTATTCTCTCGTTTTAGACTAAACAGTAGTAGTGTGTCTCTTTCTTGGTTTGTGTATTTGTGTGGGTAGGTCCGAGTAATTTAGATGTAAACAGTCTTGTTGTTCTGTACCTCAACTATAGCGCCATTGTGCCTTAGTTTTAATATTCAAGTCTGTAGTTTGCCATTTAGTCTCCATGATAGAGCTTCTTCCTGTTGCGTTCTGTAGAGGCAGTTGAAGCACAATGTGGAGGAGAGGCATCGCCGTTATGAGCTCCATGGATGCTTCCAGCGGCTGAGAGAGACACTGAAACTTGCCCAAAACGTTGCCAAAGTTTATATCATTAAACAAGTAAGCACCTATAAAGGGATGGTTAACTTTTTCTTAAAGTTTTTGCTTACTTTGACTTACCCGGTGCTCTTGTTTTATACAAACCATTATTCATTTTGTTCGATTTAATATCCCTTTAATTAATGGAGGCATCCCAAATAGCTCCCTATATAGTGCACTACTTTTGACCAGAGCCCTGTATAGGTAGTCGGGTGCCATTTGGGACTCAGACAAGGTATTTGTATATTTTGATAATGTGGCCGATTTTAGAGCTGTGCTTTGGCTTTGTTTTGTTGATGCATCTATTGTCGATGGATTAAAAAGTCAACTCAAATAAATGTATGTTACCAGGCAACGGAGGAGATCCAAATCCTGACAAAGGAAAGTACGGACGTGGAGAAGCTGAGGAGTTCACTGACCCTGGAGAGAGCAGCTATTGTCAAGAAGATGTCCCAGTTAACTGGTAATAATGGACACTCCTGTAACATTTCAACATTCAACCAACGTTCAACCAACATCTAACCAACATCTTTCCCTCCATAGGAGAGTCTGAGAAGCAGATCCTGAGGAACATCCAGTACATCTGTTCCCAGCAGAAGAGCGAGCTACTCGTCAACAGGAATAAGGAAGGAGTTCCCAAAGTCTCCTCTGCTGTCTCGTCCTCTTCAGCTGTCTCGTCCTCTTCAGCTGTCTCGTCCTCTTCAGCTGTCTCGACCTGCAGTGAGGCCAAGCCGAGGCCAAGGCCAAGGCGCGACCTGGTGGAGGATGAGGACGACAAGGATGAGGAGGAAACGGATGAGAAGACGGACAACTCATCTGATGAGACCGATTCTGCTGATTCAAGTGTTAATAAAGAGGATCTCATCGACGTCATCAGTGTAAGAACTCTCTTAGCTTTATACAACACGTCTGTTTTCAGATTCCGTCACCTACATTTCCTATTCTCTCGTTTTAGACTAAACAGTAGTAGTGTGTCTCTTTCTTGGTTTGTGTATTTGTGTGGGTAGGTCCGAGTAATTTAGATGTAAACAGTCTTGTTGTTCTGTACCTCAACTATAGCGCCATTGTGCCTTAGTTTTAATATTCAAGTCTGTAGTTTGCCATTTAGTCTCCATGATAGAGCTTCTTCCTGTTACGTTCTGTAGAGGCAGTTGAAGCACAATGTGGAGGAGAGGCATCGCCGTTATGAGCTCCATGGATGCTTCCAGCGGCTGAGAGAGACACTGAAACTTGCCCAAAACGTTGCCAAAGTTTATATCATTAAACAAGTAAGCACCTATAAAGGGATGGTTAACTTTTTCTTAAAGTTTTTGCTTACTTTGACTTACCCGGTGCTCTTGTTTTATACAAACCATTATTCATTTTGTTCGATTTAATATCCCTTTAATTAATGGAGGCATCCCAAATAGCTCCCTATATAGTGCACTACTTTTGACCAGAGCCCTGTATAGGTAGTCGGGTGCCATTTGGGACTCAGACAAGGTATTTGTATATTTTGATAATGTGGCCGATTTTAGAGCTGTGCTTTGGCTTTGTTTTGTTGATGCATCTATTGTCGATGGATTAAAAAGTCAACTCAAATAAATGTATGTTACCAGGCAACGGAGGAGATCCAAATCCTGACAAAGGAAAGTACGGACGTGGAGAAGCTGAGGAGTTCACTGACCCTGGAGAGAGCAGCTATTGTCAAGAAGATGTCCCAGTTAACTGGTAATAATGGACACTCCTGTAACATTTCAACATTCAACCAACGTTCAACCAATATCTAACCAACATCTTTCCCTCCATAGGAGAGTCTGAGAAGCAGATCCTGAGGAACATCCAGTACATCTGTTCCCAGCAGAATAGCGAGCTACTCGTCAACAGGAATAAGGAAGGAGTTCCCAAAGTCTCCTCTGCTGTCTCGTCCTCTTCAGCTGTCTCGACCTGCAGTGAGGCCAAGCCGAGGCCAAGGCCAAGGCGCATGGGGGGAGTGACAGCAGAAAAGGAGGAGGAGGACAGGGAAGCGGTGATGGAGGTGGTGGACCTTCTGGAGGACACAGAGGAGGACATGGAGGAGGTGATGGAGGTGGTGGACCTTCTGGAGGACACGGAGGAGGAGAAAACTGACAACTCCTCGGATGAGACCGAGGATTCTGCCGATGACGACAACAACAAATACAACAATGTTAAAGGGGACGTCATTAACATCATCAGTGTAAGAACTGTTATACTTCATTATAAACTGGGTGGTTCGAGTCCTGAATACTGATTGGCTGACAGCCGTGGTATATTTAAGCAATAAGGCCCGAGGGGGTGTGGTATATGGCCAATATACCACAGCTAAGGGCTGTTCTTAGGCACGACGCAACTGATTACTAATTAGAGCAGTACAAATAAATGTTTTGTGATACCTGTGGTATACGGTCTGATATACCACGTCCGTCAGCAAATCAGCATTCAGGGCTCAAACCACCCAGTTTATAACAGACTGCATACCACGGGTATGACAAAACATGTATTTTTACTGCTCTAATTACGTTTATAATAGCAATAATGCACCTTAGGCGTTTGCGGTATATAGCCAATATACCACGGCTAAGGGCTGTATCAAGGTACTCCTCGTTGCGTTGTGCAAATGAACAGCCCTTAGCCGTGGTATAATGGCCATATACCACACCCCCTCGTGCCTTATTGCTTAATTATACAACACAGTTCGATTTCTGTCTATTAAAATCTTGCCTTTTTCTCTTGAGAATCATGGTTTTACTGGTTTTTAACTACAACTCATCTGTCTTTCAGGATGTTGAAGAAGTCGCGGAAGAGGAGGTGGCTGTAGACCTTGAGAGTGTGGAAGACAATGCACAGAAGAGCACCACTTCACAACTGAAGGCAAAATATACTAAAGAAGTGGAAGGAGAAACGGGGCCCAAATTAAGAGTATGTCCCCCCCCCCCTCTGTGTTATTACAAAGACAGGAACAACCTTTTAATGCCTTCCTTCAAATATGGTTGTGCTGTGATTTCACTGTCCATGGTTATAATTTGAAGTGTTCTTGGTTCAATGTTACCATTAGCACTGGGACTTGCGCAACAAATACGAGAGACAACGCTGTGCTGTGCTTCGGAAGAGCTTTAAAGCCCTGACAGAGACGTTGGACCTTGGCAACCCAGCACCTAATAATGTTTTCATCCTCGGGCAGGTAAGACTAAGGCTGTATCCCAAATGGCATCCTATTCCCTATATAGTGCACAAGTTTTGACCAGGACCCATAGGGCCTATAACACCTCAGTAATATTCAGCTGACTAATTAATTGACCCTGCTTTGTGACATACAGTACCTCCCAGAACTGCATCATTTTATTTAGTAAAGAACCTCTTCAGGAAATACAAAGTATTGTCTCTGTTATTTAACAGGCCCGAAAACAAGTCCTTGACCTGAGAGACAAATGCGAGCGCCTGGAAAAACTGAAGAGCGCGCTGACGGAAGAGAGAGCAGGTTATATTAAGAAAATCTCAAAGAAATCTGGTAATGGGATTTACATTTCACTTCCCCCCCTTCTCTCGTCTTCTATTCAGTCTTTCCTTCCTATAACACTGGCCTATGTTCTCTCATTTTACATTTACATTTTAGTCATTTAGTAGACGCTCTAATCCAGAGCCATTTCCAGTTAGTGAGTGCATACATTTTTCATACTCTCAATAGGAAAGACAGAGGAGCTCATCATCAGGAAACTTGAGGACATCTCGACCAAACAGAAGAACATGGACGTGGTGTTCAAAAGGAAGTGGAGAGGGGCGACCTCGGCCCCGTCCTCGTCATCGGTCTCACCCAATAAAACAATTTCACCCAGGAGCACTCGACAGCCTGAGCCAAAGCCCCTGGCCCCCGGCCTCAAGTTAAAGGTCGTACCCACCCCAGTCCCCCACTCTATCCCCCGAAAGCCTACACCCCAACGACCCAAAACAAGTCCCATCATCACACCACCTTCCAGGAAACCACCCTCAACGTGGTGTTCGCTGGGTGAAAGGGCCAAACCTAACATCCTGTCTCGCAGAAAAATACACCCTGCCCCAGGTGAGCCTCCTTCCCTCTGACCCTGTTACTGTCTATCAGCACCAAATGGGACATATTGACTTCAATAAGACAGACTGCTGGTCTAAAGACTGAACTTCCATGTGAAGAAATAAAGCACTGTGAATAATTTAGATCCTTTTTTCTGCCTCCCCAACAGATTCCTTACCGGTTCATGCTGGGTTTCTCCCTCCTCAAATGCTGTCTATAGTGGGTGGAGTGATACCATCTCAGCAGGTGATCACCATGAGCCCAATGCAGCCTGCCCGTTCTCTGCTGCCGGTAGGACGCGTCACTGGAATCGAAATGCAACAGTCTCTAACACCAGGTAGGCTTGTAGTGACTCAAGGTACACTGCATTGACTCAAAGTTGCATTGAAATGTTTGCTGATTTGATTTTGATTCTTCTTAAATGTCTCACTTTTTTTAGGTGTTGCTTCAGTCACCATCAGTATCCCCTCAATGTCCGAACCCATTTCTCTCACTCCACCTCGTAATAACCGCAACAGGGGAGGTAACTTCCGACAGACGTTTTTACCGCTTGGATATAGAAATCTTTAAATCTGATTTGAATTAGCTGAATGTGATGCCATTGAGACAAAAAAATGCATTTGTTTCCTATTTTTCAGTTCCTCATATCGCCAATGTGATTTCACTGGTTAACGCCCGACAGAACCAGTCTGCTCCAAGTGTGTCAGGGGGAGCTCAGAGGATGTCATCCCCAGTGAAGGGTAGGGGCAGTGGGTTGGAGGACGGAGAGGTTCTGGGGAAGCAGCTGGACCACGCTGTAGACAGTGTAGGGATCAACGACGCAGATGGAAACTCTGATGAGGAGGACGAAGACGACGAAGAAGGTGACGGTGAAGACGAGAGCCTGACGTCTCTCCTCAACGATATATTCTTCCTCAACCAGCAGATGACCACAGACAACAACAGCAGCCCCAGAGGTCCTCCAGTGGTCACCCACATACCACACACCGAGCCTGGGGAGGTGGGGACTGAGAGGGTACCCCCACCTCAGACAGACAGGGTGCTACCACCACCAGAGAAGGAGATCATCAGAGATGGAGATGACGAGCGCTCCCTCAGCCCCTTGTTCCTGAGACTGGACGAGGACCCTTTGGGGCCCAAAGAGGGCCAGGGCCAGGAAGAGGCTTCCAAAGGCCCAGGCCTGCCAGTACCACAGCCACAGGCAGAGGACCTTAAATCAGAGACTGCTTCTGTTTCTGCTCCTGCTGCAGCTGTCAATGGGCACAGCCCACAAGCAACAGCATGCACTGCAAAAGGTCAAGATGCACTGCAAAAGGCGCTGACCCCGCCACCGCTGCTACAGATGAAAGTTGGAGGAGTGGCCAAGGTGATGGAGTCCAATGAGAAGCCAGGGGATGCCCTGGCCCCGCCCCCACTGCTGCAGATGAGGCCCATGCCAAGACTAGCCCCACAAGGACTAAAGAGCAACCCTCAGACATAGAACTAAGCACTAACTCACTTAGGCCCAGGTCAACGTTGTAGCTATCTCTCCTCAATACTCTCATTCACATAGGTCGTATTCATTCGGCACCAAACGGACAAAAACTGACTAAAATAGGGTGAGACTACTTGAACTTGTCCAATGAGAAACGTTAGTTTTCTGTTGCAAAGCGTTTTGCTATGGTGTGCCGTAATGAATATGACCCTTCTGGCAAAACCAATCAGGGATAACTACATTTACGAACATACATTTAGGAGATCCTTGTGAAAAAAGTTATTTGTTTTGTTTTATAAGCGGCACTACCTGACGAGGCGTATCGGAAATCTAAAGACTGACATGACACTGTTCTGACAGTCAGGAGTCATGTTTTTCTGTTCAAATCTCTGTTGTCTAGACCTGTATTCATGAAGTGTCTCAGAATAAGAGTACAGATCTAGAATCAGTTTAGCCTTTTAGATCATAATGAATAAGCTTACATGGATCTGATCCTAGATCAGGTTCCTCTAAGACACTATAAATACAGGCCCTGAACTGTTGCTTTTCTTTCCCTCATTTTAAAGAGGAGATGCAATGAATATCGTATAATAATAAGCTGCCAGGACCTCAGTACATTTAAGGGTGTCCAGTATGTTCTGCCTTTTAAGGGTTGCACACATCGCACCGAATGTGGATCTCCCGTTGTTTACCGATCGTTCAGCGCGCTGTTGACGTCTTGTCTGACTGCCGACATCTTCGCATGTTTCTATATGTTAAACCGGTTTGCACTCGGTTCACAAGGACTCTCGGCAGACAAACGCTATTGGTGTATTTGAGCCCTTAGAGTATATTATTTGTTCAATCAGAGCAAGACGATTTGTAGACAGACAGCTGACGGTATGGATGCCAGTTCTGTTCATAGTACTGTACTGTTGTATATAACAAATCCTGTCTCCATATTGGAGTGGAGGATCTCTATTTCTTCATGTTTGTAGTGAATTAAGACTTAAAGGTTAAGGAACATTTCATCCGTAATTATTTTTGTGTGGCACACAGTTTTCTACACTAACTACTAACCGCTCAGTTTGCACTGCAGACAACAAATCTCAACATAGGAAACCCTTGATAAATAATATCATAATAGGTCCCTGTTAGATGGACAGGTCATTGAATCTGCAGGGCTTGTGACTTTTATTCTAAGAGCAGCTTCACTTGTTCAGTGATGTATGTAATAATTAGACCCTGACATTCACTATAATAGTAATAGAAATGACTGCATGTGTCCCAAATGGCACCCTATTTCCTATATAGTGCACTACTTTTGACCAGGGCACTATATAGGGAATAGGGTGCCATTTGAGAGAATTTGTGAATTGGGAGAAGGTTGAATTGGGAGAAATCAAAGATGTCGTTGCTGTAATTATTTTTATGCTGCTAAGAGGTAAAACTTGCAGAATTAAAAGCCAGCCATCTTGTTAAACTGCATCAAGACCTGTTTGTTAGAACCATAAAGTGTAGATTTAAGTTCTGTAAAAAGTATAAACTCCATTTTTTATAATAGGCCACGTAAATAATTACTTTTTTCCACTTTTAAGACGATGGTTGTTGTTTTTTGTAAAGATATTTCTGATGTTTTTATATGGGGTCAATAACTGTTATGTTTAGCGTAAGAGAAAGGAAGATGCCTTGAAATAAAATATAATAATGAACATGGGCTGCCAGATGTACATTTCTGATGCAGTTATTTTGTTATATGACTTGAAATATAATATTACTGTAAAGTTTAAGTGACTTACTGTAACTGTACATTCTACTTTGGACATGTTTGAATAGCATTTTTTTTTTTTTTACAGGAATATTGTGAAAGAACATGCATGGGTAATTGGTAACTGATTGTTAAAATGCTAAGTACTCCTGCCTTGTTTCATTTGCCCTTTTTAAAGGACAGAGAGAGATCTGAAATTTCCCAATCGTCCCCTGGGATCTAATGGCAAACTAATGACCTTATCCATTACCAGACAATGTCTTAATTTCCCCTGTGAATTAGAATTTATAGCGATAGGTGTGTCCCAAATGGCACTCCTTTCCCTTTATAGTGCACTACTTTTGACCAGGGCCCTGCCATTTGGGACGTAGGCATGATCTATTCTTCAGACGTAATATGATGCCATGGTGTGATAAACAGTTGTGAACAAAGTTGCAGAACACCTGAAGAAGTTTTCTGAAATACAGCTGCATTCTTCAAGGGTAAGTGTAGATCAGAACAATCTCCTACTTACTTCAGTTCTATTTTTGTTTAGAAGTGTGCTCAAAGTTGTTTATAAAATATTTAACTTGTTATTGTTACAGAAAAGCAAATAATTACATTTTTTTTCTTCATATCGGAAATGTGATTTCATATCAGAAATTAGAATATTAGACTCTATACTCTATGTATTTTCCCGTGTATTGACATTTTATTATACAATGGGGTCTGGAATTATTGGATTCCTTGATAAAGCTGAGCAAAAAAATACTTTCAACTACACTGAACAAAAATATAAACGCAACATGGAAAGTGTTTGTCCGATGTTTCATGAGCTGAAATAAAAGATCCCAGAAATGTCCCAACGTACAAAAAGCTTATTTCTCTCAAATGTTGTGCAGAAATGTGTTTACATCCCTGTTAGTGAGCATTTCTCCTTTGACAAGATAATCCATCCACATGACAGGTGTGGCATATCAAGAAGCTGATTAAACCGCATGATCATTACACAGGTGCACCTTGTGCTGGGGACAATGAAAGGACACTCTAAAGTGTGCAGTTTTGTCACACAACACAATGCCACAGATGTCTCATGTTTTGAGGGAGCATGCAATTGGCTTGCTGACTGCAGGAATGTCCACCAGAGCTGTTGCCAGAGAATTAAATGTTTATTTCTGTACCAATGTCATTTGAGAGAATTTGGCAATACGTCCAACCGGCCTCACAACCGAAGACCACGTGAATGGTGTCATGTGGGCGAGCAGTTTCCTGATGTCAACGTTGTGAACAGAGTACCCCATGGTGGTGGTAGGGTTATGGTATGGGCAGGCATAAGCTACGGACAACGAACACAATTTGCATTTTATTGATGACAATTTGAATGCACTGAGCTACCGTGACGAGATCCTGAGGCCCATTGTCGTGCCATTCATCCTCCGCCATCACCTCATGTTTCAGCATGATAATGCACAGCCCCATGTCGCAAGGATCTGTACACAATTCCTGGAAGCTGAAAATGTCCCACTTCTTTCATGACCTACAAACTCACCAGACATGTCACCCGTTGAGCATGTTTGGGATGCTCTGGATCGATGTGTACGACAGCATGTTCCAGTTCCCGCCAATATCCAGCAACTTCGCACAGCCACTGAAGAGGAGTGGGACAACATTCCACAGGCCACAATCAAAAGCCTGATCAACTCTATGCGAAGAAGATGTAGCCATGAAGTGCTTTGGAAGGCTGGTCATGGCTCACATCAACACCATTATCCCAGAAACCATAGACCCACTCCAATTTGCATATCGCCCCAACGGATCCACAGATGATACAATCTCTATTGCGCTCCACACTGCCCTTTCACACCTGGACAAAAGGTTACACCTACAGTGGGGAGAATAAGTATTTGATACACTGCCGATTTTGCAGGTTTTCCTACTTACATAGCATGTAGAGGTCTGTCATTTTTTATCATAGGTACACTTCAACTGTGAGAGACGGAATCTAAAACAAAAATCCTGAAAATCACATTGTATGATTTTTAAGTAATTAATTTGCATTTTATTGCATGACAAGTATTTGATCACCTACCAACCAGTAAGAATTCTGGCTCTCACAGACCTGTTAGTTTTTCTTTAAGAAGTCCTCCTGTTCTCCACTCATTACCTGTATTAACTGCACCTGTTTGAACTCGTTACCTGTATAAAAGACACCTGTGTAAGGACATCAGGGATACAATTGTAGACCTGTACAAGGCTGGGATGGGCTACAGGACAATAGGCAAGCAGCTTGGTGAGAAGGCAACAACTGTTGGTGCAATTATTAGAAAATGGAAGAAGTTCAAGATGACGGTCAATCACCCTCGGTCTGGGGCTCCATGCAAGATCTCACCTCGTGGGGCATCAATGATCATGAGAAAGGTGAGCGATCAGCCCAGAACTACACGGCAGGACCTGGTCAATGACCTGAAGAGAGCTGGGACCACAGCCTCAAAGAAAACCATTAGTAACACACTACGTCGTCATGGATTAAAATCCTGCAGCGCACGCAAGGTCCCCCTGCTCAAGCCAGCACATGTCCAGGCCTGTCTGAAGTTTGCCAATGACCATATGGATGATCCAGAGGAGGAATGGGAGAAGGTCATGTGATCTGATGAGACAAAAAAGAGCTTTTTGGTCTAAACTCCACTCGCCGTGTTTGGAGGAAGAAGAAGGATGAGTACAACCCCAAGAACACCATCCCAACCGTGAAGCATGGAGGTGGAAACATAATTCTTTGGGGATGCTTTTCTGCAAAGGGGACAGGACGACTGCACCGTATTGAGGGGAGGATGGATGGGGCCATGTATCGCGAGATCTTGGCCAACAACCTCCTTCCCTCAGTAAGAGCATTGAAGATGGGTCGTGGCTGGGTCTTCCAGCATGACAACGACCCGAAACACACAGCCAGGGCAACTAAGGAGTGGCTCTGTAAGAAGCATCTCAAGGTCCTGGAGTGGCCTAGCCAGTCTCCAGACCTGAAACCAATAGAAAATCTTTGGAGGGAGCTGAAAGTCCGTATTGCCCAGCGACAGCCCCGAAACCTGAAGGATCTGGAGAAGGTCTGTATGGAGGAGTGGGCCAAAATCCCTGCTGCAGTGTGTGCAAACCTGGTCAAGACCTACAGGAAACGTATGATCTCTGTAATTGCAAACAAAGGTTTCTGTACCAAATATTAAGTTCTGCTTTTCTGATGTATCAAATACATATGTCATGCAATAAAATGCAAATTAATTACTTAAAAATCATACAATGTGATTTTCTGGATTTTTGTTTTAGATTCCGTCTCTCAGTTGAAGTGTACCTATGATAAAAAATTACAGACCTCTACATGCTTTGTAAGTAGGAAAACCTGCAAAATCGGCAGTGTATCAAATACTTGTTCTCCCCACTGTATGTGAGAATGCTATTCATTGACTACAGCTCAGCGTTCAACACCATAGTGCCCTCAAAGCTCATCACTAAGCTAAGGACCTTGGGACTAAACACCTCCCTCTGCAACTGGATCCTGGACGTCCTGATGGGCCGCCCCCAAGTGGTAAGGGTAGGTAACAACACATCTTCCACGCTGATCCTCAACACTGGGGCCCCTCAGGGGTGCGTGCTCAGTCCCCTCCTGTACTCCCTGTTCACTCATGACTGCATGGCCAGGCACGACTCCAACACCATCATTAAGTTTGCCGATGACACAACAGTGGTAGGCCTGATCACCGACAACGACGAGACCGCCTATAGGGAGGAGGTCAGAGACCTGGCCGTGTGGTGCCAGGACAACAACCTCTCCCTCAACGTGATTAAGACAAAGGAGATGATTGTGGACTACAGGAAAAGTAAGAGGACCGAGCACGCCCCCATTCTCATCGACGGGGCTGTAGTGGAGCAGGTTACGGAGCTTCCAGTTCCTTGGTGTCCACATCACCAACAAACTAACATGGTCCAAGCACACCAAGACACACCAAAACCTATTCCCCCTAAGGAGACTGAAAAGATTTGGCATGGGTCCTCAGATCCTCAAAAGGTTCTAAAGCTGCACTATCGAGAGCATCCTGACTGATTGCATCACTGCTTGGTATGGCAACTGCTCGGCTTCTGACCGCAAGGCACTACAGAGGGTAGTGCGTACGGCCCAGTACATCACTGGGGCCAAGTTTCCTGCCATCCAGGACCTCTATACCAGGCGGTGTCAGAGGAAGGCCCTAAAAATTGTCTAAGACTCCAGACTCTGTATTCCCAGTCATGTGAAATCCATAGATTAGGGCCTAATGAATTTATTTCAATTTACTTATTTCCTCATATGAACTGTAACTCAGTAAAATCTTTGAAATTGTTGCATGTTGCTTTTATTTTTGTTCCATATATATTGTATTCTCAAAAAAAATGTACATGTATATTTTATACTAATACAATTGTTCAGCAAAATAAAATATATTTTGCTGAACAATTGTATTAGTATAAAATATAAATGTTTAATTCTTAAACAGTCTCTTTCTGTGAGCAACTGTATTAGTATAAAATAATATAATTTTGCTCATCTTTATCAAGGGATCTAATCATTTCGGACCCCACTGTACATATGAGATTTGACTGATGACTTGTTTGATCTGACACATTTATTCAATTTTATCAGTTGATTCAGGAACTCTGAAACAGAACATCGTCCATCAAAGACATTTCCCTGCCCTTAGTCCCCTTTGAGGGCTGCAGCTCAACACGCAACGACGCTGCAACAGTCATTCCCCCATTCTACCATAGCCTCTTACTGCTCTGTGTCTGGTGACCTGCCTCAAATCATCTTGACTAGTTGACTATCCGCTCCATCGGAGTACGGAACCTTGCTCTGTGTGACCTTGCCTCCATACCGCCCAGGGCTGTCTATGTACTGTTAATGAGAAGCATGGGCCTTTCACTGTGCATCCTGAGTAACATACTCCACTTTGTAGGTCTGACCTCAAGCACCATGTTTATCTGTGCAGTCATCACCGACCGCATCCTGGCTATAGTCTTCCCACTTGAGTCTCGGTTGGTCCGCACCCACCGCAACGCTGCCCTGGTCTCCCTGCTCGTATGGGCCATTACCGTCCTGCTCATTTACCTCAGCTATCCTAACATCTACTGGCAGCAGAGGAGTGGCATCGGCTACTGTGGAATTGTGGTAACCTCGAGGTTCAGGTCTACTGCAGCCACCTACAGTATAATCTGTCATCCTACTACTCTGCAGGTGTCCGTTCCCTTGCTCCTCATCATCCCTTCCTATGTGAAGATTATAGCCCGGATGAGGCAATCGCGGCAGCAGTGGGCTGCAGGCAAGATGCAGGGCCGGGACAAGACCATCTGGCTGATAGCATTTTTTTCATGGCCAATTTCCTTGTGTGCTGGGTACCAGGGCCGTTGCTCCATATTATAGCTTGCATCATCTACTTTACCCTATATGACCACACTAATACGTGTGAGGTGGCCAATGTGGTGAACCTTCTAGTGGAGTCCTCCAAATTACTCTACTGCCTCCATGCTATTCTAGATCCCTTTTTTTCCCACATCCAAGAGAGGCTTGGGGAGCTGGTCAGTAAAGCGTTAGTCTGTTGGTTGTAGAGTCTGTTGGTGGCAGAAGTATGCATGGAGGGGAAAGAAACAATTTGGAGGACCCCCTTCAGTCAGTGTAGTCCAACTGAGCTGAGAGGAAGCGTTAGAAAAATTTGCCTTTAGCTGCATTTGGTCTGTTGCTAGAGCAATGCAGTGAAAATGTAGGCAATTATGTATTGTTGTTCAACCTGGTCTCAAAACATTTTGTATTATGTACATAAATCTGAGACAAACCATTAGTATGATATTGTGACGACACTGGGTTTATAAGTGTGGATATCGACTGCCATGAGAGCATGCTTTTGGGGCACAATCGATGGCGCGCTGGACTTCGGGCTAGAAGGTTGAGGGTTTGAGACCTGCTCCCTGCCTGTTTCATTACAATATGTTACGTTTCATAACGTGTATATATTAATTATTGAATGTCCATCACCCATTTTGTATGATATGTTACGAATTACAATTCCTACTATATGTAATGAATTTACTAAACGTATGATATATTAAGAATTCTAGCTAGGTGGCTAACATTAGCTAGGTTAGGGTTAAGTTTAGGAGTTAGGTGAAGGGTTAGCTAATATACTAAGTAGTTGCAAAGTAGCTAAAAAGTAGTTGAAAAGTTTTTAATTAGTTGAAGTCCGTGGTGAGATTTTAACTCGCAACCTTTGGGCTGCTAGACGTTTGAGTTATATGCCCACCCATCCACCCCGACCAAGTAACCGTCTGTCTTATGTAACCATACCAAACATAACATAACATATCATACTCATTTGAAGTCTTCCCGATTTGACAATTTTCTATGTTATGTCTAGTCTAAGAGACCAGGCTGCAACGTCTGGGAAAAAAAATAATACATTATATTGTCAATGCCAGTTGCCACACAATTCCATCTTTGTTAAATTTAAGTCTTGGTAATGTAAAAAAAAAAACATGTTAACTAAGAGTTGTGTTCGTCAGTGTAATGCATGTAAATGATCCTCTGTAGCTCAATTGGTAGAGCATGGCGCTTGCAACGCCAGGGTAGTGGGTTCGATCCCCGGGACCACCCATACGTAAAAATGTATGCACACATGACTGTAAGTCGCTTTGGATAAAAGCGTCTGCTAAATGGCATATTATTATTATTATTATTATTATTATAAAGGTTTGAAAAGTCTTGAAAATAAAAGGTTCGAAAATTATATATATTTTTACAAGGCAACTAGAATTCGCTGTGTTTACATTTTCAATAGCTAAAAGGCGCCATTCACCGAATGTTTTCTTTCAAATGTTGCATTCGAATGAAGAGACACAAAACAAGTTGACAGTGGCGGACAGGCCCAGTCGCGAGATGGATGTCCCAGCCACTTTCAACCACCACTAGGTGGCGACAATAACTTGACCAGTTAGTGTGAGATCTGGGTCAGATTGCTTGTCTAGTATAATCAAAACAAACGACTGTAAATGTTGATGCTTGCAACGAGTCAAGACGGAGGTCTGCCCAGACAGTCCGGGCCAGTCGTGATTTTAAAAAGCGTCTGAACGAAAGGGGAAGTTATAAAAAGAAAGCTAGATATCTGTTGCAAAGGGTGGCCATTAAACCATACATGGAATAACCAGGAAAAAAATGATTGCAACGGCAAGGTAGCTAGTGCTAGGGTCCTATGCTCGTTAGCTGCTATAGACACTGCTAAATAGCTAGCTAGCTAACAGTTGTTAGATACAATGCTAGTTTGTTAACATTGTCAAATGACATGCACGTAGGCAATAGCACTGGGCATATTGTTATTGGGTGGTTTAGCTAACTTTAGTATCAGTTTTGCCCATATGGGGACGCAAGAGACAGCTGGGACCATAGAGATCCGTATCCTAATTCTATGGCTGGGCCATTGGCTGAAAGCTTGACTAGCTGGCTAACCAACTGGTGTTGTGCCACAGATCCAGTTTGCCAATCATTGGTGAGTTCTCGTCGAGGAGGAGGCAATGACAAGAGGAGCGGAGCCGTGACTGACTGACGGTCTTCTGTGACCCGACCATCGAAGTAGCTACGCCTGTTGACAATCTGGGAACATGGATATATCCCTCTCCGTGGATCAGAATGCGATGGAAGAAGGACAGATAATGCGGAAAAGCTTTCTAGGCAGGCAGAGCAGGGCATGAAATGAACGACTCGAACGACTTGAACAGCTCACATGCTGACAGAACCAGCTCATTGAACCAGTAGCAAGTATGACAGCATATTAGTGTTTATTTTATTTTATGTATTATTTATTTTGGTGAAGAAGAAATGGTTTTGTCTGTATTTCACCACCGGTTTCCATATTTGCATGAACTAATTCTATCAACCGATTAAAGAGATCAGTCAGAATTTAGATTTCAAGATGACGGTGGAGGGTTCCACAATAAAGAGTCGGATCAAAAATCTGCTTCGCTCGCCATCTATAAAATTGAGAAGGAATAAAGCTCTGAACAACAAAGAAAATCTCAGTAACAAGGTATCTGGCATGGACACTCATCCCTGCACATTTTCATTTTATGAACATTTACAGAAGACCATTATAACCAGTTTATAGATTTGCTATCAAACACTGCGAGCGACCTTCCAGGCAATATCACACAATCATTTGTGTATAATTGAAATAGCATTTATCTACCAGTAAAATTAAGTGCACAGTCCATTGCTTTCTAGTTGAAATAATTATGTATTGTGTTGCAATTGCACCTGTGTTCTGGAATAATATGCCAGATATTGACAATGCACACAATCATTGGAGGGACATTTATATTTATTTATGGGATCCTCATATAGAGTCCAGTTACATCACGTATTTGGAGAAGTGTGTCACTGACCATAAACCAAAAACATATGTTCTTGGACAATGCATGCAGGCTTATTTTCCCTTGCAATAGCAACCCCATGGATATTGCATTTACATTTACATTTTAGTCATTTAGCAGACGCTCTTATCCAGAGCGACTTACAGTTAGTGAATACATTATTATTATTTTTTTTATACTGGCCCCCCGTGGGAATCGAACCCACAACCCTGGCGTTGCAAACGCCATGCTCTATCAACTGAGCTACATCCCTGCCGGCCATTCCCTCCCCTACCCTGGACAACGCTGGGCCAATTGTGCGCCGCCCATGAGTCTCCCGGTCGCGGCCGGCTGCGACAGAGCCTGGATTCGAACCAGGATCTCTAGTGGCACAGTTAGCACTGCGATGCAGTGCCTTAGACCACTGCGCCACTCAGGAGTACTGAGTATATTGCTCATCATAGCATACATAACCTGGGCCCTCCTAGCCTAGTCCTGCAGTCAACTCCATATCTTCATAACATGTCTCACACACTGTTTAAGTCATTTCTTATACCTGTAGTAAAACAATTTATTACTATCCTAATTTTTACAGTGATTTCTATGCTATTCGCAACCTTACTATAAGTTGATTTTAAATTAGAAGTCTGTTCACTCCCTTGGTGTTGACATGAGAAAGTGGCATGTGACACACATACTGTACCTTTCACAGACAGACAGTTGTGATCCTTCCATACCCATGTAGGCTACAAGCTAACTGTATTCTCTCTCTCTCTAGAGAGGAGAGAGAGAGCGAGAGAGAGAGAGAGCGAGAGAGAGAGAGAGAGATAGAGGAGCGAGAGAAGAGCGAGAGAGAGATAGAGAGATTTAGAGGGAGATGAGAGGGAGAGGGAGAGAGAGAGAGAGAGACGGGAGAGAAGAAGATAGAGAGCAGAGAGAGAGAGATCGCTTAGCTCTATCTCTATCTTTCTCTCTCCTCTCTCTCTCTCTCTCTCTCTCTCTCTCTCTCTCTATCTTCTCTCTCTCTCTCTCTCTCTCTCTCTCTCTCTCTCTCTCTCTCTCGCTCTCTCCACGTGTCTGACAGAACCCCCTAAAAAGCAATGAAGAATAGACCTGTAGTACAATTAATTCAGATAACAATAACATTGGTTCTTATAGATGACAATAATTCTGTACATTGAAGACGATAAATCCAAGAATGTGGTCAACATGACAAGCTCTCCTGTATAGTACTTCCCCCTTCTCTTCCATGAAGTTCCCTCTATTCTGGTGCATTCCAGGGTGATTGTCTGTTTACGGGTGTAGCAGGGTTGATTGTCTGTTTATGGCTGTAGCAGGGCAGTGACTGTACTGTACCTTCCTGTTCCATCCCAGGAGTGTCAGTGGCTGTAGTTAGTGTACTACAAAGTCTCAAGAGACATGGCAGTGCCGAGAACAGTCATACTTAGGCTACTTAATACTCCTCTTCCTTGTGAAGCATAGGCCATAAAGCTGGAATAAGCCCCAAGCCATGCTGGACAGTCATTTGTAGATTTATTGGCTTTAAATATTGCTGCAGAATCTCCCATTTGTGAATAAACTCAGAGATTGTAGGCCCTATGTCTTTGTACGTGCATGCAGAGTATAGGCCCACTGTAGCCTTTCCAATTCCCTCCATTCTCTCTTTTAGTACAGTATGTTATGACTATTATTTACATATAAATATAGTATTTTTTTTAAACATTGAAAGGTTACTCAGGCAAGATGAGTGTCCTATTTTAAAAGGTCAACATTCGGTTTTTCTGTTAGTCCCATTGTTTTATTAAGCGTCCACAGCTGTTTCTCTTAGTGGGTTTTAAGAGGTGTTTGAACTGTTTTCTGAAGAGACGAGAGCTCCGTGGCACACTTACAGCAGAGACAAACCAGATGTAAACACTAGCCTACCACTACTGTACTATCCTGACATTATGTAACATAGCAGGGGGAAAGCTGATAATCAGGGTTGAGTGAATCACCTACATGTAGGCTATGCTGTATATTCACAACCTTAGGTTAACCAACCTACTAGATCAGAGATTGTCATGATTTTTTTTGGGCTATATGAAAATGAAGTTACTTCTTCCCATTGTTTGTATTTTGTTTTGCTTGATGATAGATAATGATGTGAGTAATTATTAGTCCTGCTGTGGTTATTTATTATTTAAGTGAGCTTAATTCATTTGATGTCAAGCTGTCTTTGTTTTCTTAGGGTGTTTTCTTAGGGTGTAGGCTAAGATGTGATGGCAAGCTTATGCAGACGTAGCCTACTAGCCTAGTGTGAAGCACTCTGTAGAGTAGGGAGTCAGACAAAGGAATACATGCTTTTGTTTGAGTATGAGAGATGTAAGGAGGAGTGGGTTTTCTTATTATCCTGGGGCTAACGTTGTATTTCTTAGGCTGTGAGTGCCGCTCTAGAAGATTACTGTACTGGACGCCTCCCTTGAGCCTGCCGACTTCATGGATTGTAGCCTATAGTAACGTTAGTGGATGGGTCCCAAATGACACCCTTTTCCCATTTATAGTGCACTTCTTTTGACCAGAGCCCATAAGATTAGGCTATGTATTATCAGGAAGCCTACTGGGAACATGGATGCAACTGCAGCTTATTTAGAAGAAGTACACTGCAGTGGACTCAATACTCAATGCTCGTTTTCAACTTGCTGCTGAAATCTGCCTCCGATATGCTTTGTTTACAAGGAGGAGCTATACTAGGCTCATTAAAGTCCCTTTTAAAAATGATGACGTAGTCAATTATTCCTTCCTTTGATGTAGAACTCTGTAAACCAACAACAGAAAGCACATTGTTCTAAACTCTATTTATGGAGGAATAGCCTACAAATAGTGTAACCTAACTTTTCCTTCCACTTTTTTCCTTTTCCTGTCTGGAAGCTTCAACCTCTGTTTTTATGCAACGTCCCAATGATCTAGCCTATTTCTTATGAGCTATAGGCTAGTGGTCATTCATTTATTATATAGGCTACAGTACCAGTCAAAAGTTTGGACACCTACTCATTCAAGGGCTTTTCTTTATTTTGACTATGTTCTGCATTGTAGAATAATAGTGAAGACATCAGAACTATGAAATGACACATATGGAATCATGTAGTAACCAAAAAAGTGTTAAACAAATCAAAATATATTTTATATTTGAGATTCTTCAAATAGCCACCAACCTTGATGACAGCTTTGCACACTCTTGGCATTCTCTCAACCAGCTTCACCTGGAATGCATTTCCAACAGTCTTGAAGGAGTTCCCACATATGCTGAGCACTTGTTGGCTGCTTTTCCTTCACTCTGCGGTCCAACTCATCCCAAACCATCTCAATTGGGTTGAGGTCGGGTGATTGTGGGGGCCAGGTCATCTGATGCAGCACTCCATCACTCTCCTTCTTGGTCAAATAGCCCTTACAGCCTGGAGGTGTGTTTTTGGTCATTGTCCTGTTGAAAAACAAATGATAGTCCCACTAAGCACAAACCAGATGGGATGGTGTATCGCTGCAGAATGCTGTGGTGGCCATGCTGGTTAAGTGTGCCTTGAATTCTAAATAAGTCACAGACAGTGTCACCAGCAAAACACCATCACACCTCCTCCTCCATGCTTCACAGTGGGAACCACACATGCGGAGATCATCCGTTCACCTACTCTGCGTCTCACAAAGACACGGCGGTTGGAACCATAAATCTCAAATTTGGACTCATCAGACCAAAGATCTACCACACTACAGTTGAAGCCCAGAAGAGGTGATCTACCACACTACAGTTGGGTGACTGCTATACTAGGCAGTGTTGGGATTCAAGTAGCTAGCCTATTAGAGCTTTTTTTCCAGGTGTTTTATTGTGTGTTCAGTCAGTGTTCTTGGGGGTTTGTGATCAGTGCCTTTGGCTGTTCTGGCTTGTTGTGGGGTGAAGAGGCAGAGCAGGCCTGGATGAATCCAATCACAAGGGACGTATAGGCTATCTCTGAGATGCTGTAGGCTGTGAAGATGGTGAGTAGAAAGAGCGAGAGATAGGAATATTAATGAGCTGAACTTGACTTAAATCTTGTCTGACTGGCTGACTCCTGCTGTGAAATGTCATTGCTGGTTAACATACTGCTGAAACCCAGAGAACATGTAATTGCAGTGTGATGGCTTCGTTTTTGCAAAACGTATCTAATTAAGAATTCAAATGTTTATTAGCTCATAAGTTGGTCTGCTGACAGGCTGCTGTTCTCTTCAGCTATGCTTATAGAGACGTTATAACCCAAGTTGTTGACCAATGCATATTTGTTTACTCTGTGAAAAGGTATTTGTGCAATGCATAGGCCTACATAGTACATGGAGATCCTGGTCTGTCTTGTTTATATAAGAGTTTCTGCGTTGTTCCTTGTCCCTTCAATTAAGAATAACGAGACTCTGAATCTGTGGCATGTCACTTCTCATCATCTGGGAAGATACAGTAGAATACCATTCATGATCCTCCTCCTTCGTATTAAGGGCACAAACAGAATACACACACACACACACACACACACACACACACACACACACACACACACACACACACACACACACACACACACTTGGCCTGTAGCTTATGTGTATTCATTATTTAACATCTGCTATGGTGTTGTTTATTTGTGAGCAATGTCATGTGTTGTCCATTCATTGTATTGTTGAAGTGTCAAAAGCTCTGTGTTGTTTATTTTGCAGGTGACACTGGAGAAGGTGCTAGGGATCACAGCATTTGGGAACCGTGCTTTGGCCTGCGACCCTCGCTCTGGACTAGTGGCCTACCCAGCAGGGTGAGTGACCCGGAGAACACCCTTTACGCATCCAACAACTAAACCTAGTAGTACAGTAAATGGGTTTAATGTCTAGGCCTAGTACTGCACCTCGTTCACCTTCCCACATCTTGTCATTCTACTACTTGTTCATTCAACTTCATTGCAATGTTTGTTGTTTGTTTCTCTTTTGCCCTTAGCTACTTGAATGAATGAAAAAGCATTTTTGGAAAATGTGAAGCATATGAGTGGCACCCATGTGTGATCTATCATTACAGAACTGACTGGATAGACAGAGGCAGAGCACCATCGAGTCAGTTCAGAACTGACTAGGTAGACAGAGGCAGAGCACCATTAGGTTTTGAATTTAATACATTTCAGAACTCCCTGGACGGTAAGATGATTCAAAGAGTGAGTAGAGCGCGAAAGCTGGAGAGATGGAGGAGGAAAGTCATTTCTCAGCAGTGATAAGGACCTGTGTGTATTGTATTCATCAGGGGAAAGATATCTTGCGGTATATGAACACAGAAGAGCTGTGTCACGAGGAGCCGTTTTGGTCTAGGTCAACACTTTCTGGGAAAGTCCTTGCTACAAGGTTTGAGAGGCGGTATGTAGTATGCCGTGCAAGGCACTGCTATACCTGGGATTTTAGCCATGGTTTAAGTTTTAGGTAGACAGCTTGATGCTTTCCTTGTACTACTACAGTCACACTGTTATACCACTTCAATAACATGTAATGTCATTTTCTTCCTAAGGAGTTACATCTTTAGAGATGATAGGGCCTAAGTTGCATTAGCTAGACCTTTAACTCCGTTTTCAGTGTCCCCACACGAGGGGGGGGGCAATACTACAGATCTAGTAATTGGCAACTACATTGCAGAGTAGGCATATGTTCAGCCAACTACCAACAACGGATATTGCTCTAAATAGTGCCTCCAGCCTTAAAAGTGCTGTATAGACTTAAGTAAAATAATGGCGGGGGGGGGGGGGGTGGTTCCTGTGGGAACTTAATTTGCTTGCTGAATGCAGTAAGAGCCTCGCACATTCACATTGAAAACAAAAGCCTGGTTCCGATCTCTCCAAGGGGTCTGTTTTGCTCATAAGGTGGACAACGTCGGCTAGTAAGTGAGGGAGAGTCTCTGCCCTCTATCACATGCTTCATAATCTCATTAAGTTGTTAGGCTTTACAGCTGTGCGTGTGTGTGTGCGTGCGTGTGTGTGTGTGCGTGCGTGTGTGTGTGTGCGTGCGTGTGTGTGTGTGCGTGCGTGTGTGTGTGTGTGTGTGTGCGTGCGTGTGTGTGTGTGCGTGCGTGTGTGTGTGCGTGCGTGTGTGTGCACTGCTATGAAAACAATGAAAGGAATCACATGACTGCCACTTTTACTACTGAACAGAGAGGAACTATGACAGACCAGTCCGTGATGTATACTCTTGTCCTACACACTAGGTTACACAGTGTCGTACAGTTCCATCAGTACAGATCATTGATTTTAAATAAATGCAGTAGCCATAGCCTACTTCCTGGAAGTTTAAACTGCAGGGGTAAGCCTGATATAGATTCCTTGGATTGGGGGGAGATGGTCACAGGCATCCCAACAAGGAAATGCAGAAATCAGAAATAAATATTCTCTGCTTATTCAGCTGCTTGTGTTAATGTGCATGTTAGGTGCACTAATTTTCACCAGCCCTAAAAAGTACTAGTGTACTATATAGGGGATAGGGTGCCATTTGGGAGACGCAGCAGATGTTTTTGTTGGAGAGGAAGCAGCTTCACACCAGAGAGTGTCTGGAGGGTTTAGGTTCATTCTGGGTCGTATTCACCATGGCCCATGTCGTATTCACTATGGCCCATGTCGTGTTCACAATGGCCCATGTCGTATTCACTATGGCCCATGTCGTGTTCACAATGGCCCATGTCGTATTCATTATGGCCCGGGTAGTATTCATCAGGAACCAAAAGGACTGAAACGGGGAGGGACTACTAACCTGAACTTAAGAAACGCTCATTCTCATTTCAAAACGTTTTGCTACGCTTTGCTATGGTGTGCACTACTGAATACGACCCTGGGCTGAGTCCTGTACCTGACGAGGTCTAGCTATGGGTGCGTCTCAAATTGCACCCTATTCTCTTTAATATAGGGTAGTGAACTACTTTTTGACCAGACCACACCCCACAATGGCCCAGATCCTTCCATGGAAAGGTGAATTGGTTCCATTTAGCCTACTTCTCTAGAAAATGTATACTGAACAAAAATATAAACGTTTGTCCCATGTTTCATGAGCTGAAATAAAAGATCCCAGAAATTATCTATATGCACAAAAAGCACATTTGTTTACATCCCTGTTAGTGAGTATTTATCCTTTGACAAGATAATCAATCCACCTGACAGGTGTGGCATATCAAGAAACTGATTAAACAACATGATCATTACACAGGTGCACCTTGTGCTGGGTACAATAAAAGGCCACTCTAAAATGTGCAGTTTTGTCACACAACACAATGCCACAGATGTCTAAAGTTCTGAGGGAGCGTGCAATTGGCATGCTGAATTGCAGGAATGTCCACCAGAGCTGGTCCCCGCGAACGTAGTTTTAGATAATTTGGCAGTACGTCCAACCGGCCACATGTAACCACGCCAGCCCAGGACCTCCACATCCAGCATCTTCACCTGCTGGATCGTCTTAGACCAGCCACCTGGACAGCTGATGAAACTGAGGAGTATTTATGTCTGTAATAAAGTCCTTACTGTAACTTGGAAAGTATACCCACTACATGTATGAAGTGTCCATCCTATGCGTTGTGCATGTAGTATGAAAAATCTTTTTGTTAAGAGAGAGATGTGATTTGAGAAGATCTTAGAGATAATAGTTTTTCTTAACTTTGCACAGTTAGTAGTCACCGCCCGAAGTGAGGTCAGAGAGCGTGTCAGCCTGCCGGAACCGCCCCTTTGCGAGCAGAGTGTATAAATGATGGGTAAAGAAATTAACATACCAAACCAGAAAATCTCAAAACTTTGAATCTCAACACGAGGTGAAGAAAATAAACTCACCTCCCGGACAATCACTGGTACGGCTGATTAGCTATCCTAAGTAAGGTACCATTTTGGACAATAAGAGACTTACAAGTGTTCCGTGAAAAGGCCCATCCCCCTTCCAAGGCGGTCTGGTTCATCGAGAGATTCCCGGGGAACCAAGGCATTTCACGTAAATACATTCACGATTTCTTACTCAAAGCGGGGGGCAGTTCGTGTGCAAAGTATATCGGTACTGTAAGTGAGCGTAGTTTCTGAATGTATCAAGTGTCTCTGTCCCTCTCTCTCTCTCTCTCTCTCTCCCTCCCTCTCCATCTCTTCTTTTTAACAAGCAGCCATGTTGTTGTCATTCTGCTAGGGACCTGTTTTCTCCCGTCAATAACCAATGTTTATCCTGTGTTCCCATTTAATTAGCTAGTAAATAAATAATTAAACCAATTTGTGTAGTACTGAATCATAAGTAAGGCTCAGGTTTTTGCAGATGTAAGGTTACGACTGTTCAGAATGATGATATGATACGAAGTTATGATTAATAAGTTGACTGTTTATAGATGTGATCGGTAAAGACCTTTTAGAGTTTAATTCAGGAGGTGGTAACTCTTTAAAGAACCGCTCTCGTGGTGCCCCAGATACTAATGAGTTAAATTGTTACATGATTAATTTAATCGGGTAAAAATTAAACATAGTTAGTTAATTAGAGATAAGTCTCTTCAGATGAATGTTAAAGTCAAAGTCACATCACGACGGGCCTCCCAAGTGGTGCAGTGGTCTAAGGCTGTGCCACTAGAGATCCTGGTTAGAGTCCAGGCTCTGTCGCAGCCGGTCGCGACCGGGAGACCCATAGGGCGGCGCACAATTGGCCGGGGAGGGTTTGACCGGCAGGGATGTTCTTGTCCTATCGCGCACTAGCGACTCCTGTGGCGGGACAGGCGCAGTGCACGCTGACACGGTCACCAGGTGTACGGTGTTTCCTCCGACACATTAGTGCGGCTGGCTTCCGGGTTAAGCGGGCATTGTGTCAAGAAGCAGTGCGGCTCGGTTGGGTTGTGTTTCGGAGGACGCACGGCTCTCGACCTTTGCCTCTCCCGAGTCCGTACGGGAGTTGCAGCGATGGGACAAGACTGTAACTACCAATTGGATACCACAAAATTGGGGAGAAAAAGGGGTAAAAAATTATAATAATCACGTCACGACAATGTTCTATTAATGAATTAAAGATGAACTGGGCTGGTCCCCGTCGATGTGTCCCTTTTATGAGTAAAACATTATGTAGCAATGGCCTCCTTTCTTTACATGCTCATATTCTTCAGGACCAGCAATGTTTCCTATACGTGGTCTGATTGACTAGCATCCTGTCCAGGGGGTGTACTTGTAGCCTACATCAAGCAGCCTCACGCTACAGAAACAGGAGATTGGCTCGGACAAGGCTTACTCTAGTCCGTCTAAAGTGTTGTTGTAGTAGTAAGTTGCCTAATATCGTAGTGAGATTGTTCCATTCTACTGGCACATGATGTTATGAATCCTCTGTGGTTGTGTAACTGGTAGTCCCCAGGCCCGGCTGGCTTTATTTACTATCAGCAAGACAATCATCAGGACAGCACAGTCATCTATCTACACCAGCTTGTAATGCCAGGGTAGTGGGTTTGATTCCTGGGCCATCCGTACGTAAAATGTATGCACACATGACTGTAAGTCGCTTTGGATAAAAGCGTCTGCTAAATGGAATATATTATTATATATTATCTGGGTATGGGGAAACTGGAATATCAGGATCCCAAAAACAATTTGTTGAATGCTGAGTCAGTGACAAGGGAGGATATTTTTATTTATTTACAATAGCTTTGTTGTATGATAACTGAAGGATATCAGCATTTGCTGCGAACGTCTTAAAGTGGCAATCAGCAGTAGAAACGATAACAAAGCAATTCCCCCTGCCCCTGTTTGGTAAAAACTGAGGGATGGGGCTGGAGAAATGTAACCACTCTCAGATTCATAAACCGAGTTGTGCATGAATGGACTGACCTTCCATGATATCAAAATAATAGTCTTAACCATGTTTTCAGGCTATATATTGGTTGTTTACATTTACTTTGTTTACAAACATTGGAGTAAAACAAGATTATTATTGGTTCTGATGGGGTACAACAGTTGAACTAAGCTCATAAGGCATTTAAAAGTTATATTCTTCAAGAATCAATGGGTACATATCATTCATATATAAGTCAAAAAATTGATGTAGCAACTTCCGATTTCCCCTTTTAAATTACACCTTTGCCTACCTATTGTTAGTGCATTTATGGCAGAACCTGAATGCAGCACATTGACTGTATAGGTCAATTTCCATGGTACTATAGTGTATATATACAGTGCAACCTAGAATAATATGTGAGATTATTGAACAGGGTAGGACTGTATGGGTTTTGAATGAATTAATGTCTGGGTCGTCTGAGACAGCATTGATGTGGAATAAATGTCCTCAGTGAGCATTAAACATCCTGCTGGCTGTTGGAGGAGTCTAACATGCATGACTCTACCCACATGTACATATCACCTCAATTACCTCGACTAACCGGTGCCCTCGCAAATTGACTCTGGACCGGTACCCCCCTGTATATAGCCTCGCTACTGTTATTTATTTTACTGCTGCTCTTTAATTATTTGCTATTTTTATTTTTGACTTATCTATTTTTGACTTTTCTTAAAACTGCATTGTTGGTTAAGGGCTTGTAAGTAAGCATTTCACTGTAATGTCTACACCTGTTGTATTTGGCGCGTGTGGCAAATAACATTTGATTTGATTTGACTAGATGTGTGTCAGACAGGGACCCTCGACTTGTCCTGACCGCACCGTACCGCACTGCAGCAAACTGAGTCAGTAGTAACTGTGTGTGTGTGTGTGTGCGTGTCTGTGTGTGTGTGTGTGTATACGGGTACATGTGCATATGTGTGAAGAGGGAGCAAGGGTTAGAAAAAAAGGTGTGGGGGGAAAAAAGGAATACTCCTCTTGTAGCCCCTAGCTATTAGATAGCCCTGCTCAGGAGTAGAGGAGTGGGCTCTGCTCTGCCTCTGTGCTGCATTGCAGCTCTTTGCTGCAGGGTCCCACAACAGCATTTTTAACTGCAAACTTGCAAACAAGCCCCACTGTATTCTCAAATGATGCGGTAAGACTTGAGGCGCTGGATACTGAGGAGAATACAAAAATACAGCTCAAATGAAAGCACTGACTACAGAGAATAGCCTAAATCCTGAGGCAGTAAATATTTGGCTCCCAAAAAAATTGTTTTTAGCACTTTGTTTATCTACAGTAGACTACTGTATCTGTCTCTTATGTAGTCTCTCTTATTGTGCACTTAGAAAAGAAAAGCTGTACACTGTCATGGCTCCGATTCAATACTTTTTATAGGTACCAACATTGGTACAGCTACAGTATGCTACCTTCATCAGGGTTGCATTGTTCCACAGTAGATTTAAAGAGATTGAACTGGATCTTAAGCACTTACAAATGTGTTACATGTCATACAAATTGCAGGTGAACGCTTTATTTATTGTTTTGCAGGACGTAACATATCATACAAAATGGATGACGTTGTGCACAATTATCGGGAACCTGTTTTGGCTCATGAGCGCTGCTTTCCAAACTACTGGCGGAAATTATACAAAACCTTTAACGCATCTTTAAGCGGCATTGCTGGAGCTACGGACAGAGAACCCCTAGTTTTGTTCCCATTGTTGTTAGCCAGTTACTCTGCTAGTACTGAGCATACAGGACAGGAGACTTGGCAGATTAACGATGAGGTCGTCCAGTCTGTCTCAGCGTGAACAGAGGACAAGAAATAAGGCAGGATCAGCATGGATGGAGGGAGGGAGAGAGGAGGGGAGCGGGGTAGGGTCTTTGGAGTGGAGTGGACTGGCAGATCGGAGGGTGGTCTCTCTATCTCTCTCTGGGGTTGGAAGGAAACTGATATCCCCTCCCTGCTGACACCACAGACCCTGTGGGGCTTTGTCATTTCATTCCAGAGGCTTGACCACCTGTCAGTCTGCTGAACCAACCCACCAGATGGCTGATGGGTGGCTGATGAGGATGGCCGTGACCGTGTGGCAACACTATTACTCAGCCTATCATGAATTAGCCATAGGTATAGGCTCTTCTTTTAACTGGTCTCCCCCTCCACTACTGCATACTCAGCCATGAAATAGCCATAGGTTAGTCTAGGTAGGGAGGCTGTTGTTGTAACTAGTCGTCGTCACCCCCCCCCCCCCCCCCCCCCCCCCCCCCCCCCCACTGCATGCAGTATATTATTCATTCAACCTCCCTTTGTATGTTTTTCAAATTATCTCAAATATACCGGTAGGACCAAGGTAGACAGGACATTCTCAAGTCATAGGACTGATCCTTTCTGATCAGTAAATATTGGATTTATATTGCTCTGAAGTCAGTTAGAATACTTGCATGAAATTAGGTGCTTGCTGCCATGTTGGACAACAGTGTTTTTATTGTTGTGGAAGTATATAAGCTTTCTATAGTATGTTTATAACTGTATGGGCCCCGTGTAGCTCAGTTGGTAGAGCATGGTGCTTGCAACGCCAGGGTTGTGGGTTCGATTCCCACGGGGGGCCAGTATGAAAAAAACAAAAACAAATGTATGCACTCACTAACTGTAAGTCGCTCTGGATAAGAGTGTCTGCTAAATGACTAAAATGTAAATGTTTAACATTGTGATTCTAACTCGCGATTACCATTCACCCGCATTTCTTTGGTTGGCTGAAGTTTATTCTTTGCATAACATTTTCCATGTAAATTCTGCTTAACGCTTGTAGCCCCATCTCCTCTCCAGCCTGTCTTATCTGTTAAAATACTGTACACTACATGACCGAAAGTATGTGGACACCTGCTCGTCATTCCAAAATCCTGGGCATTAATATGGAGTTGGTCCCCCCTTTGCTGCTATAACAGCCTCCACTCTTATGGTAAGGCTTTCCACTAGATGTTGTAACATTGTTGCGGGGACTTGCTTCCATTCAGTCACAAGAGCATTAGTGAGGTCGGGCACTGATGTTGGGCAATTAGTCCTGGCTCACAGTCGGCGCTCCAAAGGTGTTCGATGGGGTTGAGGTCAGGGCTCTGTGCAGGCCAGTCAAGTTCTTCCACACCGATCTCGACAAACCCATTTCTGTATGGACCTTGTTTTGTGCACGGCGGCATTGTCTTGCTGAAACAGGAAAGGGCCATCCCCAAACTGTTGCCACAAAGTTGGAAGCACAGAATTGTCTAGAGTGTAATTCTATGCTGTAGCATTAAGATTTCCCTTCACTGGAACTAAGGGGCCTAGCCCGACCCATGAAAAACAGCCCCCAGACTATTATTCCTCCTCCACTGACCTTTACAGTTGGCACTATGCATTCAGGCAGGTAGCGTTCTCCTGGCATCTGCCAAACCCAGATTTGTCCGTCGGACTATGGTGAAGCGTGATTCATCACTCCAGAGAACGCGTTTCCACTGCTCCAGAGTCCAATGGCGGCGAGCTTTACACCACTCCAGCTGACTTGTTGGAAAGGTGGCATCCTATGACGGTGCCACATTGAAAGTCACTGAGCTCTTCACTAAGGCCATTATACTGCCAATGTTTGTCTATGGAGATTGCATGGCAGTGTGCTCGATTTTAATACACCTGTCAGCAAAGGGTGTGGCTGAAATTAAACTGTGTCTAGTGTTCGTACCAAACCAAATTCCATTCGTCCCAAATGGCACCCTATTATCAATCTAGTGCACTAGGGCTCTGGTCAAAACTAGTGCACTATGTAGGGCCCTCAAACTCAATTCTGAACCTCGAAGCCAGTTCCACTACGGTTTTTTTCATTGTTCCCCTCTAATCAGGGACTGATTTTAGACCTGTGACACCAAGTGGGTGTAATTAATTATCAGGTAGAAAAGACAACCAGCAGGCTCCGAACCTCGTAGGGTAAGAGTTGGATACCCCTGGTGTAGGGAATAGGGTGCCATTTTGGAAGCATCCAATGTATGCAGGGTAGAGCTTGTCTGTTTGTTTAGTTTTATGGTATAGGTGGGAAAGGCATGTTTTGACGAAGCATAAGAGCTTTCCTATTGCTTAGCCTAAGGTAGTAGCGATGTTACTGATGATCTAGGCTACTTTGTAGATCTTCTTCAAGAGACACTGTTAGTTTCCTGATTCATGTCTTTGCTAATAAATAGCCAACGGTGTTTATTTGACTGTGCTTGCTGACACAGGATGACCAGCAGTGTCTGGAATAGAAAAAACAGGATAGCAGTCTGCAGTGTGTGCTAGCCTAATACTGCAGCCTGTGTTGTGGGAAAGAGAACTTGTAGGATTATTTTGCCTGAGAGAGGAAGCTCACGTTCATCACTCAGCCCTCCTCCTCAGGTCTTTGATCTGAGCCCTCTGTCAATCCCTTGATTCTATGTACACTCCAATCCGATAATGCTATTATTGGCCTAGGCTATGTTCTAACCACTCAATATTCCACACTCTTTCGCTTCCCCTGTAAAACCCAGTGGAACTGTAGAAGGGAGGGAGGGAGTTTATGGTGTGTTTGTGGTGAGATGAGTAATGGTATATTGATCCATGAGCTCATTCCCCTCCCACCCCTGTGGCTCTGGCTGAAGTAATGCCACAGAGTAGACAGCCATGAGCCATTCCTCTACTGCTGACATAGGCTCATAAAGCACAAACCGATGACCGCCAAGGCATGGAAGGCAGTGACGTAGTGCACTCACTCAACAACGTGCAGCTTGTTTCCTACCTATTGAATGAGATGACAGCACAGCAGACAGGAGCTGTTCTGGGGTGTGGTCTCTCTCCCTCCTTGGGGCCCAGCTGGCCTGCCTGTCCTGTCTTTCCACAGTCCTCTCTGGCTGCTCTCTGAAATGTGACACCAGCCAGGAGGCAGCATAAAACATGCTCCAGAGGCCTAAGTAGTCAACCACTGATTGACAGAGGCTGTCTCAAATGGCACCCTATTCTCAATATAGTGCACTACTTTTGACCCTTATGGTGAATAGGGGGTGCCATTTGGGAAGCAGTCTGTCTCTCTCTCTCTCTCTCTCTCTCTCTCTGTCTCTCTCTCTCTCTCCCTCTCTCTCTCTCTCTCTCTCTCTCAATTCAATTCAATTCAATTTAAGGGCTTTATTGGCATGGGAAACGTGTGTTAACATTGCCAAAGCAAGTGAAGTAGATAGTAAACAAAAGTGAAAAACAGTCAATATTAACAGTAAACATTACACTCAGAAGTTTCAAAAGAATAAAGACATTTCAAATGTCATATTATGTATATATACAGTGTTGTAACAATGTGCAAATAGTTAAAGTACAAATGGGAAAATAAATAAACATAAATATGGGTTGTATTTACAATGGTGTTTGTTCTTCACTGGTTGCCCTTTTCTTGTGGCAACAGGTCACAAATCTTGCAGCTGTGATGGCACACTGTGGTTTTTCACCCAGTAGATAAGGGAGTTTATCAAAATTGGGTTTGTTTTCGAATTCTTTGTGGATCGCTGTAATCTGAGGGAAATATGTGTCTCTAATATGGTCATACATTTGGCAGGAGGTTAGGAAGTGCAGCTCAGTTTCCACCTCATTTTGTGGGCAGTGTGCACATAGCCTGTCTTCTCTTGAGAGCCAGGTCTGCCTACGGCGGCCTTTCTCAATAGCAAGGCTATGCTCACTGAGTCTGTACATAGTCAAAGCTTTCCTTAAGTTTGGGTCAGTCACAGTGGTCAGGTATTCTGCCACTGTGTACTCTCTGTTTAGGGCCAAATAGCATTCTTTGTTTGTTCTTTCCAATGTGTCAAGTAATTCTCTTTTAGTTTTCTCATGATTTGGTTGGGTCTAGTTGTGTTGTTGTTGTTGTTGTTGTTGTTGTTGTCCTGGGGCTGTGTGGGGTCTGTTTGTGTTTGTGAACAGAGCCCCAGGACAAGCTTACTTAGGGGACTCTTCTCCAAGTTCATCTCTCTGTAGGTGATGGCTTTGTTATGGAAGGTTTGGGAATCGCTTCATTTTAAGTGGTTATAGAATTTAACGGCTCTTTTCTGGATTTTGATAATTAGCGGGTATTGGCCTAATTCTGCTCTGCATGCATGTATTTGGTGTTTTACGTTGTACACGGAGGATGTTTTTGCAGAATTCTGCATGCAGAGTCTCAATTTGGTGTTTGTCCCATTTTGTAAATTCTTGGTTGGTGAGCGGACCCCAGACCTCAGAACCATAAAGGGCAATGGGTTCTATAACTGATTCAAGTATTTTTAGCCAAATCCTAATTGGTATGTCAAATTTTATGTTCCTTTTGATGGCATAGATGGCCCTTCTTGCCTTGTCTCTCAGATCGTTCACAGCTTTGTGGAAGTTACCTGTGGCGCTGATGTTTAGGCCGAGGTATGTATCGTTTTTTGTGTGCTCTAGGGCAACGGTGTCTAGATGGAATTTGTATTTGTGGTCCTGGCAACTGGACCTTTTTTGGAACACCATTATTTTTGTCTTACTGAGATTTACTGTCAGGGCCCAGGTCTGACAGAATCTGTGCAGAAGATCTAGGTGCTGCTGTAGGCCCTCCTTGGTTGGTGACAGAAGCACCAGATCATCAGCAAACAGAAGACATTTGACTTCAGATTCTAGTAGGGTGAGGCCGGGTGCTGCAGACTGTTCTAGTGCCCTCGCCAATTCGTTGATATATATGTTGAAGAGGGTGGGGCTTAAACTGCATCCCTGTCTCTCTCCCTCTCTCTCTCTCTGTCTGTCTCTCTCTCTCTGTCTCTCTCTCTGTCTCTCTGTCTCTCTCTCTGTCTCTGTCTCTGTCTCTCTCCCTCTGTCTCTCTCCCTCTCTCTCTGGTTCTGTCTCTGTCTCTCTGTTCTCTTCTCTCTATACTATCTCTTCTATCTCTCTCTCGCTCCTCTTATCTCTGTCCTCTCTCTTCTCTCTCTCTCTATCTATCTCTCTCTCTCGTCTCTCTCTCTGTATCTCCTCTGTCTCTCTCTCTCTCTCTCTCTCTCTCTCTCTCTCTCTCTCTATCTCTCTCTCTCTCTCTCTGTCTCCTCTCTCTGTCTCCCCACTCTCTCTCTCTCTCTCTCTCTCTCTCTCCTCTCTCTATCTCTCTCTCTTCTCTCTCTCTCTCTCTCTCTCTGTCTCTCTCTCTGTCTCTCTGTCTCTCTCTCTGTCTCTGTCTCTCTCCCTCTGTCTCTCTGTCTCTCTCTCTGTCTCTCTCTGTCTGTTGTGTTTACAGTTACTGTAACTGTCCCATTTGTATCTACAACCTACATACGTGGCATTTCAGGCTGTAAGCAGAAGCCTCTCAAGCTCTTCACACAGCCATGGACCAGGGGAGGGAAGCCCTGTGTGTATCTGGCACCTACTACCATACCCCGTTCAAAGGCACTTCAATCTTTTGTCTTGCCCATTCACCCTCTGAATGGCACACATACACAATCCAGGGTTGAGCAGTGCCAGGGTAGACTAAGTCTGCCACAGATGTTGTCTGACATGGGCTGTCACCTCCCTCCCTCCTTCCCTCCCTCTCAGTAGGAGACAGTTTGATTCTCTGGAGACTCATTAAGAGTGAATTGGTGTTAGGTAACTATTGGCATCATGTCACTAGGACTGTGCATCAGCACAGTGCAGCAGGTTTGGACACTGTAGTCCTGTTAACCCTGCTGTATGACAACATCTTTCCCTCTCTCCTTTTATGGCATATCATTCTTTCCCCCACAGTTACAGTGGAAGTCCTCTGGAAGAAAAACATGAAGCATTTACAATGTTCTTACTTGCTTGCAGACCCCCAAAGACAGTATTTGTCAGCTGCTCTGTGGTGGTGAAGCTACTAGCTCAGGAGACAGCAGTACGTTATGGCTACTGTAGAGTTTCCCAAGGTGCACCACCTTTTGTTCTAGAACTTTCTCCCTCTGTGCAGACAATCTCAGTGACGCCATAGTGCCTGGCTGTCCCTTTGATTGTATCCCCAGTACACCTGGAACACTTCTATTCAAAGGCTTTTCCAGCAGCTCTGATGATCACTGACACATTGTCAGTGACTGACTACACAACCAGTATCCCCTCTCATCTTCCCTGCCATGTGATATGATAAAAGGCACTGGTTCTCTTTTAGTCTCTTTTTAGGAGTGTTTTCCCACTGGGAGATGAAACAAGAAATGGAAGCAGCTTAAAAAAGCAACATGGTTTTTGCTTGGTCATGCTACTCAGTGCTCCCGCATTCACTCAAACACTCACACACAGTGACTTTGCAACCATGCTGTCCTCTACTCTGATATTCAAACTAAAATACAGCAAGAGAGGGATATTAAGTATTTATGTAACTTTATTTTAGTGTGGAAATTAAGTATTTATGTAACTTTATTTTAGTGCGGCTCGGGAGTTATTCTTGGCTAGATGCTTGGCAACAGGGAATTTCATGTAGTCTGTGTTGTTGTGACTCAGTCCACACTCTCCGCAGTAGCTTTATTGATGTTCACTACTTACCTAACTTTGTGTTTTAGTTGACTTTTCTTTTTAGCTAGCACTTTGCAGTACATTTAAACATTTTGTCATTTAGCAGACGCTCTTATCCAGAGTGACTTACAGTATGAGTGCATACATTTCCCCCGTGGGAATCAAACCCACAACCCTGGCGTTGCAAGCACCATGCTCTACCAACTGAGCCAATTGGGAGTAGACTGCTGAGCCTTGATTATTGTGGTCATTCCCCTGAGTGAGCCTATGTAGTCTAACCACTATTCTCGTTCCCTCTCTTTGCTACAGATGTGTGGTGGTACTGCTGAACCCCAAGAAGAACAAACAGCATCACATCCTCAACAGCTCCAGGTGGGGCTTCATACCTTCATAGTGTGTAACTGCTGCCTCCTGTTCGTCACGCCAGGCACGGCACAGCCAGGAGAGTGGATGGCTGCAGCCAGCTAGTCACAGTCACTTAGGCTTAAGTTCCTCCTCATACATAGCTTACATACAAAAACAAAACTACAACACTAAAGATTGTAATAGCCATCCCATGACAATAGTCTTGTTTTGTTGCATAGGGAACATACCCAGCCATCACCTGTGTCTCAAGACATTATGATGGCTGGATATGTTTTAATAATAAAAATAATTTGGGGGGGTGCGTATACAGTGGGGAAAAAAAGTATTTAGTCAGCCACCAATTGTGCAAGATCTCCCACTTAAAAAGATGAGAGAGGCCTGTAATTTTCATCATAGGTACACGTCAACAATGACAGACAAATTGAGAGAAAAAAAATCAAGAAAATCACATTGTAGGATTTTTAATGAATTTATTTGCAAATTATGGTGGAAAATAAGTATTTGGTCACCTACAAACAAGCAAGATTTCTGGCTCTCACAGACCTGTAACTTCTTCTTTAAGAGGCTCCTCTGTCCTCAACTCGTTACCTATATTAATGGCACCTGTTTGAACTTGTTATCAGTATAAAAGACACCTGTCCACAACCTCAAACAGTCACACTCCAAACTCCACTATGGCCAAGACCAAAGAGCTGTCAAAGGACACCAGAAACAAAATTGTAGACCTGCACCAGGCTGGGAAGACTGAATCTGCAATAGGTAAGCAGCTTGGTTTGAAGAAATCAACTGTGGGAGCAATTATTAGGAAATGGAAGACATACAAGACCACTGATAATCTCCCTCGATCTGGGGCTCCACGCAAGATCTCACCCCGTGGGGTCAAAATGATCACAAGAACGGTGAGCAAAAATCCCAGAACCACATGGGGGGACCTAGTGAATGACCTGCAGAGAGCTGGGACCAAAGTAACAAAGCCTACCATCAGTAACACACTACGCCGCCAGGGACTCAAATCCTGCAGTGCCAGACGTGTCCCCCTGCTTAAGCCAGTACATGTCCAAGCCCGTCTGAAGTTTGCTAGAGTGCATTTGGATGATCCAGAAGAGGATTGGGAGAATGTCATATGGTCAGATGAAACCAAAATATAACTTTTTGGTAAAAACTCAACTCGTCGTGTTTGGAGGACAAAGAATGCTGAGTTGCATCCAAAGAACACCATACCTACTGTGAAGCATGGGGGTGGAAACATCATGCTTTGGGGCTGTTTTTCTGCAAAGGGACCAGGACGACTGATCCGTGTAAAGGAAAGAATGAATGGGGCCATGTATCGTGAGATTTTGAGTGAAAACCTCCTTCCATCAGCAAGGGCATTGAAGATGAAACGTGGCTGGGTCTTTCAGCATGACAATGATCCCAAACACGCCGCCCGGGCAACGAAGGAGTGGCTTCGTAAGAAGCATTTCAAGGTCCTGGAGTGGCCATCCAGTCTCCAGATCTCAACCCCATAGAAAATCTTTGGAGGGAGTTGAAAGTCCGTGTTGCCCAGCGACAGCCCCAAAACATCACTGCTCTAGAGGAGATCTGCATGGAGGAATGGGCCAAAATACCAGCAACAGTGTGTGAAAACCTTGTGAAGACTTACAGAAAATGTTTGACCTGTGTCATTGCCAACAAAGGGTATATAACAAAGTATTGAGAAACTTTTGTTATTGACCAAATACTTATTTTCCACCATAATTTGCAAATTAATTCATTAAAAATCCTACAATGTGATTTTCTGGATTTTTTTTCTCATTTTGTCTGTCATAGTTGACGTGTACCTATGATGAAAATTACAGGCCTCTCTCATCTTTTTAAGTGGGAGAACTTGCACAATTGGTGGCTGACTAAATACTTTTTTTCCCCACTGTATTTGTCCTGTTACACCCAAGTGTGTACTGGAATGTGTTTCTTGCATATCCCAACTCCCCCTGAGACACCCGCAGGGAGTGGGGTCACGACCAGGTTCATCATTTTCTGGTGCCATTGTCCAATTCGGGTTAAGTGCCTTGCTCAAGGGCACAGTGACAGATTTTTCACCTTGTCGGCTCCGGGATTCAAACAACTGACCTTTCGATTACTGGCCCAATGCTCTAATCTCGAGGCTACCTGCCACCCATATATATGTGTATACACTGAGTATACCAAACATTAGGAACACCTTCCTAATATTGAGTTCCACAGGGAGGCTGGCCCATGTTGACTCCAATGCTTCCCACAATGGTGTCAAGTTGGCTGGATGTCCTTTGGGTGGTGGACCATTCTTAACACACACAGGAAACTGTTAAGTGTGAAAAACCCAGCAGCGTTGCAGTTCTTGATACAAACCGGTGCGCCTGGCACCTACTACCATACCCCGTTCAAAGGCACTTCAATCTTTTGTCTTGCCCATTCACCCTCTGAATGGCACACATACGCAATCTTTGTCTCAATTGTCTCAAGGCTTAAAAATCCTTCTTTAACCTGTCTCCTCTCCTTGATCTACACTGATTGAAGTAGATTTAACAAGTGACGTCAATAAGGGATCATAGCTTTCACCTGGATTCACCTGGTCAGTCTATGTCATGGAAAGAGCAGGTGTTCCTAATGTTTTACATACTCAGTGTATGTGTATATATATATATGTGGCTTGGGGTTATAATGGAGTAGGATGACCTAAGCCTGTAGGCCCTGTAAATACAGGCCATCTGGATGAGAGGGAGGGAGCTAGTCTATAGTGACTTGTCAAACACAGCATGGCTTATGTAACGACTAGCACTGGACAGACAGTCAGCCACGACCAAAGCAGCACCACGGCTTCAAAGCCACTGCCAATCCCTTTAATGTGTGGAAAAAGCAGAGGTAGGTAGATGTTGTCACGTCATTAGGGCTGAAAAAAAGGTCCTCTAAATCAATGTGACTGTGACAAGCTGGCTCCATCCATTCTTCTTTCTAACTGTCATATACCCAGATGAGTTTGTTCTCTTATGCTCTCCTGGTTTGAGGCTAATATTGGAATTTAATACCCTCTGCCCTACTCCTACATCACTCTACAGACTAATTATTACTATACCATGATGAGATCACAGTATAGTAATGCTTAGTACAACATTTGATAAGAGAAAAGCTGCTTGGCTACGCATCAAACATTTATATGACACTTCGATAGGGGGAAAAATGTAGCGTCCCAAATGGCACCCTGTTCCCCATACAAGCCCTAGTGCCTATATATATTTTTTCCTCCAATAAAGTATTGCACTACATAGGGAATAGGGTGCCAGACAATATCTCTGTGTACCAGTACTGGACCGTGATAACTGCTTCAACAGTTTTTTAAAACAACCAATTGACTCCCAGTCACAGGCCATTGAGCCGACCATTCAGTGCAGATACTATATCTTTAAACTCATCTCTTTACCACCACATGGTGTATCATTTTACTATTATCAGACTCTACTGTTGGTACAGCAGCATTTGTTTAGGACTCCTTTCCTGTTAGAAGTGTAAGAGCCTGCCTCTAATCTCTACTTTAGTGTGTGATGATAATCATCAGATTGATGTATTGATTGTGGTGAGCGTGCCATTGTCATAGAGTACAGCCCAAGCGGAAAAACCCCTCGAGACCAGGATGCATTCACTTCTTTTCGAAAGTAATGAAATGTTTCCTCTCCTCTCTGTCATCTATTCTCTTCACAGGAAAACCATCACCACTCTGTCATTTTCCCCTGATGGCAAATATGTTGTCACAGGAGAGGTGAGTGTCATTCCATTGTTAGGGCCCTATAAAATCTGAGATGCGGAAGAAACGTGACATTAAAACGGAATTCAACTATATTAAAAAATGTGTTGAACTTTAGTAGGGAATCAACTAAATGTATTGAAAGTTAATTAATTTGTCCAATTTGATCATAAGACGTTAACAGAATCCATCAGTGATTCGTATTTCCTGGAACTTTCTGAAGAAGCAACGAGAATTCCCCGTCTATGTATGTGCCGTGCGTGCGTCTACCACTTTGTGTTGCCGTTAGCGATGATGCTAATGAAAAGTCTGGTAGATGGAAAGGCTTTCACAAAAACCTTCTCAATTACATGTTAACTACAAAATAGCCTATACTTACCTACCAGAATGATATCATTATTTGCATCAATCCAGTGGGTATTTGTTTAGCAAACTCTACTATCACATGTGCGCTACAAAAACATAGCTAAAGAAAAGCCTCTTGCTAGCACTGGAATTAAAGGGTAACTACACCCCAAAATCTAAATTTCCCAAAACATTCCCAGACCTCAATACTGGTCTCCTGATGTGGTTTAAACATTGTTGTGGACTTAGAACATCCAATTTAGTTGTTTTTCTATTTAGAAAGTGTGATTTTGTGAGTGAAAACCTGAAAAAACTGGGGAAACGGACACCTGGGAAAACAATTAGGAGAAAACAGAATTTGGGAAAAAACAACAGAATCAGGCAAAATATGAAATAGATTGTATAGGGCCCTACATTGTGTCTTTGCATGCCATGATGAAATGATGATACTGCAACTGCAGCTTCCTAAAAAAGTGCTGACTGTTTCCTGCTCCACTGCCAGGGCATGGCAGAGCTATCGTTGCAGTGTCCAACCCCACAGTTCATAAATGGAACACTGTCTGTGCCACATCTACAAAGGACTGTGTCCATAGCTGTGAATGTACCATGAAAAAACACACAGTGCTTGTGCTCTAGTCCGTGTTTGTGTACTGCACCATTGACTCTGTCAGTGCACGCATGTGTGCGTGTGTGTTAGACAGTGTTAGTCTAATCCATATTAGCCAGAACAGTGTGTGCGAAAGTGAATGTGTGTGTGCTGCTGCAGGGTTGCCATGGCAGCAGGAGGGGGCAGGGTGCCAGACTGACTCTGTCAGCTGTCTGAAGGAGAGTGGGAGGGACGGGAGGGAAGAGACAGAAAGAGAGATACTTCCAGGGATGTGCCAGTGGCAGAAGGCACACAGCACGTGCTGGTGCTCAGCTCACCCTGCCTGTCTGTCCTCTGTGGTGTAGCTAACTGACCATGCTGTTAGTGACCATGCTGCCTCTGCCCTATGTATGCTGTCAAAGGGAGGTCCCTCTGTTCACAGTCGGCTTCTGTTCTTTCTTTAAAAGAGCTAGACGTCATCAGCTCTCCTGATTGTGTTCTGTTCTAAGGAGGTGCAGCAAAAGCTAATCCCAACCATGGGTTTACTCTACCTAGCTGCTACTGTAGTTTATTATATTTATTTACCATCGAACCTGTATCTGAAATTTGTAGAAATATGCCTTATCATTTCGCTCATACAGTACCTCTTTCCATACCCAGTATAAGAATTATGCATACAAAGCCGCTGCCTGCAGAGGGTAAGAAGGTACTAGGGATGTATTAGAATTAATTTCCTGGCTTCCCTTGCCTGTCCTCTTTAAATTCCCTCCACTTGATCTTCTGTTCCATCCTTGAGTTGCATAAGACAAATCATTACCGGATTGGGAAGCAGTTACAGGGTACATTGAAAAGCTTAGTGGAGACTAGAGTGTTTCCTGTCCATCTGTATGATCCAGGGATTCTGACTGTGGCTACATCACCTTGTGGACACAAACCTGTCAGGTGGTTATTATAAGAATTTTGAATCGACTTGCCGATATAAATAAATGTGAAATAAATTAAGATTCACATTTGTGGTTAGGGGGATGTGTGAGACTTGGTATGTAGAGTGACAAGAAGCAGAATATTTTTGTGCATTATTTGCTCTATTATTATGCATTATTTTCTCTGTTTCTCTTGCGCTGTCTCTCTTTGTCTCTGTCTCTCTTTGTCTCTCTTTGTCTCTCTTTGTCTCTCTCTCTCTCTCTCTCTCTCTCTCTCTCTCTCTCTCTCTCTCTCTCTCTCTCTCTCTCTCTCTCTCTTTTTCTCTCTCTCTCTCGTCTCTGTCTCTCTCGTCTCTGTCTCTCTCTCTCCAGAGTGGGCACATGCCTGCTGTGCGGGTGTGGGACGTTACAGAGCGGACCCAGGTTGCAGAGTTACAGGAACATAAGTACGGCATCTCCTGTGTGGCCTTCTCTCCCAACAGCAAGTATATCGTCAGCGTGGGATACCAGCACGACATGATCATCAATGTCTGGGCCTGGAAGGTAGCTAGCAACTCGCTTATTAGGTCTTCATTGGGTCTTAGTAGGTCTTCCATTTTCTCTATTGGAATAAATACATTTTGGATGAGTGAAAAAATACATTCATTACTTACTTACTTAGGCCCATTGCTCATTTGGGAGCATAGACCATCGACGACTCCTCTCCCAATACATAAATATATATATATATAGACCGATAGAGGTGAAAATGCTAAGTGCTGTTTTTGAACTATCCTTCAATGTTTTATACTATCTTTCCTCTTCTTCTCTGAGGACAAAGTATATATCTACTGTTGATCTACAGTCCTGTTCTCTGCTCAGAAAAACATAGTGGTGGCAGCCAACAAGGTGTCCAGTAAGGTCACAGCTGTGTCCTTCTCAGACGACAGCAACTACTTTGTCACGGCAGGGAACAGGCACGTCAAGTTCTGGTACCTGGATCACACCAAATCCTCCAAGGTATTCACACACAGTCAGTCACACCAACAACAACAACATTATTTAAAGGGGCAATCTGCAGTTGCTAAATCCATTTTTGGATGTAAATAAATGCCTCATGAGCTTAGTTCACCTGTCGTACCCCATCAGAACCCAAAATATAAGCTGGTTTTACTCCAATGTTTGTAAACTAAGTAAATGTAGACAAACACTATATAGCCTCAAAACATGGATAAAACTATACTGAACAAAAATATGAACTCAACATGTAAAGTGTTGGTCCCATTTTTCATGAGCTGAAATAAAAGATCCCAGAAATGTTCCATATGCACAAAAAGTGTATTTCTTAAAATGTTGTGCACAAATTAGTTTACATCCCTGTTAGTGAACATTTCTCCTTTGCCAAGATAATCCATCCACCTGACAGGTGTGGCTTATCAAAAAGCTGATTAAACAGCATTATCATTACACAGGTGCACCTTGTGCTGGGGACAATAAAAGGCAACTCTAAAATGTGCAGTTTTGTCACACAACACAATGCCACAGATGTCTCAAGTTTTGAGGGAGCGTGCAATTGGCATGCTGACTGCAGGAATGTCCACCAGAGCAGTTGCCAGATAATTGAATGTTCATTTCTCGACCATAAGCTGCCTCCAATGTCGTTTTGGAGAATTTGGCAGTACATCCAACCGGCCTCACAACAGCAGACCATGTGTAACCACGCCCGCCCAGGACCTCCACATCAGGCTTCTTCACCTGCGGGATCTTCTGAGGAGGGGGAGGGGGAGGGGTGGTGCTGAGGAGTATTTCTGTCTTGAATAAAGCCCTTTGGTGGGGAAAAACTAATTCTGATTGGTTGGGCCTGGCTCCCCAGTGTGTGGACCTGACTCCCAAGTGGGTGGGCCTATGCCCTCCCAGGGCCACCCATGGCTGCGCCCCTGCCTAGTCATGTGAAATCCATAGATTAGGGACTTATGAATTTATTTCAATTGACTGATTTCCTTCTATGAATTGTAACTCAGTAAAATGTTTTAATTGCTGCATGTTGAGTTTATATTTTTGTTCAGTATAAATGTTGATATCATGGATGGTCAATCCTTGCATCCATAGCTCTGTCTATGAGTTTGAGAGGGTTTACATTTCTCCAGGCCCATTCCTCATCCATAACTGACAAATAATAACTAATGCTGGTTCTAACTGAGCCTCTCAGGAATGTATCTCTAATACAATGGTTGCTTCCCAAATTGCACCCTCTTCCCTATATAGTGCATTATGTAGGGAATAGGGTGCCATTTGGTATGTAGTCGTTTCCCCCAAGTTGTCCTCTTGATCTTCAGCTGTTCCATATATTGGTTAAATTCCAACACTAGCACACCTAATTCATCTATGCAATTAATCAGCAAGCCCCTGATCATTAGTTCAATCAGTTGTGTTATTGTTGGAATGTAACAAATATGTACAACGCCGGGTTGGAGGTCACAAGGACCAGTTGGGGAAATTCCTCTGTAATCGCTCAAGCTATTAGAATAAAGACAGACGTCACATATCAACTTCAATAGCCATGCTGAAGCCGAATAGAAGGTCTTACATCCCAGAGTTTGGGATAACATAACAAACTGATGGACTAGATCAATCAGACCCAATAGCAATGTCTCTCTAATCATTGCTCCCTCTGTCCGTCTGCTAGGTGAACGCCACGGTTCCTCTGCTGGGTCGCTCGGGGCTCCTGGGGGAGCTGAGGAACAACTTCTTCAGTGACGTGGCATGTGGGAAGGGTCGTAAAGCCGGCAGCACCTTCTGCATTACCTCCTCGGGCCTGCTCTGCGAGTTCAATGACAAACGCCTGCTGGACAAATGGGTGGAACTAAGGGTGAGTTACTAGACTCGGGGGTCACGTTCATTAAGGGCACAATGTAGCAAAACTTTTTGCAACCAAAAACAGAAATCAGACTTGTTATAAGACAAATTAATAGAATCAAGAATTAGCTTCCTTGACTCAATAATTTATAATCAAAAGTATTTCGCTGCAGCGTTCAAAAGGCATATAAACTAAAAAGGAAAACCTGAATTTGATGACATTTTCCAGTTTATTGGACAAATTCAGGCAGTAGGCTACTTCCCGGTTTCACTGGGACTGTAGCTGCCTGGCTGTATCCACAGGCGTAGAGTAACACTATGAATCGTTTTGTCTAAAACTGTCTGAATGAATGGAGATCTATCACTAAAGTACCGATTATGTGTAAATGTTGGCAGAGAGCGAGTTGGTGACTTATCACAGCTTTCTACTGCATAATCAGCTTAGAATATAACCCCTTTTCAATCTACATGTGGCACAGTTTCAAACTTTCAACTTTCCCTGGACTTGGCTACTACAGAATATCCTAATTCTAGATGTAATCTAGCCACCGACTGTGTCAGATAAAACACTGATTTCAGTTCTGCTTAAAAGTCAATTGTAGACAGACAACTGTCTCGTGTCGGTGGAGTGTTAATTTGACCATCCATGCTGCTGTCTGTCTAATATTAGTGTTGTTCTGCTTCTGCTTTTTCCTCCTCTTACACTGTCCAGAAGAACGACAGTGTCACAGTAAGTCTGTCCCTTACCTGTCCTGCAGTTCCATGTCACATCAGCTGAAAGTTATGCCCCACCCCCCCTCCGATACCCCCGAGCATTCCATTGGAGGGTTTCTCAGAATGCTGCAGTCTATCATGCCCACCTGTCCACCCTATTGGGTGTGTGTGTTTTGACCACGTGAACCTAGTGGTCCACATTCTCAGATGTCTTATCTGGATGTTCTTATCCAGAGCGAGTAACAGGAACAATTATTGTTAAGTGCCTTGCTCAAGGGCACATCGACAGATTTTTCACCTAGTTGGCTTGGGGATGCGAACCAGCGACCTTTCGGTTACTGGCCCAACACTCTTAACCGCTAGGCTACCTGCCTCGCCGGATACAGAATTCATGCAGTATTACGATCAAATGATCTCTGAGGTCACAACAACCTTTTCCTAAACTTGTACCACATGATTGTAACACACTAGTGGAACTGGAGAGATCCCTACCAGATTGGCCATGCTGAGCCTGCTACCTTCCTGCTAACAGGGCTGAAGTGGGTCAGAGATACAGTAGGTAGGTGGGTGCACAATCATGCTTTTGTAGCAGACGCAGGCCCAAAGCATAGAGAGACAGGAGAAGGGGAGAAAAGAGAGGGAGAGAAGAGGGAGAGGAATGGAAATGAAAAGAGAGCGAATGAGAGAAAGGAGAGAGAGAGAGGGAGGGAGTGAAGAGGACCAACAATGCTTGCTCTGTCTCAACTGCTGCAACAGCATCACATTCCATCCTGGCATATCAGACAGCTTGATATCAACCTCTCCGCTCACGCTGTTCATCTCTAAACTCAGTTCATTAATTTACGCTCTTAACATAACTGTAAGTCGCTCTGGATAAGAGCGTCTGCTAAATGACTAAAATGTAATGTAAATGTAACATTCACACTGCAAAGCTACCAGTGTGGATTAATTTAAAAGACTTAAAAGCTTGCTGTGATCTAGCCTGTAACAAGTGACCACAGCCACAACATCAAATTAGGACATGGCTTTCATCCCCTCACATGAACTGCATATCTTATCTGCTGTAGAAGGCATGAGAGGGATCATCCTCGGTCAGAACTACACTGTCACCATACACGCCTCTTCCCCAGAGGCAACTTGAAGCTGCCACTTTGGTATATTTTGGTTTCTCCCCTACTAAGATGGTTGCTTCACTGGCATGCCGTGGTTAACAGTGCAGTGCACTGACTGTTGGGAAAGCACAGCATGCTTTGGCAACCTGAGCCCAAAGAGAGAATGTGTAAAAAAGATTTAGTCAATTACTGTTATTGGACTTGGAGAAAAAGCTGTGTCCAATCTGGGCTGCATGCCTGGCTGAATCACTGTTATTCATCATTTCAAGCATCATACTGGTAAATTGAGAAATGATATTGTGTATTGTTGTTTACAATCTGTAGGCCTAGATCTGAACCTGCTGCATTCAATAATGTGTGGTTTATGGAGTGGATACCATATCTCATCCTCTTCACCACAGTGACATATATTGCATATCATTCTGTTTCTGTCATGCTGTTTGTTGTTGAACTGTTTACTTTTCACAATATTTATTTTCTAGTGAAGCCACTTCTTCTGCCTAGATTAAACTACTTGAGAGATGTTCTTATATTGTTTACCCAGGGGCCTAGCTACAGTAAAGCGTGGTAATCAGTATTTACACAGACAGACAAGTATGTGGTGCTTACTCAATGTTTCCCCTATATTCATTTAGCAGTGGCGAGCCGCCGCTTCTAAATTGTTGCCACCACTCCCAAAAATATGATTTAAACAAATAATAATGATATACTGTGTATATACTGTGTATATATATATATATATAATGGTAAAACCAAACTCTATAGTTTTTAGTTTTTACGCAGAGGCTAGTGGCTATACACTTTTTTATTTATTTATTTAGCCTTTATTATTTTTCAGGAGAGACCTGGTCCTACAGCGGCAGCGGGAACAAAGTTTCAGACAAAACTACTTACATACACTAACACAACATTGAACAAAACTATAGACACACATACAGTACAACAATTACATATTACGTAAAGAAACACGAATGTCATAACTAAAAAACAGCTGTCCTAAAGACAATTACACTCTTCTATGATATTTACATCGATCAAGTGTTTAAACCTATTCTCAGCTTGAGCTTCCTTATCAAGTTCTCCACATGAACAGTGAAGCTCAGCTTGTCATCCACCCACACTCCCAAATATTTGTACACTTTGACTTGCTCTATAGTATGTCCATCCAATGTAGCAATGACATGATTAGTAACTTGCCTGGCATTTGAAAATACCATGCATTTTGTTTTACCCGAATTCAGAACCAGCTTCAAATCATACAGATTCTGTTGTAAGGTGTTAAATGCTCTTTGGGCATTTTCAAAAGCGAAAGATAAACTACTACCACTTGAATAAAGAACAGTATCATCTGCATAAAAATGACACTGTTTCAATATGATCCCCAATGTTGTTGATATACAAAATGAACAACAGTGGGCCCAAAATAGAATCTACCAGTCAAAAGTTTGGACATACCTACTCATTCCAGGGTTTTTCTTTATTTTTACTATTTTCTACATTGTAGAATAATAGTGAAGACATCAAAACTATGAAATAACACATATGGAATCATGTAGTAACCAAAAAAGTGTTAAACAAATAAAAATTTATTTTATATTTGAGATTCTTCAAAGTAGCCACCCTTTGCCTTAATGACAGCTTTGCACACTCTTGGCATTCTCTCAACCAGCTTCATGAGATAGTCATCTGGAGTGCATTTCAATTAACAGGTGTGCCTTCCTAAAAGTTAATTTGTGGAATGTCTTTCCTTCTTAATGCGTTTGAGCCAATCAGTTGTGTTGTGACAAGGTAGGGGGTATACAGAAGATAGCTCAATTTGGTAAAAGACCAAGTCCATATTATGGCAAGAACAGCTCAAATAAGCATAGAGAAACGACAGTCCATCATTACTTTAAGACATGAAGGTAAGTCAATCCGGAAAATGTCAAGAACTTTGAAAGTTTCTTCTACAGTCGCAAAAACCATCAAGCGCTATGATGAAACTGGCACTCATGAGGACCGCCACAGGAAAGGAAGACCCAGAGTTACCTCTGCTGCAGAGGATAAGTTCATTAGAGTTAACTGCACCTCAGATTGCAGCCCAAATAAATGCTTCACAGAGTTCAAGTAACAGACACATCTCAACATCAACTGTTCAGAGGAGACAGTGTGAATCAGGCCTTCATGGTCGAATTGCTGCAAAGAAACCACTTCTAAAGGACACCAATAAGAAGAAGAGACTTGCTTGGGCCAAGAAACACGAGCAATGGACATTAGACCGGTGGAAATCTGTCCTTTGGTCTGATGAGTCCAAATGTGAGATCTTTGGTTCCAACCGCCGTGTCTATGTGAGACGCAGAGTAGGTGAACGGATGATCTCTGCATGTGTGGTTCCCACTGTAAAGCATAGAGGAGGAGGTGTGATGGTGTGGGGGTGCTTTGCTGGTGACACTGTTGGTGATTTATTTAGAATTCAAGGCACACTTAACCTTCATGGCTACCACAGCATTCTGCAGCGATACGCCATCCCATCTGGTTTGTGCTTAGTGGGACTATCAATAGTTTTTCAACAGGACAATGACCCAACGCACCTCCAGGCTGTGTAAGGGCTATTTGACCAAGAAGGAGAGTGATGGAGTGCTGCATCAGATGACCTGGCCTCCGCAATCACCCGACCTCAACCCAATTGAGATGGTTTGGGATGAGTTGGACCGCAGAGTGAAGGAAAAGCAGCCAACGTGTGCTCACCATATGTGGGAACTCCTTCAAGACTGTTGGAAAAGCATTCCTCATGAAGCTGGTTGAGAGAATGCCAAGAGTGTGCAAAGCTGTCATCAAGGCACAGGGTGGCTACTTTGAAGAATTTGTTTAACACTTTTTTGGTTACTACATGATTCCATATGTGTTATTTCAAAGTTTTGATGTCTTCACTATTATTCTACAATGTAGATAATAGTAAAAATAAAGAAAAACCCTTGAATGAGTAGGTGTGTCCAAACTTTTGAATGGTACTATATATATATATATATATATATATATATATATATATATATATATATAATTTCCGTGATGGTAAAACGTTTTCAGTGTAAACCTGAACTGAAACCAGATTATTATATAAAGTGTGTAGAAAACATAATGGAGCAATATGTTTTTAAATAAGATACTTTTTTAGAACTAACAATCACCAAAATAAAAACTAGACAGTCAGGGAGAATCTAACATTCCCAAAATGTCATGGCATGTGGCACACATTGATTTTGTTATTATGTTTGAGTCACTCAGATAGCATAAGAACAAAATATCACATTTTCTCTCCACCCCAAAAAAGGTAGAATTGCAGGAAATTGGCTGTAAAACAGCAAAATGTTGTATCTTCAGCCAAGAGGTGGCCCTTTACAATTTTGGGTCGGAGATTGTGCCATTGGCTACGCCCACTACCACGCCCCCCCAATCCTCTAAAATAACTTTTCCACCGCTGCTGAAAAAAATCCTATGGGAAACAATGTGACTGCTAGTCCCTAGTGTGTTTTCTGATGCCTCTCTGGCAATGGTCTTCAATTCAATACGTTCAATATCATTGACAGACAGCACCTTAGCTCTTTCTGCTGTCTCTGCAATTGATTTCCCTGAGGAGCTGGGCTGCGTCCCAAATAGCACCCTATTCCCTATGTAGTGCTCTAGTGAGGCAGAAGGGAATAGAGCCAGGCGGGGCCCTGGCTCTATTCCCTTCTGTGCATTCGGAAAGTATTCAGACCCCTTGACCTTTTCAACATTTTGTTACGTTACAGCCTTATTCTAAAATTGATTAAATTGTTTTTTCCCCTCATCAATCTACACACAATACCCCATAATGATAAAGCAAAAACAGGTTTTTAGATGTTTTTGCAAGTTTATAAAAAATAAAAACGTAAATATCACATTTACCTAAGTATTCAGACCGTTTACTCAGTACTTTGTTGAAGCACCTTTGGCAGCGATTACAGCCTCGAGTCTTCTTGGGTATGACGCTACAAGCTTGGCACACCTGTATTTGGGGAGTTTCTCCCATTCTTCTCTGCAGATCCTCTCAAGCTCTGTCAGGTTGGATGGGGAGCGTCGCTGCACAGCTATTTCCAGGTATCTCCAGAGATGTTCGATTGGGTTCAAGTCCGGGCTCTGGCTGGGCCACTCAAGGACATTCAGAGACTTGTCCCGAAGCCACTCCTGCGTTGTCTTGGCTGTGTGCTTAGGGTCATTGTCCTGTTGGAAGGTGAAACTTCGTCCCAGTCTGAGGTCCTGAGCGCTCTGGAGCAGGTTTTCATCAAGAATCTCTCTGTACTTTGCTCTATTCATTTTTCCCTCGATCCTGCCTAGTCTCCTAGTCCCTGCCGCTGAAAAACATCCCCACAGCATGATGCTGCCACCACCACGCTTCACCGTAGGGGATGGTGCCAGGTTTCCTCCAGACGTTACGCTTGGCATTCAGGCCAAAGAGTTCAATCTTGGTTTCATCAGACCAGAGAATCTTGTTTCTCATGGTCTGAGAGTCTTTAGGTGCCTTTTGGCAAACTCCAAGCGGGCTGTCGTGTGCCTTTTACTGAGGAGTGGCTTCCATCTGGCCACTCTACCATAAAGGCCTGATTGGTGGAGTTCTGCAGAGATGGTTGTCCTTCTGGAAGGTTCTCCCATCTCCACATAGGAACTCTGGAGCTCTGTCAGAGTGACCATTGGGTTCTTGGTCACCTCCCTGACCAATGCCCTTCTCCACCGATTGCTCAATTTGGCCGGGCGGCCAGCTCTAGGAAGTCTTGGTGGTTCCAAACTTCTTCCATTTAAGAATGATGGAGGCCACTGTGTTCTTGGGGACCTTCAATGCTGCAGAAATGTTTTGGTACCCTTCCCCAGATCTGTGCCTCGACACAATCCTGTCTCGGAGCTCTACGGACAATTCCTTCGACCTCATGGCTTGGTTTTTGCTCTGACATGCAGTGTCAACTGTGGGACCTTATATAGACAGGTGTGTGCCTTTCCAAATCATGTCCAATCAATTGAATTTCCCACAGGTGGACTCCAATCAAGTTGTAGAAACATCTCGAGGATGATCAATGGAAACAGGATGCACCTGAGCTCAATTTCGAGTCTCATAGCAAAGGGTCTGAATACATATGTAAATGTGATATTTCAGTTTTTTATTTTTTAATAAACCTGCACAAATTTCTAAAAACCTGTTTTTGCTTTGTCATTATGGGGTAATGTGTGTAGATTGATGTAGATTGAACAATTTAATCAATTTTAGAATAAGGCTGTAACGTAACAAAATGTGGAAAAAGTCAAGGGGATCTGAATACTTTCCGAATGCACTGTAGTAGTGGAGGAAACCCTGACGTGTGTGTTATATGTAGTGTACAGTACGTATGTGTGTCCTCTCTAACCCCACCTCCTCTGCCCTGCAGACCAATCAGGCCACGTCTCTGTCTGTGACGGACGAGCTGATCTTCTGTGGCTGTGCTGACGGCACGGTTAGGGCCTTCAGCCCCGTCAACCTGCACTTCATCTGCACCCTGCCACGCCCACACTGCCTGGGCACAGACATCGCCACCGTGGTGGAGGCTAGGTGAGTGACCCCGACCTTAACCTCCACACAATGCAGACGACGTGCAGAGGTTTTTATGTGTGCAAGAATTCATATTTTATAATCAATTGAACTTTTAGAGAACTGTTTTTTTAATCAACATTATGACTTTGAAATGTCGCCCTGGACATGAATGAAGTATTTAAATGGTGTCTTTGTGACTGTGGGAAGTGGGAACAGTCTCTCTCTGTCCTGTTGGTTAGCCAGAGTGGTGTGGGTTGTGTGGTATCTAGATCTCATACAGCATCATACTCTACATACCTATACAAATACTAAACAAACCAACTACACAAAATACCCTTGAATGATTTCCTCTTTGTTACTGTTCTTCCAGGATGCATGTGGGCCCAGTTGGAGTTAAATGTCATATTGTTTTTGTATCCCTGTATCCCCCTCAAGCTCTGTTTAAATAGACGTTTTGTCGTTGATGCCTTCAGGAAGACAGATGGAGATTCCTATGAGAGTTTGTTCTCCTCATAAATATGGACTGAGTGAATGCTGAGTCTGGAATGCTGCTGGTTAATTTCCTTGTTCAACTGACTTCCTGACAATAGGCCCTAAATGTTATAACAGATTAGCTGAATAATCATGCATATAGCATGTTTGCGTGGGATGTGAAAAATCCCACCAGTGGAATAACTAACTGCATGTTTGCGTCACAAATGACACCCTTTTCCCTATTTGGTGCAATACTTTTGACCAGGGCCCATAGATGGCTGTGTAGGTCATGTCGAAGCTGCTATTAAGTGAAGCCATCAAGGTCACCTCGCTACTGTTTATAGAAGTTTCTGTGGGAAACACCATAGACAGGCCAGACCTCACCCAGTAAGCACGTTATGTTCTGGCCAAAAACACAACCATTAAATCATTGGTAAAGGGATGCCAGCCCGGCTGATAGCTGGGCTTTTCTCATAACCATTGAATTGGGTTAGCTTGTACTGTAACTTTAAAGTATCTCTGGGTTCTGGAAAAGTGCTTCATAAATTAAATATATAGTTTTTTTATTACAGTATTCCAGTGTTATTACATCCTAACTCTCCCTCCCTCCAGTCACCTCTTCAGCCACAAGATGGACGCCCGGTGTCCTGACACGGTGGCTGTATCTTATGACCCTGCCAGCCGCTGGCTGTCCTGTGTCTACAATGACCACAGCCTGTACGTGTGGGACGTACGGGACCTCCGCAAAGTGGGCAAGGTCTACTCCGCCCTCTACCACTCGGCCTGCGTGTGGAGCGTCGAGGTAAGGTCAGGGAGGGAGGCCTGGAGGAACATGTTTCTCTTTACTCCCTGTATAGAGAGGGTTTTACATGTAGAAAATAAACAAGATACCTGTTGCACACTGTTGAATGGTGGTCTCATATACAGTGCATTCGGAAAGTATTCAGACCCCTTGACTTTTTCCACATTTTGTTACGTTACAGCCTTATTCTAAAATTGATAAAATTGTTTTTTTCCCTCATCAATCTACACACAATACCCCATAATGACAAAGCAAAAATACGTTTTTATAAATGTTTGCACATTTATTAAAAATAAACAACGGAAATATAACATTTACATAAGTATTCAGACCCTTTTCTCAGTACTTTGTTGAAGCACCTTTGGCAGCGATTACAGCCTCAAGTCTTCTTGGGTATGACGCTACAAGCTTGGCACACCTGTATTTGGGGAGTTTCTCCCGTTCTTCTCGGCAGATCCTCTCAAGCTCTGTCAGGTTGGATGGGGAGTGCCTCTGCACAGCTATTTTCAGGTCTCTCCAGAGATGTTAGATTGGGTTCAAGTCCGGGCTCTGGCTGGCCACTAAAGGACATTCAGAGACTTGTCCTGAAGCCACTCCTGCGTTGTCTTGGCTGTGTGCTTAGGGTCATTGTCCTGTTGGAATGTGAACCTTCGCCCCAGTCTGAGGTCCTCAGCGCTCTGGAGCAGGTTTTAATCAAGAATCTCTCTGTACTTTGCTCCGTTCATCTTTCCCTCGATCCTGACTAGTCTCCCAGTCCCTGCCGCTGAAAAACATCCCCACAGCATTATGCTGCCACCACCATGCTTCACCGTAGGGATGGTGCCAGGTTTCCTCCAGACGTGACACTTGACATTCAGGCCAAAGAGTTCAATCTTGGTTTCATCAGACCAGAGAATCTTGTTTCTCATGGTCTGAGAGTCTTTAGGTGCATTTTGGCAAACTCCAAGCGTGCTGTCACGTGCCTTTTACTGAGGAGTGGCTTCCGTCTGGCCACTCTACCGTAAAGGCCTGATTGGTGGAGTGCTGCAGAGATGGTTGTCTTTCTGGAAGTTTCTCCCATCTCCACATAGGAACTCTGGAGCACTGTCAGAGAGACCATCGGGTTCTTGGTCACCTCCCTGAACAAGGCCCTTCTCCCCGAATGCTCAGTTTGGCCGGGCGGTCAGCTCTAGGAATAGTCTTGGTGGTTCCAAACTTCTTCCATTTCAGAATGATGGAGGCCACTGTGTTATTGGGGACCTTCAATGCTGCAGAAATGTTTTGGTACCCTTCCCCAGATCTGTGCCTCGACACAATCCTGTCTCAGAGCTCTACGGACAATTCCTTCGACCCTGTCGCTTGGTTTTTGCTCTGACATACACTGTCAACTGTGTGACCTTATATAGAGAGGTGTGTGCCTTTCCAAATCATGTTCAAATCAATTGAATTTACCACAGGTGGACTCCAATGAAGTTGTAGAAACATCTCAAGGATGATCAATGGAAACAGGATGCACCTGAGCTCAATTTCGAGTCTCATAGCAAAGGGTCTGAATACTTATTTAAATAATGTATATATTTATTTATTTTATGTAAATTTACAAAAACTTCTAAAAACCTGTTTTTGCTTTGTCATTATGGGGTGTTGTGTGTAGATTGATGAGGATTTCTATTTATTTAATCCATTTAAGAATAAGGCTGTAACGTAACAAAATGTGGAAAAAGTCAAGGGGTCAAAATACTTTCCGAATGCAATGTTTATTGTTCCGTGCAGCGGAGCATTTAACCGTGTGTGGGTATGTTTTTATTTTCTATGATGCGTTTTTTCCACCCTGCAGCTGGAATCTATCTGGATGTGCATACACTAGTTTAGAACAACTGTTTCCATGTCCTCTGTACCTGTCAGGTGTACCCAAAATGTACGTAGATTAATATTTACATAATCTCTCCTAGTGTTAAAAGAATTTCTATCTCTAATTCAACCTAAGCTTGAATCATTACCAGAGGTTGTAAGGCTCTGGTTTTAATCATAAATGATTCAAGGTCCACAACCAGCAAGAATGATCTGTATTTTTATTCATGGAGAGCTCTGGCGCCAAAACCCATACACTCCTGTTTTATACCTCTTGACACACAAAGGCACTTTGCTCCGCCCACCTTTAGGAGGCTTTCTTAAACAGTTTCCACCTTTCTCCTTCACCCTGGAATGTTTAGTCCCGCCCCCCCCCCCCTCTGTTAGTGGGTTGATAATTGTAACACAGTTGTATTTGGGGTGAAATCCTTTAGTCATTATTCTTAAAATACAAATTAATCTAACACCTAGACGATAGGTCTACTAATGTTTCCTTTGCTCTGCACCTGTACAGGTGTATCCAGACAGGGTAAGGGATGGCAGGCAGCCCTGTCTGCCTCCAGGTTCCTTCCTTAGCTGTTCTTCAGACAATACTATCCGTCTCTGGAACACTGATGGACACAACACCACTCTCAGCCACAACGTCATCAGCAACGTACGTCTGTCTCACTCTCACACACCATATAACTAACTCCTGATCTCAATATGAATGACTGCTGATTGAGTTTTGATGCTAAGTAGTTCTACTCAAGAACCTTTGAATCCAGAGTGAGGCTTTAAGAGGGGGAAACACACCCAACTTATAGAGGTTTATTAAGTGATGGTGAATGGCTTTCTCGGCTAATAATCCCCCCCCCCCCCCTTTCTCTCGCTCTCCAGGACCTCCAGAAGATAATCTATATGGACAACAACACCGCCGGCCTGCTGGACACAGAGTGCCTCAACTCGGGGAATGGAGAGAAGGCCGACCCCCAGACCTCGGAGACCAGGACGGGCATCAGGACCATGTGTGTCAGCCCAGACGGGCAGCACTTGGCATCGGGCGACCGCACCGGCACCTTGAGGTACTGTTGGAGAAAAAGAGCGGTTTGTTCGCACACCTGTAGTTCAAAGTCTATGGAAGAAACTATTGTAGAACAAGAAAATTTAGCACACTGGTGTTCTTGATTACTCCACAAACAATGTTTTTATTTTATTGTAACCTTTATTTAACTAGTCAGTTAAGAACAGATTCTTATTTACAATGATGGCCTACCCCGGCCAACCCAGACAACGCTGGGCCAATTGTGCTCTTAGTCTCGGCCGGATTTTGATACAGCCTGGAATCGAACCAGGGTCTGTAGTGACGCCTCTAGCACTGAGATGCAGGGCCTTAGACCGCTGCGCCACTCGGGATCCCTTTAAACTAATCAATGTTTGTGTCAGTAGACCTTCATCAGGCTAAACCCTGAGGTACAGTACCACTGCTATGCCGTCCCAGAAGGAGCCTTGTTTTCTGTCTCTACCCCTCAGGCCTCAGCACTTCTATGTCCTAATGAAATTCCCTAACTAGACTCATGGGAGGGTGTGTTGGTGTGTGCGCGCGTGCATGTGTGTGTTTACAGCTGTGTGTGTGTATGTTTGTTAAATTGGGTTTAGAGGAGGCTAGAGTCCATTCAGGCAGCAGCCTAGCTGACTATCTGTCCACATGACTGGATGGACAGCTGCACCATGTTGGCTAGGTTGCTGCTGACGTAGTTAACACCAAGGCTACTTTTTGTAAATTAACTTTGTCACACAAAACTGAAGGATGGCGGTCTACTCTGCATTCTACTGCGGCCCAGCGGTGTCTCTGTGTGTGGAGAGACTGAGCTGTAAGCCGCGTTAACAGTGTGCTCCTCGCAAAAAATGTGTGTTGTTATGGGAGCATAGCAGGACTAATCAAGTACTATTCTGTTCTGTTTGCTGTTGCAGGATCCACGAGCTGGAGAGCATGGGGGAGATTCTGAACGTTCAGGCCCACGACTCAGAGATCCTGTGTCTGGAATATTCCAAGCCTGAGACGGGTACGTTCAATTGTTACCATAATAACATATTCACCTTCTATGTAGTTAGTTAACTCATACTGAATACAGATATTTATTGTTAGCTTGCTATCCATGACAAGCCTGATACGTGTAAGGCAGATTTCCCCTCTTCTGGGAGGAAATGGAAGAGGCAACATGGTTATAAATACTACTGTAGGTATAAACCACCTTCAGCTGGTTGCCAGATGCTTCACCAACCTCCCATTGACTTGTGAAACAAACCACTTCAGAGCTCCATCACGTTATAAAGAGACTGGGGTTGGGTCCAAATGTACTGTATGTAAATTCTTCTTAGTCAAAGTATAAATGAGCAGCTTTATATAATTAACTTTACCGGTTCACACATTAAACCCAAAGGGTCTGATAAGGGATTTGTGAAATGGAATGTGGAAATTATTGAAGTTATCTTTGTAACTACTGCTATAGTCAACAATTTCAACACACACCCATGTTTCATCTCATTTTGTTACAAAGAGTGTCTGTGTGTGCAGTGGGGCTATTAAGAGGGCATTATCAGACCTGGTGAAGTGCCGTCCAATTCAGAGAAAAGCAAGGCAGAGCATATTATGCTCCATGGCTTGGGCAGGCCTGAGGGTGGGTGTGTGTGTTGTGTGTTGTGTGTGTGTGTGTTGTGTGAGTGGGGGTAGCACACTGGCATTGGCCCAAGAACTGCTTGGCCCTCCTCCAGACCTCCATCATCTAGCCCCAGTAGCAGCACATCTGTCATAGTGGCTGCATCCCAAAAGGCCCTGGTCAAAAGAAGTACACTATATAGGGAATAGGGTCTCATTTGGGATGCATCCAGTGGCTCCCATGTTAATAGGAGTATTAATGATATTCCTCTAGGTCATCCATTTGGCAGTTGGCACCACACAGAGAACCAGATAGAGAGAGCTCAGAATAAACCCAGTACACTCCCTCTGGCTGCCTGCAGTGTACAGTGCCCCCACACATTGACTCGGTACCGGTACCCCCTGTATGTAGCCTCGTTATTGCTATTTTATTGTTTAACTTTTTTAAAACTTTAGTTTATTTAGTAAATATTTTCTTAACTCTTATATTTCTTAAAACTGCATTGTTGGTTAAGGGCTTGAAAGTAAGCATTTCACGGTAAGGTCTACACCTGTTGTATTCGGCGCATGTGACAAATAAAATAGTATTTTATTTGATAGTAACACCTCAGAGGGTGATTATAGTCCGATCACAGCCATTGCCCTGCTGGGCCTGTATTCTCAACGCATCTCAGAGTAGAGTGCTGATCTGGGATCAGTTTAGCCTTTTAAATCATAATGGATAAGAGGGGGAAACTGATATTGCTATGCAATTCATCCTCTAGGTTTACCATATCACCTTCACCTTCTAGCTGGGATCAAGGTTAACAAAGTCACAAAGCTAACAGATCCAGGATCCACATTCAATCTCAGCAAGGAGAGGATTTAAGCGAAATAGATAGTACTTTTCATTTACTGAAATTAATCAGGTTGGAAATTCAATCAAGTCCACTCTGGGGAAGTGCTTAACATCAATTTTTGATTGGTTTCGATATCCATGTGAAGTGTCAGTCAGCTCATTGGTTATTAGGTTAATATAATGTAATTGGAGTCATAATCGCATTTGTTCACCATGTGCGGTCAGTCACTCCACATAATCACAGTGAGTTGTTGCAATTCAAACGCAGTGGATATCCTTGCATGTGCAAATAGCTGTCGTCATCAGTTTAATCTGGATCATGTATAGTTTCCCCCTAAAATTTAGAAAATTGGACACGTAAACAGATATTTTTCTGTCTGTTACAGTGGCGCCTAGTTATGTGGCCCACTCATGCTTGGCCTATCGTAGCACTGGTCTCATCTCTCGGTAAACCTCTAAGGAAATACGTTTTGCACTACTGTTTCCTCTCATTAAGAGTAGCTTTAATGTTACTGTTAACAGGGACACAGGTAGTAGCAACTAGCAGGTTAAAAAGGTTTCAGTGAGTCCACATATGGCCTAATGTGTCAGGTAGCAGTCTGTAGAGCACATGTTGACCAGAGCACCACCCTGCTCAACAAGATGCTTTATGGCTGTTAAAAACACGAAGGACCTCTAATGAAAAATATTTACCACCACCGAAATGGAGAACAGGAGTTGGCTGTTGGTAAGTGGCTGGTATTCTGGTGTGTAATTGAGTGTAATGGAGTGTAATGTAATGTAATGTAATGTAGGCCTATACGTGGTGTGAAGGTTTTGTCTTGCAATGACTGTGATACGTGGTTGTTTTTACCTATTTGAATGCACTGACTATAAGTCCCTCTGGTTAAGAGTGTCTGGTAATGAATAAAATATAAATGTGTGTGTGTTGTGTGTGACAGGGCTGAAGCTGCTAGCCACAGCGAGTCGGGACCGGCTGATCCACGTGCTGGATGCAGAGCGGGAGTACAGCCTGCTGCAGACGCTGGATGAACACTCCTCTTCCATCACTGCAGTACGATTCGCTGGTGAGACTTGCAGATGACCTTTGACCCTTTACCTCAAACTCTCAAGTCTCACACCTTTGACAGTTATATTAGTTATGGAAGTTAGACCTCTGGCATCCAAAGATGTCATGGAAGTTTCAATTGTGGCACTATCTTGCAGTTTAAAGTTAACATGGTTATTATTGCCATGGTAACATTGCTCCTTCTCTTTTAGCCAATGAAGGTAAGGTGAGGATGATCAGCTGTGGCGCTGACAAGAGCATCTACTTCCGCACAGCGCAGAAGGTAAAACACACACACACAATGGCGCTGCTCTAGAACAGCTGCTGCTGGAGGCGTAACTAGGTTAGGGGGACTAATGATTTTGTGGCACGGCTTGGCAATATTTCATCATGATCTTTCAACATATTTTGGCCATGGACCCACATTCTTAATCGTGGCTCAGCCAACCCCTCTTTAATTTGACTATCCTTGTTGCTTACAGCTAATTCATTAAACTCCAAGTGGCCTATTTAATAATGAAACTTTTCCTCTAAGGCTTTCTGTGTCACACTGGCTGTTGTATGCCCCAAGTCCCTGGGTCCCACTGCTTTTTCCAAAAACCTGCTCTCTTAATCTTCCCCTCCTGTTTTCAGAGCCCCGTGCTTATGAGGGTCACAGTGACATTTTTACAAGGCTGTTCTACAAACGAAGTCAAATTCCTGACCCAAGGAACTCAGAGGGCCCCCATGACTAGGCTACTATAACTCCCACCCGACTTGGCAGAAACTAACAGGCAGGGCAATTAGAACCAAAGAGCTCCAATTAGAACCATTTCCCAAGGCAAGCTACAGTTTAGAGATCGTTCATTGACATCACAAACAAACAAGTTTGGTTTGTTTATCCGCAGTAATGCTACGTCTCTTTTGGAATCCAGTCAGGATTGAAGGAAAAGCTTGATGATGTTGTCGTCTGTGGTACATAGTGTTCTTAGTTCTTTTTAGTTCTCTTTGGCAGGCGTTGTGTTGTGTTATTTGGAGGGAATACTAAAGCAGGCCCTCCCTACTGCATATTGTTCTTAGCAGCTGTTATGTGAATTATTTAACAAACTATTTCAGTTTCTCTGTGCGTCTCCCAAAAGGTTGTAAGTCTTTTGGGATTTAAGTAACGGCCAGAGTCCCGGTCTGCATAGTCAGAGATATTTATTCATTGAGAATTCTGCCATCACAATTTCAGAGTCCATCTTTTATACTCATACGTCATACAAAAAGAAATCCCTCCCCTCTGTAGGCGGGCTGTAGTTTTCCACTCTAAAACTGCTCTACTGACCTTCAGTTCACACACACATGCATACACACATACATACACACACACACACACATATCCTACTCCCTGCATTACTCAGTTATTGCCGTTCTCACAATATTCTGCACCATGTTTTCATAACAGTTTCTCCCCTCCCTAAATTGGGAGGCCTCTTTATCTTAGTTTCTCAGTTGTCTTTGTTGGCTGGCCTAACTCTTACTCACATTGCTAAATAGTGGCTCAATGCCATAGCCTTTACTGGTCCTACACTCACACATTTCTAACACATTATACACAGTTTCAGGGTGTAATAATTAGTCATTAATAATTAATCTATCAGCAGCGCTGGCAGCTTTGGGTGTCAAGAAGCAGATAATGATCTAATGGAATACATAGAGGAAGAACACACAAAGTGAGACTGATGATATCAGGTGACCAAAGCCATTTTAGTGAACAGAAGCAAATCAACTTCAGATTAAAATGGACTCAGAATTGGAGGAGTCTTTTGAGGTGATAGCCTAATCCTGAAGTAGTCAGACTCATTTCAGGTCAACTCGTGGAATGTAACCTAACCCGTGTATGAAGAAACAAATGGAGAAAATTCTAATTCGTCCACATTGAGATCAGAGTGCAATTCTAACCCTCGGGATGTGAATTTTACAATCTAATTAACAAGTAGATGGAAAGTATCCTCATTCTCTACCATTTAATCCATGGACCGCTTTAGAAGTCACGGGACACTGCTATAAAAGCCACAAAAACCCTACAAGGATAAATGTTCTGGTTTATTAGAATATGCCTGCGTCCCAAATGGAACCCTTTTCCCTATATTTACTACTATTGACCAGGGCCCATAGGGACGCATACTATGACTCATTGTAACAATATGTCTGCCAAAACACCTTAAATAGGACAGCTCTCATTTCTCACTGGAGCATTTACAGTAGTGTTGTTAATGGGACTAGCATGGCAGTGAGTGGTGACCTGTTTTAACCTCTGGTTGTTTTACCCTGTCGTTTACAGTCAGATGAAGGAACCGTGTTTACTCGCACCCACCACATCGTACGCAAGACAACGCTGTATGACATGGATATCGACCCCACCAGGAAGTACGCTGCTATTGGTTGTCAGGACCGCAGCATCAGGTGGGGGCCTGGTCTACCTGTCCTTGTTTGTCTCAATTATTGTTTTTGTGTATGTATATGTCGGTCAATGTGTGTGTGACGACAGTGTTAGTCTGTGTGTGTGTGCGTGTGTGCGTGCGTACAGTACGCGAGTGTGAGTATGTACCAGTGGAGGCTGCTGAGGGGGGTACAGCTCATAATAATGGCTGGAATGGAGTCAATGGAATGGTATCAAGCACACGTCTTTGATGTGTTTGATACCATTCCATTGGCTCCATTCCAGACGTTATTATGAGCCGTCCTCCCCTCAGCAGCCTCCACTGGTATGTGTGTGCGAGTACATGCGTGCGAGTACATGAGTGCGCAAGCACGTGTGTGTATTTGTGTTTGACCTCTCCGTAATCTGTCAGACTGTGCAGTCATCCCTCCCTAGCAGGTGGATTAGTCCTAACTCAGGTGTTGTAAACACAGGAAGGATGAGATCAGGGGCCCAGCCCCTGGCTGGTGAAGCCTGTCTGTAGCTACGGTCATGCTGCTGTCCATGTGCCTGTCCTGACCTGAGCCTCCATCTGCCTGCCTGCCTGCTCAAGTGTTTACATCTCTCACTCACATTTTCCACCCTTTATCAACGACAATAACAAACACGCTTTGAAAGCAAATATGGCTTAGCGTTGGCTTAAGCTGCTGATATTGCAAATGCAGACTTGGAAGAAATGAGCCTCTCTGTTTCACCACTTGTCTCCAGCAGGTCTTGTGCCAACTTGTTTGAATGGCCAGTCCCTTTTATAGCCTAAATACCCCATGAATCTGAGATTAAATTGTAATGGTTGAAAGTTCTACCATAACGGAGAAATTTCAAACAACCAAGTTATGTTAACAACCACCCTCAAGTTATAGCGTACTGCTTTATTAATCTAGGGTTCCCAAACTTTTTCACTCGGGGGGCCCCTTTTTCACTCGGGGGGCCCCTCTTCCACCACGTCTATTTCTCTGGGCACAAGCACTGTTCATGACACAAACTGTTCACATCCCTCTTGTTGATGGAGAGGATTTTGCAAGTTTAAAGCTTATTTCCTGCAATTCTACACATTTTGTCACTGGGTGCAAATAAAATGTTGCAGTTTTAATGCTAAGTTTCTTGCAATTCTATACATTTTGCCATGTCTAATGTGTATTCATGTGATATTTGAGTGACAAAAAAATTACAATTATCTATGGGCTAAAAAAACTAAATAAAAAAACATTAGCTGACATGGGCTAGTTGATCTGGACGTTTCTGACAAGTTATAAATAGTTATCTAAGGTACGCAATGACTAACATGACAAGAGGAACTGATGATGCACTACCCAATTTCGATATTGCACCTTGTGCATTCTACTATTACGACTTTCAAGAGTACGTTTAAAGCCGGACTGAGTTCCTTAAGATTATTTTTTTATATACAGTGGGGGAAAAAAGTATTTAGCCAGCCACCAATTGTGCAAGTTCTCCCACTTAAAAAGATGAGAGAGGCCTGTAATTGTCATCATAGGTACACGTCAACTATGACAGACAAAATGAGGGAAAAAAATCCAGAAAATCACATTGTAGGATTTTTAATGAATTTATTTGCAAATGATGGTGGAAAATAAGTATTTGGTCAATAACAAAAGTTTCTCAATACTTTGTTATATACCCTTTGTTGGCAATGACACAGGTCAAACGTTTTCTGTAAGTCTTCACAAGGTTTTCACACACTGTTGCTGGTATTTTGGCCCATTCCTCCATGCAGATCTCCTCTAGAGCAGTGATGTTTTGGGGCTGTCGCTGGGCAACACAGACTTTCAACTCCCTCCAAAGATTTTCTATGGGGTTGAGATCTGGAGACTGGCTAGGCCACTCCAGGACCTTGAAATGCTTCTTACGAAGCCACTCCTTCGTTGCCCGGGCGGTGTGTTTGGGATCATTGTCATGCTGAAAGACCCAGCCACGTTTCATCCAACCCCATGCTTCACAGTAGGTATGGTGTTCTTTGGATGCAACTCAGCATTCTTTGTCCTCCAAACACGACGAGTTCAGTTTTTACCAAAAAGTTATATTTTGGTTTCATCTGACCATATGACATTCTCCCAATCCTCTTCTGGATCATCCAAATGCACTCTAGCAAACTTCAGACGGGCCTGGACATGTACTGGCTTAAGCAGGGGGACACGTCTGGCACTGCAGGATTTGAGTCCCTGGCGGCGTAGTGTGTTACTGATGGTAGGCTTTGTTACTTTGGTCCCAGCTCTCTGCAGGTCATTCACTTGGTCCCCCTGTGTGGTTCTGGGATTTTTGCTTACCGTTCTTGTGATCATTTTGACCCCACGGGGTGAGATCTTGCGTGGAGCCCCAGATCGAGGGAGATTATCAGTGGTCTTGTATGTCTTCCATTTCCTAATAATTGCTCCCACAGTTGATTTCTTCAAACCAAGCTGCTTACCTATTGCAGATTCAGTCTTCCCAGCCTGGTGCAGGTCTACAATTTTGTTTCTGGTGTCCTTTGACAGCTCTTTGGTCTTGGCCATAGTGGAATTTGGAGTGTGACTGTTTGAGGTTGTGGACAGGTGTCTTTTATACTGATAACAAGTTCAAACAGGTGCCATTAATATAGGTAACGAGTTGAGGACAGAGGAGCCTCTTAAAGAAGAAGTTACAGGTCTGTGAGAGCAGAAATCTTGCTTGTTTGTAGGTGACCAAATACTTATTTTCCACCATAATTTGCAAATAAATTCATTAAAAATCCTACAATGTGATTTTCTTGATTTTTTTTCTCAATTTGTCTGTCATAGTTGATGTGTACCTATGATGAAAATTACAGGCCTCTCTCATCTTTTTAAGTGGGAGATCTTGCACAATTGGTGGCTGACTAAATACTTTTTCCCCCACTGTATATACAGTACCAGTCAAAAGTTTGGACACACCTACTCATTCAAGGTTTTTCTTTATTTGTACTATTTTCTACATCGTAGAATAATAGTGAAGACATCAAAACTATGAAATAACACATATGGAATCATGTAGTAACCAAAAAAGTGTTAAACAAATCAAAATATATTTGAGATTCTTTAAAGTAGCCACCCTTTGCCTTGATGACAGCATTGCACACTCTTGGCATTCTCTCAACCAGCTTCACCTGGAATGCTTTTCCAACAGTCTTGAAGGAGTTCCCACATATACTGAGCACTTGTTGGCTGCTTTTCCTTCACTCTGCGGTCCAACTCATCCCAAACCATCTCAATTGGGTTGAGGTCGGGTGATTGTGGAGGCCAGGTCATCTGATGCAGCACTCCATCACTCTCCTTCTTGGTCAAATAGCCTTTACACAGCCTGGAGGTGTGTTGGGTCATTGTCCTGTTGAAAAACAACAGCCCAAACAAGATGGGATGGCATATCGCTGCAGAATGCTGTGGTAGCCATGCTGGTTAAGTGTGCCTTGAATTCTAAATAAATCACAGACAGTGTCACCAGCAAAGCAACCCCCACACCATAACACCTCCTCCTCCATGCTTTACGGTGGGAACCACACACGCGGAGATCATCCGTTCACCCATTCCGCGTCTCACAAAGACACGGCAGTTGGAACCAAAAATCTCCAATTTGGACACCAGACCAAAGGACAAATTTCCACCGGTCTAATGTCCATTGCTCATGTTTCTTGGCCCAAGCAGGTGTCTTCTTCTTATTGGTGTCCTTTAGTAGTGGTTTCTTTGCAGCAATTCAACCATGAAGGCCTGATTCACACAGTCCCCTCTGAACAGTTGATGTTGAGATGTGTCTGTGACTTGAACTCTGTGAAGCATTTATTTGGGCTGCAATTTCTGAGGCTGGTAACTCTAATGAACTTATCCCCTGCAGCAGAGGTAACTCTGGGTCTTCCATTCCTGTGGCTGTCCTCATGAGAGCCAGTTTCATCATAGTGCTTGATGGTTTTTGCAATTGCACTTGAAGAAACATTCAAAGTTCTTGACATTTTCCGTATTGACTGACCTTCATGTCTTAAAGTAATGATGGACTGTCGTTTCGCTTTGCTTATTTGTGCTGTTCTTGCCATAATATGGACTTGGTCTTTTACCAAATAGTGCTATCTGCTGTATACCCCCCTACCTTGTCACAACACAACTGATTGCCTCAAACGCATTAAGAAGGAAAGAAATTCCAGAAATTAACTTTTAAGAAGGGTATTTGAAGAATCTCAAATATAAAATATCTTTTGATTTGTTTAATACGTTTTTGGTTACAACATGATTCCATATGTGTTATTTCATAGTTTTGATGTCTTCACTGTTTTTATTTTTATTTATTTTATTTCACCTTTATTTAACCAGGTAAGCCAGTTGAGAACAAGTTCTCATTTACAACTGCGACCTGGCCAAAGCAGTGCGATAAAAACAACAACACAGAGTTACATATGGGGTAAAACAAAACAAAGTCAAAAATACAACAGCAATAAGTATATATACAGTGTGTGCAAATGTAGCAAGTTATGGAGGTAAGGCAATAAATAGGCTATAGTGCAAAATAATTACAATTAGTATTAACACTGGAATGATAGATGTGCAAGAGATGATGTGCAAATAGAGATACTGGGGTACAAATGAGCAAAATAAATAACAATATAGGGATGAGGTAGTTGGGCGGGCTAATTTCAGATGGGCTGTGTACAGGTGCAGTGATCGGTAAGGTGCTCTGACAACTGATGCTTAAAGTTAGTGAGGGAGATAAGTGTCTCCAGCTTCAGAGATTTTTGCAATTTGTTCCAGTCATTGGCAGCAGAGAACTGGAAGGAATGGCGGCCAAAGGAGGTGTTGGCTTTGGGGATGACCAGTGAGATATACCTGCTGGAGCGCATACTACGGGTGGGTGTTGCTATGGTGACCAATGAGCTAAGATAAGGCGGGGATTTGCCTAGCAGTGATTTATAGATGGCCTGGAGCCAGTGGGTTTGGCGACGAATATGTAGTGAGGACCAGCCAACAAGAGCGTACAGGTCACAGTGGTGGGTAGTATATGGGGCTTTGGAGACAAAACGGATGGCACTGTGATAGACTACATCCAATTTGCTGAGTAGAGTGTTGGAGGCTATTTTGTAAATGACATCGCCGAAGTCAAGGATCGGTAGGATAGTCAGTTTTACGAGGGCATGTTTGGCAGCATGAGTGAAGGAGGCTTTGTTGCGAAATAGGAAACTGATTCTAGATTTAACTTTGGATTGGAGATTCTTAATGTGAGTCTGGAAGGAGAGTTTACAGTCTAACCAGACACCTAGGTATTTGTAGTTGTACACATACTCTAGGTCAGACCCGTCGAGAGTAGTGATTCTAGTCGGGTGGGCGGGTGCAAGCAGCGTTCGGTTGAAGAGCATGCATTTAGTTTTACTAGTGTTTAAGAGCAGTTGGAGGCTACTGAAGGAGTGTTGTATGGCATTGAAGCTCGTTTGGAGGTTTGTTAACACAGTGTCCAATGAAGGGCCAGATGTATACAAAATGGTGTCGTCTGCGTAGAGGTGGATCTGAGAGTCACCAGCAGCAAGAGCGACGTCATTGATATACACAGAGAAAAGAGTCGGTCCAAGAATTGAACCCTGTGGCACCCCCATAGAGACTGCCATAGGTCCAGACAACAGGCCCTCCAATTTGACACATTGAACTCTATCAGAGAAGTAGTTGGTGAACCAGGCGAGGCAGTCATTTGAGAAACCAAGGCTATTTAGTCTGCCAATAAGAATGCGGTGGTTGACAGAGTCGAAAGCCTTGGCCAGGTCAATGAAAACGGCTGCACAGTACTGTCTATTATCGATCGCGGTTATAATATCGTTTAGGACCTTGAGCGTGGCTGAAGTGCACCCATGACCAGCTCGGAAACCGGATTGCATAGCGGAGAAGGTACGGTGGGATTCGAAATGGTCGGTGATCTGTTTGCTAACTTGGCTTTCAAAAACTTTTGAAAGGCAGGGCAGGATGGATATGGGTCTGTAACAGTTTGGATCTAGAGTGTCACCCCCTTTGAAGAGGGGGATGACCGCGGCAGCTTTCTGTTAACCCTTGAATGAGTACCTGTGTCCAAACTTTTGACTGGCAGCCCCCTCCCCCATATAAGATGAATGTGGCAGCGTAGTACGACTGTCCAAATAGGCCTTTCCCTCCGCTCGAGATAATTAAAGTCAACTGTAAACACACCTCATGCTCCTCTTCTGTTTCAGCACAGTGATTAAACATTACTATGGAAACTATGCTGTTTAAACTGCATTTGAATGATAAATGTCCCTCAGGCCTTTTTGTGTATTTATTTCTGGTAGAGTTAGAGGGCTTAGCTTTTGTTTAACAGGCTCTGATTTGTTCCTTATGCAACTAAGCGGCGGTGCTTAAGAGTGTGAATCAATGGTTGACTGGCTGCCCTCACACACTGCCAGCTCCCCACAAGGTTGGCTGGGCCCTGGCTGGGCCTTGTGGGTGGTTGCCTGCCAGCTAGCTGGTGGATGCTGGTCTCTCCTTCTGGCCCTCAGTGGAAATGCACCAGTTAGGCTGTTAGCGTGACCCCATGTGGTCAGATGGGGATAGACATGCATACCAGCTGAGCAGAGGGGTAGGCTACAAAGTAGGATCAATGAGTTAGCCAGCTAACTTTGATAAACAACCAGGAATAACTATTGATTTTCTGGTTCATTAAGAAAGCTAAACTTTGATATGTGTTTTTGGTTGTTGAGTCAATTAGACCATGCCCATTTCAAACGTATCTTTCTAAAAAATAGAAAGTCATTTCAGAATATTTAGGCAAGTTAGCTGGCTAACTCATTGATTCTGCTTTGTAGTATACCCCACAGCTGTGCTGTTCGCACACTATGTGGCACAGAGTTGGTTGACTCATGAACAGAACACAGTCAAGTGTTTCCTTGAACTTTCAAGGTCAGATGACACAGTCCCTTTATCTGAACGTTTATCGGTCTAAAACTTAACTGCTGAGGCAGGACGTAAATAGACAGACGTGTCTGACTTTGGTTCATTGACTTATCGGCTTCCATCGTCCTCGTGTAGAGACGTGCTGACATTAGATAAAACGGTCACCTGATAAAGCCACGGGCGCTTAGAAAGCAGAACTGTTTTTGTGATTTACTCCTGGAGTATTGAGCTGCTGGTGTGTTTTCATGTTATGATCTAAACAAGACCTCTGTATGTGGAGGCCGGTTCTTAGTTTAACACTTCTTTCCCCTCCAACAGAATCTTCAACATCAGTAATGGCAAACAGAAGAAACTGTACAAGGGTTCCCAAGGAGAGGATGGGACTGTCATCAAGGTGGGTTAGGCTTGCATGTTTTCATGTAATGTAGTGTTGCTGTGAAGACTCATTTGACAACACCGTAGCTGGTTTCTAATAATGGGCCCACAATTGTTGTCTTCTTCGCTCCTCAGGTTCAGACAGACCCCTCAGGGCTGTATGTGGCCACCAGCTGCTCAGACAAGAACATCAGCATCTTTGACTTCTACTCTGGGGAGTGTGTGGCCACCATGTTTGGACACTCTGGTAAAAAAAATACCCCATTTAGTTAGAAGAAAAGAAATACAGCAAAATGTCTGACTGACAATCTGCAGCCAGCAGTGTATTCAGAAACAGAAGGAGAAACCAGCAGGAACTCCTCTTCTTCATCATTAGGTCCATCTTTGCATTTAATGACCTCTCATACTGTGAATTCCACAGATCAATTCTTTGTTAAAAAAAAAATATATATATATATATATATGTCCATAATTGAGAGGCCAGATATGTTCCTCTTTTTCTTTTTCACAGAGGTTGTGACTGGAATGAAGTTTACCAATGACTGCAAGCACATGATAACTGTGTCCGGTGACAGCTGTATCTTTGTGTGGCGTCTGGCCCCGGAGCTGACCATCAGCATGAGACAGCGTCTCTCGGACCTCAAACAGAACGGCAAGCCAGTTCAGAGGACCCCACCTCACAAACCTTGCAATCTCAGGTAGCTACAGTATTTAAACACACTAAAGTACCTTGACTCTTATGACTTATTCCTGTTGTTGGTTGTTCTCTTGTTTCTGTTAGCTCCTCGTGGAGCAAAGGGCCTCCTTGGAGTATGTAGTTAATATGTTTGTGCTAGCTAATACCCTTAGAAAGCAAACATAACGTTTACGTAAGTTAGTGGAGACACATATATTCTGAATGCCAATTGAATAATATTTTTGATTGATGGAGTGAAAGACAAGTGTTAACCCTGTATTGTTTACATTTTAGTCATTTAGCATACTTACAGGAGGAACTAGGGTTAAGTGCCTTGCTCGTGGGCACATCAATAGATTTTCACCTAGTCAGCTCTGGGATTCGAACCAGCAACCTTACGGTTACTGGCCCAACGCTCTTAACCGCTAGGCTACCTGCCGCCCCCCTGTTTGTCTACAGGCTTGTTGCTATGACCGTTGTTAGTTATTATGAGAGTTGTACAATGGCAACTGGAAATGCACTCTGCTTCCCAAATGGCACCCTATTCCCCTTTATAGTGCACTACTTTTGACTAGAACCCATAGGGAATAGGGAATACGGATATATAGGGAATACAGTGCCATTTAGGACGCATACATGTTCCGTTTGACGATTGTCACCTAAAAGTGTGAGTGTTCTATTCTCTGTCTGTCCTGTGCAGCACCAGGAGAGAGGTACACAGCACCCCTCCCATTGTCACCATGTCCTCCGACAGTGACAAAGACTTGGAGGAGGAGGAGGGGATAGAAGAGGAGGATGAGGAAGATAGGATCTCTCCTTACATGGTGTCAGGCTGCAGTGCAGGGGAAGAGACAGGTTGGTATCTCACTAACATATGCACACAAACAAACAATATACAGTGGGGAGAACAAGTATTTGATACACTGCCGATTTTGCAGGTTTTCCTACTTACAAAGCATGTAGAGGTCTGTAATTTTTATCATAGGTACACTTCAACTGTGAGAGACGGAATCTAAAACAAAAATCCAGAAAATCACATTGTATGATTTTTAAGTAATTAATTTGCATTTTATTGCATGACATAAGTATTTGATCACCTACAAACCAGTAAGAATTCCGGCTCTCACAGACCTGTTAGTTTTATTTTAAGAAGCCCTCCTGTTCTCCACTCATTACCTGTATTAACTGCACCTGTTTGAACTCGTTACCTGTATAAAATACACCTGTCCACACACTCAATCAAACAGACTCCAACCTCTCCACAATGGCCAAGACCAGAGAGCTGTGTAAGGACATCAGGGATAAAATTGTAGACCTGCACAAGGCTGGGATGGGCTACAGGACAATAGGCAAGCAGCTTGGTGAGAAGGCAACAACTGTTGGCACAATTATTAGAAAATGGAAGAAGTTCAAGATGACGGTCAATCACCCTCGGTCTGGGGCTCCATGCAAGTTCTCACCTCTTGGGGCATCAATGATCATGAGGAAGGTGAGGGATCAGCCCAGAACTACACGGCAGGACCTGGTCAATGACCTGAAGAGAGCTGGGACCACAGTCTCAAAGAAAACCATTAGTAACACACTACGCCGTCATGGATTAAAATCCTGCAGCGCACGCAAGGTCCCCCTGCTCAAGCCAGCGCATGTCCAGGCCCGTCTGAAGTTTGCCAATGACCATCTGGATGATCCAGAGGAGGAATGGGAGAAGGTCATGTGGTCTAATGAGACAAAAATATAGCTTTTTGGTCTAAACTCCACTCGCCGTGTTTGGAGGAAGAAGAAGGATGAGTACAACCCCAAGAACACCATCCCAACCATGAAGCATGGAGGTGGAAACATCATTCTTTGGGGATGCTTTTCTGCAAAGGGGACAGGACGACTGCACCGTATTGAGGGGAGGATGGATGGGGCCATGTATCGCAAGATCTTGGCCAACAACCTCCTTCCCTCAGTAAGAGCATTGAAGATGGGTCGTGGCTGGGTCTTCCAGCATGACAACGACCCGAAACACACAGCCAGGGCAACTAAGGAGTGGCTCTGTAAGAAGCATCTCAAGGTCCTGGAGTGGCCTAGCCAGTCTCCAGACCAGAACCCAATAGAAAATCTTTGGAGGGAGCTGAAAGTCCATATTGCCCAGCGACAGCCCCGAAACCTGAAGGATCTAGAGAAGGTCTGTATGGAGGAGTGGGCCAAAATCCCTGCTGCAGTGTGTGCAAACCTGGTCAAGACCTACAGGAAACGTATGATCTCTGTAATTGCAAACAAAGGTTTCTGTACCAAATATTAAGTTCTGCTTTTCTGATGTATCAAATACTTATGTCATGCAATAAAATGCAAATGTTTTACTTAAAAATCATACAATGTGATTTTCTGCCTCTCACAGTTGAAGTGTACCTATGATAAAAATTACAGACATTTATATTTACATTTACGTCATTTAGCAGACGCTCTTATCCAGAGCGACTTACAAATAGGTGCATTCACCTTATAGCCAGTGGGATAACCACTTTACAACGTTTTTTATTTATTTTTTGGGTTGGGGTAAGGGGGGGTAGAAGGATTACTTTATCCTATCCCAGGTATACCTTAAAGAGGTGGGGTTTCAAATGTCTCCGGAAGGTGATGAGTGACTCCGCTGTCCTGGCGTCGTGAGGGAGCTTGTTCCACCATTGGGGTGCCAGAGCAGCGAACAGTTTTGACTGGGCTGAGCCGGAACTATGCTTCCGCAGAGGTAGGGGAGCCAGCAGGCCAGAAGTGGATGAACGCAATGCCCTCATTTGGGTGTAGGGACTGATGAGAGCCTGAAGGTACGGAGGTGCCGTTCCCCTCACAGCTCCGTAGGCAAGCACCATGGTCTTGTAGCAGATGCGAGCTTCAACTGGAAGCCAGTGGAGTGTGCGGAGGAGCGGGGTGACGTGAGAGAACTTGGGAAGGTTGAACACCAGACGGGCTGCGGCATTCTGGATGAGTTGTAGGGGTTTAATGGCACAGGCAGGGAGCCCAGCCAACAGCGAGTTGCAGTAATCCAGACGGGAGATGACAAGTGCCTGGATTAGGACCTGTGCCGCTTCCTGTGTAAGGCAGGGTCGTACTCTCCGAATGTTGTAGAGCATGAACCTACAGGATCGGGTCACCGCCTTGATGTTAGCGGAGAACGACAGGGTGTTGTCCAGGGTCACGCCAAGGCTCTTCGCACTCTGGGAGGAGGACACAACGGAGTTGTCAACCGTGATGGCGAGATCATGGAACAGGCAGTCCTTCCCCGGGAGGAAGAGCAGCTCCGTCTTGCCAAGGTTCAGCTTGAGGTGGTGATGTGACTGGTGGTGATTTCCCTCACAGGTGACAGACCTCTACAGTGAGGGAAAAAAGTATTTGATCCCCTGCTGATTTTGTACGTTTGCCCACTGACAAAGAAATGATCAGTCTATAATTTTAATGGTAGGTTTATTTGAACAGACAAAAAAATCCAGAAAAAACGCATGTCAAAAATGTTATAAATTGATTTGCATTTTAATGAGGGAAATAAGTATTTGACCCCCTCTCAATCAGAAAGATTTCTGGCTCCCAGGTGTCTTTTATACAGGTAATGAGCTGAGATTAGGAGCACACTCTTAAAGGGAGTGCTCCTAATCTCAGCTTGTTACCTGTATAAAAGACACCTGTCCACAGAAGCAATCAATCAATCAGATTCCAAACTCTCCACCATGGCCAAGACCAAAGAGCTCTCCAAGGATGTCAGGGACAAGATTGTAGACCTACACAAGACTGGAATGCGCTACAAGACCATCGCCAAGCAGCTTGGTGAGAAGGTGACAACAGTTGGAGCGATTATTCGCAAATGGAAGAAACACAAAATAACTGTCAATCTCCCTCGGCCTGGGGCTCCATACAAGATCTCACCTCGTGGAGTTGCAATGATCATGAGAACGGTGAGGAATCAGCCCAGAACTACACGGGAGGATCTTGTCAATGATCTCAAGGCAGCTGGGACCATAGTCACCAAGAAAACAATTGGTAACACACTACGCCGTGAAGGACTGAAATCCTGCAGCGCCCGCAAGGTCCCCCTGCTCAAGAAAGCACATATACAGGCCCGTCTGAAGTTTGCCAATGAACATCTGAATGATTCAGAGGAGAACTGGGTGAAAGTGTTGAGGTCAGATGAGACCAAAATCGAGCTCTTTGGCATCAACTCAACTCGCCGTGTTTGGAGGAGGAGGAATGCTGCCTATGACCCCAAGAACACCATCCCCACCGTCAAACATGGAGGTGGAAACATTATGCTTCGGGGGTGTTTTTCTGCTAAGGGAACAGGACAACTTCACCACATCAAAGGGACGATGGACGGGGCTATGTACCGTCACATCTTGGGTGAGAACCTCCTTCCCTCAGCCAGGGCATTGAAAATGGGTTGTGGATGGGTATTCCAGCATGACAATGACCCAAAACACACGGCCAAGGCAACAAAGGAGTGGCTCAAGAAGAAGCACATTAAGGTCCTGGAGTGGCCTAGCCAGTCTCCAGACCTTAATCCCATAGAAAATCTGTGGAGGGAGCTGAAGGTTCGAGTTGCCAAACATCAGCCTCGAAACCTTAATGACTTGGAGAAGATCTGCAAAGAGGTGTGGGACAAAATCCCTCCTGAGATGTGTGCAAACCTGGTGGCCAACTACAACAAACGTCTGACCTCTGTGATTGCCAACACTGGTTTTGCCACCAAGTACTAAGTCATTATTTGCAGAGGGGTCAAATACTTATTTCCCTCATTAAAATGCAAATCAATTTCTAACATTTTTGACATGCGTTTTTCTGGATTTTTTAGTTGTTATTCTGTCTCTCACTGTTCAAATAAACCTACCATAAAAATTATAGACTGATCATGTCTTTGTCAGTGGGCAAACATACAAAATCAGCAGGGGATCAAATACTTTTTTCCCTCACTGTACATGCTTTGTAAGTAGGAAAACCTGCAAAATCGGCAGTGTATCAAATACTTGTTCTCCCCACTGTAGCTGCAGTATTAAGAATGTGGTTCTTCACAATGTTGACAGGACACATCGTGACATCAATTGGTTTTGTGTTTGTTTTTCAGACACCTCAGACGAAAAGCACAACTCTCACGACGGAGAACTGAAAAGGGTTAGTAGCAGCAGTCTTTCTGAAGCAGCTTTTCCTCAGTCCTCTCTGCCCCCAGCCTTGTCTCTCTCCCTCCCCCATGTATTTTCGCTGTTGTTTTTGTCACTTGTAAAGTAGACATTTAATTCAGACACGGTCTGTGAATATTCCCATTATAAACTGTGCGCTCAACTCGTGTGTGTGTCCTGTAGGAGAACTCTTTTGGCAGGCGGTCCTCCCAGGGCAGTCACCACTCTGAGGACAGGGATCCCCGTCCGCGGCGCCGCTGGTCCAGACGCATGGACAGCATGGATCTGATGGTCAAGTCCATGTTGGACCTCAGACAGCTGGACTCCTTCGCCATGCCCCCCTCCTCCCCCACTAAGACCCAGACCCAGCCTGTTGCTGACTCCTTCAGAGACCCATTCAGAGAGGACGAGCTGGGCAGCACCATCAGCCTGCAACCCCTCACTGCATGGGTGAGTTAATAAAACAGAGAACGGCCACCTGACCTTACTTTGGCCCTGCTTGATACAGTGCATAGACAATGTATTACTCCATCTATATTACATATGGATTTGCTACTTCTAAATGTTTAACCATGGGTCACAAAATAGGTTGGGTGAAACCATGGTACTCTCATCCATATTTTGTGTATAGAGGATTGTGAGGTCCAATTCAGTTATTTCAGGTGATGTTTTATGAGTCATAGTATTTTCTCATGTTTGTGTTCCTTGCAGGGGGAGTCTGAGCAGAGGTCCCAGCAGCGGCCCCAATACATCATGCTCTCTCCACAGACACCTGACACAGAGACAGGCCCAGTGCTGTACCCCAACGGCTGTGAGGACAGGGTCAGCTTAGCTGGCAGGTAAATCAATCAAATCAATCAATCAATTAGCCGTCAGGTAAACATACAGCTTCTACCTTTTTTCTCCTGGAGCTCTACAATCTCTACATTACGCCATTGATGTATCTCACGGTCTTATCATAGTACACATACAATATAGTTGGGGCCTGTAGTTTTCCCTGACATGGAAAAACTCCTGGATCTATACTATATGCAGTGCCTTCAGAAAGTATTCATACCTATTGACTTATTCCACATGTTGTTGTGTTACAGCCTGAATTCAAAATTGGTTAAATGGATTACTTGTCTCACCCATCTATCTACACACAATACCCCAGAATGACAAAGTGAAAACATGTTTTTAGCCATTTTTGCTAATTTATTGAAAACTAAATAGAGACATATCTCATTTACATAAGTATTCACACCCCTCAGTCAATACTTTGTAGAAGCACCTTTGACAGTGATTACAGCTGTGAGTCTTTCTGGGTAAGTCTCTAAGAGCTTTCCACACCTGGATTCTGCAACATTTGCCCATTTATTATTTTCAAAATTCTTCAAGCTCTGTCAAACTGGTTGTTGATCATTGCTAGACAACCATTTTCAGGTCTTGTCATAGATTTTCAAGCAGATTTAAGTCAAAACTGTAACTCGGCCACTCAGGAACATTCATTGTCTTCTTTGTAAGCAACTCCAGTGTAGATTTGGCCTTGTGTTTTAGGTTATTGTCCTACTGAAAGGTGAATTCATCTCCCAGTGTCTGGTGTAAAGCAGACTGAACCAGGTTTCCTTCTAGGATTGTGCCTGTGCTTAGCTCCATTACGTTTATATTTTTTATCCTAAAAAACTCCCCAGTCCTTAACGATTACAAGCACACCCATAACATGATGCAGCCACCACTATGCTTGAAATATGGAGAGTGGTACTCAGCAATGTGTTGTATTGGATTTGCCCCAAACATAACACTTTGTATTGAGGACAAAAATGTATTGCTTTGCCACATTATTTGCAGTATTACTTTAGTGCCTTGTTGCAAACAGGATGTATGTTTTGGAATATTTGTATTCTGTACAGGCTTCCTGCTTTTCACTCTGTCAATTAGGTTAGTATTGTGGAGTAACTACAATGTTGTTGATCCATCCTCAGTTTTCTCCAATCACAGCCATTAAACTCTGTAACTGTTTTAAAGTCACCATGTGGTGTGAATACTTTCTGAAGGCACTGTACATGCTGTACCATCTAATCCATATATGCAGATACTTGTGGTCCACAATGTTGTTTTCACTATGTAATGTCTCATCAATTGCTGTTATATTGTGTAGTAACACTTTAATTTTTTACATTTACATTTTAGTCATTTAGCAGACGCTCTTATCCAGAGCGACTTACAGTTAGTGAGTGCATACATTTTTCATACTGGCCCCCCGTGGGAATCGAACCCACAACCCTGGCGTTGCAAGCGCCATGCTCTACCAACTGAGCTACAGGAGGCCTTTAATAAGCGTAAAGGCTGTGTCCTAAATAGTACCCTATTTCCTATGGGCCCAGGTCATAAGTAGTGCACTTTATAGGGAATATGGTGCCATTTGGGATGCATCCTAACACTTTAATAAACTTACACTCTACTATGTGTGTTTCCCTCTCTGTAGTGAGTACCTGGTGAAGGAGCTGCTGCCTGGGCCTGGGGCCAGCAGGAGTGTGAAGGGGTACCAGAACCACAACCAGTGGAGCCAGGGCCACCATGACAAACACAGCCCAGACAGTGCCTGCTCTGTGGGCTACTACAGCAGCAGACTGTCCAGCCCAGACAGTCCAGACAGTCAGCAGCAGCCTCCTGGAGAGGGTGAGCCCCACACAAGCACATACAAATACACACACACAGGGCTCACACACAGGGCTCACACACAGGGCTCACACACAGGGCTCACACACAGGGCTCACACACAGTTTCTCTGTGGACATTTTTATGCAATGTACCTCCGCTAGTTAGTCAAATTGTCTGTGTGTCAGACTCTGAGCCCACGGAGCCTCTCAGTGTGGATGGGAACTCCTCTGAATTGGACATGGAGGAACTGGAGGTGGAAGAGGAGGGGGGCGTAGGGAGAGGAGAGGCCAAGGGGACGACGGTAGTACCCCAGACCCCGGACCAGGAGGCCTTCCTCAAACAGCACTTTGGCAACCTGGCTGAGCTTAACAACCCAGGTAAGAACGGAGTCTGTGTCCCAGTTACCTCTCCTTGACTGGTAAAATACATTTAGGTGGAAACTTCCACTATCCCATGCCTCCACCAATCCAATGCTTTTAGATTTGTAGTGAAGTAAATAGAAGTAGTGAACGAGTGCACACTTCAGGAGAAAATAAATATTATTGGGATGCACCCAGAGACTTTATTGTCCACACAGGAAAATGCATTGTGTAGCCAGGAGTACATGAGACACAATAGTTTACACATAACAAAGACACACACACGTTAATAGTAAAACTATTTTTCAGATATATTAATTGTATTAATCCTCTCTGATTGTCAGTGAGTCCGACCAGAGTTGCCACCCCTGACAGTGTCAGCATCTCCTCCAAGTTCTTGTCCCAATACTCTGCTGGAAGGTATGTCGCACATACCAGTTAGTTGATCAAAGAAAATCAGTTAACCCATACTCATTTATCTCAAACGTGAGATATCATTTTAAATCTACTGAATATTGAGATAAACAGTCCTAACTGAATGACTCACTGTTTTTCCTTTCTAGCAGGACCTCCTTTCCATTCCTATCTAATAGCGTTGGTGAGGGGAAGGTAGCCAGCGGTGTGATGAGGCCCCTGGTCTCTCAGGTGAGGCCTCTCATGGAGCACAACCAGGGCCGAGACCAGACCCAGAACCAAGGTCAGAGCCAGGCTCAGGGCCACAACCACGGCCACAGCCAGAGGAAGGGCTCAGAAGACTCTCAAAAGGGCCCCACCGGGAGACTAGAAGCAGTGGACACTACGGATACGTTTTTTAATCTGCGGGCCTCTCCTCTGAGGAAGAAGCTGGCCAACCCTGCAGTGGACTCCCGTAGGATGGTCAGCCCCGTGGCCAAGGCTACAGCCTCACACCTCATCTCTACAGGCATGAGGAAGTCCCAGTCAGTCCAGAACCTGCACACTGAGGGTGAGACACTAAGTAAGGGATTGTGATAATGTATTAATGGACAATGTTATGATAATGTATTGATTTAAAAAGGTCCTCATCTTATATTCTATGTATGGTGTAAAACTATAGACTGTAAAATCAGACTGTAAAACCAGTAGGTAGTGATAGTGCTGACGTCATCCACATATTCCTATGGGAAACTCCCGATGGTGCATGAAGACGGAAGTATTTGAATTTGAGGCGCGCCATATTACTTAATGTGACTCAATGGCACCAAAAAATAGTTAAGGATCATGGTGAAAATGGCCGTAATTAGCAAAGGATCATGGTCGATGTAGTCGTTTTCATCCTGCCTGAGAGTCAACCTTAATGTCTATTGCATGAGAGCGCGCTCCTCCTCGTAGCCTGCCGGCCCGTGATTGGGTCTGTGTCAGCACGTGGTCCTGTGTGACGACAAATGTAATAGTCAGAATGGATCACTATTTAATTAAATATCTCGATTTGTAGCAAAACGGCCGTCTAGGTTGCTATGTAGTAGCCGACCAGCAAAGCTTATGACTTCACGCTCCAGACCGGACACTGGGGGCCTGTGTAAAGCATTGGTCAGCAACAGGAGGCCCGCGGACTAAAAAACACTGAAATCACCAGGAATTCAGCTGCAAATTAGTTTAATTTAGGAAATCTGTTCCCAAATATTCCCACGACTAAAACGATTTCTGATAAGAGACACAGATGTTGTCGCCCTGGCCTGCATAGCCTAATCATTTACCTTCCTTCTCTGTCTGTCTCTTGTTACCAGTAGACATGCCTCTGACCCTGTCTCGGCCCTCCAAGGAGGTGGCCCCCCAGTCCCATCACCCCCAGGCCAGCGAGCGTCCAGTGACCCTCCCCACCACCCCCCGCCGCACCCTGCCCAGCGTGCCCCCCTTCTGCAGCCCCACCTCCCCCCAGCCTCGGGACAGCACCAGCCACAGCACAGCCACTACGCCCAGGAGCCTCAAGTCCCGCTGCTCCTACATGAGCCCCACCACCAGCTCCATGGCCAAGATGTCCCGCTCCGTGTCCATGGGAGACAACCTAAACGTGGCAGAGGAGGAGGCTGGGTCTGGAGGTAGTTCCGACACCTCCAACTCCAACCCTCCAATGACCAAGAGTCAGAGCTGCTCCTCCCAGAGTCAGAGTACTACCCCAGTGGCCATGGTCTCCTCAGCCTCCTCCTCCCTCTCAGGGTTGGGTTTAGCCATGCCCCAGGCTGCTGTTATCCCCACCCTCATCGCTAGCTCTAACCCCAGCTCCAACGCTAACCCAACCACCAAGAGCCTGCAGGCCAAGCTGACGTGCAGCACTCGGCCCCAGCTCAACCTGGACATCTCCAAGTCCCTCCCAGACAAGCCCTCCCTGGCAGTCTTCACTCCCAATGGTACCTCTAAGACCGCCACATCCTCCAAGACTGTCAAAGAGGACAACAACTTCTCCCCCAGATCCCCAGTTAGCTTGTTACCCCACCAGGACCAGAATCAACCACCACAGCTCTCCAGCAACGTCCAGCTAGTCATTGCACTGTCCCCCTCCCCTGCGGAGACTAGCCCAGCGCAGAGCCCTGAGGCGGAGCAGCGTGGTCTCACCGCAGAGCTGCGTCCTGAGGCCCCTGTTGTAGACAACAGACTGGAACAGCCAAAGACAGAGGAAAGCCAGGGCCTGACCCAGGAGGAGAGGCCCATGACGGAGCTGTCTCTACAGGGCAATCCGGTCTACCTGCTGTCACATCGAGGGCCCGGCCAGGACCGCACAGGTTTGCTCCAGCGTTCTCCCTCCTTCATTCTGTCATCTCTGCGTCTGAGTCTGGCCCTGGCCAGCACCAAGCTCTTCTTTACTACTGGTGCACTGTGGCCTGCTGTCTCCACCCCCATGTACTCTTCACCTTCACCCTGTCCGTGTCCTCCGTCACTTAACCGTTTTCTCTTGAAGGGTGAGGCATTCTCTCTCTCTCTCTCGCTCTACCACTCTTTTAATCTCACGGTCTCTCCCTGTCTCATCTCTCGCTCTCTCACTTCCCCCTTTTCATTAACATTGGTCCTTCCTGTGGTCCTCCTGTGTCCTTGTCCTGCTGTGTTTCCACCCCTTCTTGTGTAATAGATCAAACATACCAGAGCCTATGATTACGGTACAGATTGTTGACAACATGTTCCCCATGTTGGCATATTGCCCAATGAAATAACCTATTGTCTTGTACTTTCTTACATTTACATTTTAGTAATTTAGCAGATGCTCTTATCCAGAGCGACTTACAGTTAGTGAGTGCATACATTATTTAATTTTTCATACTGGCCCCCCGTGGGAATCGAACCCACAACCCTGGCGTTGCAAACGCCATGCTCTACCAACTGAGCTACATCCCTGCCGGCCATTCCCACCCCTACCCTGGACGACGCTGGGCCAATTGTGCGCCGCCCCATGGGTCTCCCGGTCGCGGCCGGCTACGACAGAGCCTGGATACGAACCAGGATCTCTAGTGGCACAGCTAGCACTGCGATGCAGTGCCTTAGACCACTACGCCACTCGGGCGCAGTGCTATGATGGTTTAAGCAGCGTGAACCTTACCATGTACTATAACTCTCTCCTCTTAAATAGACTGTTCTCTCAGTATGGAATCGTGCAGGGTGTTGGCCAGCGAGCTACAGAATACTTTTAGGAAGGCCTCCCAGTTCTACAGGATGGTGAGTCACTCACTCCCCCGACAACTATACACTGAAAGTACTGCTTTACATTGGCTACTATTTTATAGACCACTATCTCTGTCTGGGTGATGCAGAGATGAAATGTGCTGTTGATATGCAACAATCAATGTACAACAATATGTTAGAACATTTCCATACCACATTTTTGTGGTAATGTCTGTGTCTTGCAGGTGAACAGTGTGCCTGTAGACTCCAGGCAGGAGCACCATGAGATGGCCCAGGTCCTGTCTGAGGCCTTTGAGGCTGTGAGGGCCGAGCTGAGCTCCCTGCCCCAGAGCTCACCACCATCCCCCTCTGGAGAACCTGCAGCAGGAGGCTCCCTGTGTACAGTGGGCTGCCGGCCTGTAGGACCAGGGACAGGGGGATCAGGCTCAGGCTCAGGGGAGGAGAGGACTCTGGCTCTGCTGGAGCAGTATTCTGAGCTCCTCCTCAAAGCTGTGGAGAAGAGGCTGGACAACAATCAGCTCTCCTAGACAATCCTCAAGGGAGAGGCATCTTCTTTTACCCCCTCGCTTTAAGACTGAACCAACCAACCCCCTTGCAAATGTAGGATCTTAAGCCATTGTGCAAGGATATCTGCGGACCTGATTTATCAGTGGACCTACTACAGTACTTGTTTTTTAAATCGACTTTGATTTTTAAATGAACAGATTAAAATATTCCTGAGGGACACCTGTACATAAGTTCTTTTTTAAAGGACTTCTATCTCTCTCTGACTCTGCTGGACTCTGGTTGGGTGGTGGGATTGTGAGGGTTGCAGTCAGCACAAAGGCCCACTGTAGTAGGCCAACGTGTAACACTAACATGCCAACAGCACAGATACTGATACTGCAGGGAGACCCCTCAGGATGATCGATGCCTCAGCATTCATTCCCAGTGTGGCTAAACTGCACTATAGACTGTCATTCACCAACCTACCTCCCTCTTAATATGTATCACCTACAGTACCTACCAGACACCTGCACTCTCACAACCACTTGTTTTATTTACCCCTGTTGCCAAATATTGTGCCCTGCTACTTTGTTTTAAGGAAGTTGTTGTTGTTATGGAAACGCCTGAGGCTATTACGTAAGTAATTAGCAGTTATGCCCTTTGTTACATAGATCTCTCATAGATTAAGGAAATATTAATAGTTGCTACATTTCATGCTGGCTATCATTTTGGGTAGAAGAAGCAGAACATTTGACAATCGAAGGGTGTTGTTGTTCAATGCCATTCCTGACCCCAGTGTTCTAAAACAATACAATTGTGATCCCTACAATTTGAACTTTCTGTGTTGGTGTCCCTGTCCCGAGCAGGGCTCTTACCCACCAACACGATGCACCAGGCCATAGCCACCTCAAAACTACAAGTGGAACACAAGAACCTTCCAAGTCTTAGAAGACAGATTGTCAGACATAATCATGTTTTAGTGGGTGATTCGATTTGATACATTGTGTTTTGAGAGGCCCTGTCTGTGTGTGATGTGTGGTTGTATTTATTATATTGTAAACGGACCATGTTACAAATGGGGTTGTCAGCCTCTTGTGAGTTGTACATTTTGTTTTGATACTGCTGACTGGTGTCAGTATGTTTTGTGCCAGAGCTAGGTCATCAGTGGGGGACCAACAGAAGACTTGAAGATATACAGTATCAACTGAGTCTCCTCGTTCTTGAACTCTGCTGGATGATTTTATAAAACGTGTGAATTGTGTTCCCTGTAATAATACAAATGTCTCAAAGAAATGGGTGCCTTAATTCAAAACCAGCTTTTTTCATGGTTCTAAATTTGTTACGCAATACCAAAATAATATTTAATTGTAATCAAAAGGTGGCTACTGAAATGTATCTACTGCTGTGGGAATCAAATGACATTGAGGAGAAGCGTTCTCTGGTGACACTGAAAAGAGACATCTTAGGGTTGGGTTACCTGAGGATAATAACACATTTAATTCACAGCTCTTACATCAGATACAAACCGGGCAGGAAAGTAATGATTTCCGCACCAATTCCTCAACATTAATTGGCTTCAGGTTTTCATCCTAGTCTCTGGCACTTATCCACCACAGTAACAATATAAAGCACTTCCTTAGCTATCAAAACGGTCATAGGTCAAATTAATGTATTTGTAATAGCTTAGGATACTAAACTAAACCTTCAGGGTCTCTGTGTGTATATAATGGTGTTACTTATCTGTGTCAAAGGCTCAGACTAATTATTGTGTTCTGCTGCTGCTATGGCAATTGTGGCTGCAGACAAGCACAACACTGCCCTCTGTTGTTGGACCTACAGCACTGCCCAGCTGCTGTGACAAACAGCCCAATCACTCACCTCCCACCACTCATCTCTGGTCAGGAGAATGATATTCTGTGCTGTGTTTTACATGTTATAATACACTAGTGCTCTCAAACAATATTTTAATCACCTGTGTATACAATACTGGGTATTTTCTCAGTTATTGATAGACTTATTGTTAGGAAACTTTCACATATTGGTAGAAACAGTCTGATCTGGGACCCAATGTTCTTCCATCCTCTCAAAGTGCCATGCCTGGAACTTTATCATTTCTCTACTTTTGATTAAAACATTGTATGTACAAATGACTAGATGGATGTGCATGGACAGACCGCAAAGTTTTTAAATTGCAGTCGAGCACTGAAAGGACATGGGTAATGGTATAGAATAAGAATGAATTATTCTGCTGTTTATTAGTTATTCAGTATTTCCCCATCTGACTGACAATATTCAGAACGGTAACGTTATCTAGCAGACTGGAGGTTTCATTAAGACATAGGATTGTATTTCAATGGACAGTAGTACAGATACCTTTCTGCTGCTAGTATGCATGAGTATATATGCATGAAGGGTAGTGAGGTATGGAGATTGACTGACTGGCTCGTTCCTTAGCAGGATTGCATGGTTGAACGTACCCTAGGCTTTTTAAACTGAGTCGATCCCGCTCTTTTTCACTGACTGGTACCCCTGTAGCTGACCCTAGTTCTAATCTCACCTTTTATATGTTATGATGATTACTTGTCTTAAACTGCAGATGATGGACCAGCATTTTCCTCTTTTAGGAATGATCACCTTTCAGGCATTTTGTGAGCTGTTTTCTGTTTAAACTGCAGATGATGGACCAGCATTTTCCTCTTTTAGGAATGATCACCTTTCAGGCATTTTGTGAGCTGTTTTCTGTTTTGCACCAACCTGAGTTCAGTGTTTTTACTGTATTCCCTCTCTGACAGAGAATAAAAACAAATGTATTACACTCAACTTTGTTTTTCAGACTGAGCAGACTTATTTACATTGGGTGCCATTTGGGATGTTAACATTAGTTGTAGTGACAGTACAGTACTAGTTGTAGTGACAGTACAGTACTAGTTGTAGTGACAGTACAGTACTAGTTGTAGTAACAGACAGTACTAGTTGTAGTGACAGTACAGTACTAGTTGTAGTAACAGACAGTACTAGTTGTAGTAACAGACAGTACTAGTTGTAGTGCCATTTGAGACGCAAATCAAATCAAATCAAATTTTATTGGTCACATGCGCCGAATACAACAGGTGCAGACATTACAGTGAAATGCTTACTTACAGCCCTTAACCAACAGTGCATTTATTTTAAACAAAAAAAAGTAAGAATAAAACAACAACAAAAAAAGTGTTGAGAAAAAAAGAGCAGAAGTAAAATAAAGTGACAGTAGGGAGGCTATATATACAGTAAAATAAAGTGACAGTAGGGAGGCTATATATACAGGGGGGTACCGTTGCAGAGTCAATGTGCGGGGGCACCGGCTAGTTGAGGTAGTTGAGGTAATATGTACATGTGGGTAGAGTTAAAGTGACTATGCATAAATACTTAACAGAGTAGCAGCAGCGTAAAAAGGATGGGGTGGGGGGGCAGTGCAAATAGTCCGGGTAGCCATGATTAGCTGTTCAGGAGTCTTATGGCTTGGGGGTAGAAGCTGTTGAGAAGTCTTTTGGACCTAGACTTGGCACTCCGGTACCGCTTGCCGTGCGGTAGCAGAGAGAACAGTCTATGACTAGGGTGGCTGGAGTCTTTGACAATTTTGAGGGCCTTCCTCTGACACCGCCTGGTATAGAGGTCCTGAATGGCAGGGAGCTTTGCCCCAGTGATGTACTGGGCCGTACGCACCATACAACCATACAGACATTTGCTGGTATATTATCAGATTAATTGAATGTGATGTCAAAGTGGCCCCACAGCTCCAGACAGGGACTCCACCAGCTGGAAGTAGCTGTATTTGATGTCATACTCCATATACCAGAAATTCACTCAGGAAGAAAAAAAACAAGAAAAAGATGCATGATCCTCCTGACAGACTCAATAGCCCTAGTGTTATCAGTTGTAGTAACAGGCAGTACAGTACTAGTTCTAGTAACAGACAGTACTAGTTCTAGTAACAGACAGTACTAGTTCTAGTAACAGGCAGTACATTACTAATTGTAGTAAGACAGTACAGAACTAGTTGTAGTAAGACCATACTAGTTGAACAGACGGTACAGTACTAGTTATAGTAACAGGCAGTACAGTACTAGTAGTAAGACAGTATTAGTTGTAGTAAGACCGTACTAGTTGAAGTAACAGTCAGTACAGTACTAGTTATAAGACCGTACTAGTTGTAGTAAGACAGTACTAGTTATAGTAACAGGCAGTACAGTACTAGTTGTAGTAAGACAGTACTAGTTGTAGAAACAGACAGTCCAGTACTAGTTATAGTAACAGGCAGTACAGTACTAGTTGTAGTAAGACAGTACTAGTTATAGTAACAGGCAGTACAGTACTAGTTGTAGTAAGACAGTACTAGTTGTAGGTGAGGCCAAATGTAAGATCGGAGCCATTTTGATAGATGTGCAGCAGAAGAGATGGGACTTTGAGCCCAAGGGTTGGCATTTATATGCCCTCCAAAGAAAGGTCGGTGGACCAAGATTCAAAGGTCAGATTAGGAAGGAAGAGGTGGATTTTGCTCGATTGAGCCTAGGACACTGTACATTGAACTCGTCCCGTGTAGGCTCAGTTGGCACTGTTTCATAGAGCCCCACAGTGGAGGTGTCATAATACCCATAAAGCTAGTGGTCAAACAGGGAAATGGTTCCAATCGTTTTTCCACCATTCATTTATCCCATAGGGGATTTTAGAAACACTTACAGTAAATCAAATCAAATTTTATTGGTCACATACACATATTTAGCAGATGTTATTGCGGGTGTAGCGAATTGCTTGTGTTCCTAGCTCCAACAGTACAGTAGTATCTAACAATTCACAACAATACACACAAATCTAAAAGTAGAAGAATGGAATTAAGAAATACAGTGGGGAGAACAAGTATTTGATACACTGCCGATTTTGCAGGTTTTCCTACTTACAAAGCATGTAGAGGTTTGTAATTTTTATCATAGGTACACTTCAACTGTGAGAGACGGAATCTAAAACAAAAATCCAGAAAATCACATTGAATGATTTTTAAGTAATTAATTTGCATTTTATTGCATGACATAAGTATTTGATACATCAGAAAAGCAGAACTTAATATTTGGTACAGAAACCTTTGTTTGCAATTACAGAGATCATACGTTTCCTGTAGGTCTTGACCAGGTTTGCACACACTGCAGCAGGGATTTTGGCCCACTCCTCCATACAGACCTTCTTCAGATCCTTCAGGTTTCGGGGCTGTCGCTGGGCAATACGGACTTTCAGCTCCCTCCAAAGATTTTCTATTGGGTTCAGGTCTGGAGACTGGGTAGGCCACTCCAGGACCTTGAGATGCTTCTTACGGAGCCACTCCTTAGTTGCCCTGGCTGTGTGTTTCGGGTCGTTGTCATGCTGGAAGACCCAGCCACGACCCATCTTCAATGCTCTTACTGAGGGAAGGAGGTTGTTGGCCAAGATCTCGCGATACATGGCCCCATCCATCCTCCCCTCAATACGGTGCAGTCGTCCTGTACCCTTTGCAGAAAAGCATCCCCAAAGAATGATGTTTCCACCTCCATGCTTCACGGTTGGGATGGTGTTCTTGGGGTTGTACTCATCCTTCTTCTTCCTCCAAACACGGCAAGTGGAGTTTAGACCAAAAAGCTCTATTTTTGTCTCATCAGACCACATGACATTCTCCCATTCCTCCTCTGGATCATCCAGATGGTCATTGGCAAACTTCAAACGGGCCTGGACATGCGCTGGCTTGAGCAGGGGGACCTTGCGTGCGCTGCAGGATTTTAATCCATGACGGCGTAGTGTGTTACTAATGGTTTTCTTTGAGACTGTGGTCCCAGCTCTCTTCAGGTCATTGACCAGGTCCTGCTGTGTAGTTCTGGGCTGATCCCTCACCTTCGTCATGATCATTGATGCCCCACGAGGTGAGATCTTGCATGGAGCACCAGACCAAGGGTTAAGACCGTCATCTTGAACTTCTTCCATTTTCTAATAATTGCGCCAACAGTTGTTGCCTTCTCACCAAGCTGCTTGCCTATTGTCCTGTAGCCCATCCCAGACTTGTGCAGGTCTACAATTGTATCCCTGATGTCCTTACACAGCTCTCTGGTCTTGGCCATTGTGGAGAGGTTGGTGTCTGTTTGATTGAGTGTGTGGACAGGTGTCTTTTATACAGGTAACGAGTTCAAACAGGTGCAGTTAATACGGGTAATGAGTGGAGAACAGGAGGGCTTCTTAAAGAAAAACTAACAGGTCTGTGAGAGCCGGAATTCTTACTGATTGGTAGGTGATCAAATACTTATGTCATGCAATAAAATGCAAATTAATTACTTAAAAATCATACAATGTGATTTTCTGGATTTTTGTTTTAGATTCCGTCTCTCACAGTTGAAGTGTACCTATGATAAAAATTACAGACCTCTACATGCTTTGTAAGTAGGAAAACCTGCAAAATTGGCAGTGTATCAAATACTTGTTCTCCCCACTGTATATCAATATTAGGATGAGCAATGTCTGAGTGGCATTGACTAAAATACAGTAGAGTACAGTATGTAAACATTATTAAAGTGACTAGTGATTCCATGTCTATGTACATAGGACAGCAGCCTCCAAAAGGTGCAGGGTTGAGTAACCGGGTGGTAGCCGGCTAGTGATGGCTATTTAACAGTCTGATGGCCTTGAGATGGAAGCTGTTTTTTACTCTCTCTGTCCCAGCTTTGATGCACCTGTACTGACCTCACCTTCTGGATGATAGTGGGGTGAACAGGCCGTGACTCGGGTGGTTGATGTCCTTGATGATCTTTTTGGCCTTCCTGTGACATTGGGTGCTGTAGGTGTCCTGGAGGGCAGGCAGTGTGCCCCCGGTGATGCGTTGGGCAGACCTCACCACCCTCTGGAGAGCCCTATGGTTGCGGGCGGTGCAGTTGCCGTACAAGGCGGTGATACAGCCCGACAGGATGCTCTCAATAGTGCATCTGTGAAGGTTTGTGAGGTTCTTAGGGGCCAAGCCGAAATTCTTCAGCCTCCTGAGGTTGAAGAGGCGCTGTTGCGCCTTCTTCACCATACTGTCTGTGTGGGTGGACCATTTCAGAATGTCATTGATGTGTACGCCGAGGAACTTGAAGCTTTTCACCTTCTCCACTGCGGTCCTGTCGATGTGAATAGGGGCGTGCTCTCTCTGTTGTCTCCTGAAGTCCACGATCAGCTCCTTCGTTTTGTTGACGTTGAGGGAGAGGTTATTTTCCTGGCACCACTCTGTCAGGGCCCTCACCTCCTCCCTGTAGGCTGTCTCGTTATTGTTGGTAATCAGGCCTACTGCTGTTGTGTCGTCTGCAAACTTGATTGAGTTGGAGGCGTGCGTGGACACGCAGTCATGGGTGAACAGGGAGTACAGGAGGGGGATGAGCACGCACCCTTGTGAGGCCCCTGTGTTGAGGATCAGCATAGTGGAGGTGTTGTTTCCTACCTTCACCACCTGGGGGCGGCCCGTCAGGAATTCCAGGACCCAGTTGCACAGGGCGGGGTTCAGACCCAGGGCCCTGAGCTTAATGATGAGCTTGGAGGGTACTATGGTGTTGAAGGCTGAGCTATAGTCAATGAACAGCATTCTTACATAGGTATTCCTCTTGTCCAGATGGGATAGAGCAGTGTAATGGCGATTGCATAATCTGTGGATCTATTGGGGCAGTGTGCAAATTGAAGTGGGTCTAGGGTATCAGGTAAGGTGGAGGTGATATGATACTTGTTAGATATTACTGCACTGTCGGAGCTAGAAGCACAAGCATTTCGCTACACCCACAATAACATCTGCTAACCACTTGTATGTGACAAATAACAGCTAATTAGCATTTCATTTTGGTGGGGCATTTACAGGCGAATATAAGTCACCTTGTCCTAGAGAGATTTACACTGTTATCAAAATGTCACGCCAGCCTATGCCTATGGGAAAAATAAATGGTGGAAAGAGGATTGGAACCATTTCCATGTTTGACCGCTAGGTTTTATGGGTATTATGACTCATACTGTGGTACTCTATTGAGATAGAAGGAACACGATTTTTTAATATTATTGCTTCAGTGGGTAGGTTGCAAAGGAATTGTACAGTTTTACAAAGGTCACCTTTTTTTTAGGAGAATGTTTTAACTCACCATGTGCCTCCTGATGAAAGTCTCTCACAGTTTTTCACTACATCTATATTTTCTGCCATTACGTTGCACGTTAAAGCAATTCAGTTTTAAAATTGACATATTTGAGGTCTGACAACCCGCAAGAATCAATGCTGCTAATTCAATCTTAGCAGCTCTAAACTTCTAAATGTCCCGAGGAACATTATTCATAGAAATAATATATGCAATATTAGACAGTATTCGTGTAGAAATCTTGAAATACAGTAAAAACGTGATCATACGCTTTCATATTTGTTTACCTCCCGTACATATATGTTTACCTCCCGTACGCGCATGTATCGTCTACTTCTTCTACAAGACAATCGCTGCAGTTCATTTCAAGTTGTATCCCTCTTCTGGTGGAAGACTTGAATATTATAATTATATATATATGTGAGCATCAAAACTTTACAATCCCTACAGTGGTTCATTATAATATTATCATTTAAATACTTTATTTTCAGCACACAATGTACTGTGGCCTAGTTATCAGAAACAGGCTACTCCTGCAGGGCATAGATGTTCACTCCAAAGCATTTACACCTGTAGCCAATTTAGCTGTCTGTCAATCACAAGGCTCCCACTTGTGTCTAAAAAATCCTGGCTCTGTTCCTACATGATCAATCATGGATGAAGACTCAGCATTGGAGAGTTATTTTGATGACCCAGTTGGAAATGTACCAGTAAGTAGCCAGTGGTCCTGATTGCCAGGGTAAAGGGGATTATGAAAGAAGTCAGAGTATTTTTCAGCAAAATTAACCAAATTGACCTCAACATTTGATTTGAAATTACTTCAACCAACAGGTGTTTTATCCTCATTTTCCACTTGGTCTCATCGACACATGCTATTCCCCAGCAAGTGACACAAGATAAACTGACAGTAAATGATGCATCTAATTCCACTCTCTTCATAGTTTTTTCTTCTCTGGTGTGATTTCTAGGATGCCTCTGGCTTCCTGTTTGAAGGGGACCTGGGCTTGCAGGGCCCCCCTCAGCTCCACGACCCATCCTTTCTCTCCTCCTTGAGCCAACCGGAGAAGGACATCGGGGAGGATCTGGATCTCAGCTTCCTACCTGATGACCTGCCAGAGGACACCCGTGGAAATGCTGCTTCTAATGCTAACATGACACAAGACCACGTGTTCGATGGCTACAGGCCTGAGGAGTCTGCTGAGACTGACCCTAACAAGCCGGCCGTGATGGGAGCCTCTACCTTCTGTCCCATGACGCCTATGACCCCCATGACTCCAGTGGCTGAGAGTTCTGGAATAATCCCCATGTTACAGTGCGTGATGGACGTTACGATAACCAGGATTGCATTCATTAGTGCAACGTAAACCGTTTACACCAAATGCTCTAAATGGTTTCTGTTGTGAAACGTTTTGCTATGGTTTGCACTAATTAATACGACCCTGGGAAATGAATTAGTGCACTATACAGGTATTGGCCAGGATAGGCTCAGATTAAAAGTTGTGCACTATAAAGGGAATAGGGTACCATTTCAGATTGCCCCCTACTTGTCTAGCCTCTAACATCTTATATTGATAAGCTAATATTGATCAGCGCTTGCATGTGAGCCTGTTTGTTGTTTATGTGCAGGAATATTGTATCCACAGTGAATCTGGCCTGCCCACTGGACCTGAAATCCATTGCTCTTCAAGCCAGAAACGCTGAGTACAACCCCAAGGTAATCAAAGTATACCCAGTCCAGACAATGTTTAAGTCAATATGGTGGTGTCGTGCCATGATGTGGGCATTGTACTCTGTTTCAGCGTTTTGCTGCTGTCATTATGAGAATACGGGAACCTAGGACCACAGCACTCATCTTCAGCTCCGGAAAGATGGTCTGCACAGGAGCCAAGAGGTGAGGAGGGAGAACAGTTCACCATGATCCATGGTCTTGTTCAGTAGGAAGAACATGTTAAGAAAGAGGGAGGTATAATCTGAATTTGTCCAATAAGAGCACATATTCATTTTCTGTTGCAAGATGTTTTGTTACGGTGTGCCCTATTGAACACTGACACTATGTCATTACCAAGGACCACTCCTAGAGGATTCTCTAAATAAATAATTTGGTGTACTGTACCTGTCATTGCTCAAGGATAGGAAAAAGTGGAGGGAGCTCATTGAGCCCTTGTCCCAAAGTGGATGAAGAAGATGATCCCCTCATTCCTCAAGCCACTCCTCTTGTTTTTGCTGTCTATTCTGACAGCGAGGAGCAGTCTCGACTGGCTGCCCGCAAGTATGCTCGTGTGGTGCAGAAGTTGGGCTTTCCCGCCAAATTCCTGGACTTCAAGATCCAGAACATGGTGGGGAGCTGTGATGTCTGCTTCCCCATTCGGCTGGAGGGTCTGGTGCTGACTCATCAGCAGTTCAGCAGGTATACTTACTGTGACATATTGAGTGTCTGCTCTGTAAAGTACTGACACCCTTTAGTCAGAGAAAGTCTGTCCATTATGTTGATTGAATGATAAAGTTTTAATGTTTTCATTTATGAATTCCTTTTTACAGGGGGAAAATAATGTAAAATGTTTAGTGTACAGTTAAGAACAATACATGACCCCATACATGAGCAACATTTTATTTTATTTGACACTATGTATGTTAGTGCTGCAGTACTCGTGTTTTTTTTTCACTATGTAAATAAAATCCCTTGCACAGAAGTGCTTTTGCGGCTCCGCTATCATTTTCTTTTGTAGAGTTTAAGTCCAAATAGGTTTAAGTTAAAGGTTTTCAGTATAGCCTTACGGCTTACTCTACCCAACACAGTAGACCTATTGATATTCAGAGGGTTCCCTGTATTCAATGTGTTTTTTTACAGCATTGTCAAAATATACTCCAGACCTGAGCAACCTATTCTCCTGTAACCAGAGCCATATATTTAGATATTTCTAAATGGCTCCCTGTAACTAACTGTGTGATGGTATTTGGCCCTCTAGTTATGAGCCAGAGCTGTTTCCTGGTTTGATCTACCGCATGGTGAAACCACGTATTGTCTTACTGATCTTTGTGTCTGGAAAAGTGGTTCTGACAGGTACGTATGTTGACCACTGGTGTTTTCTGTCTGACTCCCACACACCACCACGCTATGATGACATGCTTCAAATGCTTGTTTTTCACATTTTAAAGTTTCCGATAACAAAACGCAGCCAGATCTTCTGTACATTTTCTTTCAGGGGCTAAAGAACGTGGAGAGATCTATGAAGCCTTTGAGAACATCTACCCCATTCTGAAGGGATTCAGAAAGCAATAAGTAGCGCAATTGTAACGCTGATGTGGGTGAAGAAAATGAATCTTCATTTGTTTAAAAACATGAATGTGTCCTAAATTGTTTCATTTTGAGTGTTGGCTACACTTGTGGAAAGTGTGTATATCGTGCACTTATGTACTTTTATAATTTTGTAATGGTGGATGGATGAATCTGTAATGGAATATTGACCATATCAAAGAAACGAATAAAAGGAAAGTTTGCATATAATACAGCTAACCCATTCATAGACGCTAACCACCTTTAGCGCCTAATGACGATAGTATCAAAGATAGAACCATGAGCCAGATGTTTCACCAGATGTGTAAATCTGAAGCATCCGGTTGGCGTTTCCACTCGCCACCAAATATGGTGATGAGTGGATTTTGGCCGACATTGTGCAAATTTTCTCATCGATGAAACTTTTGATCCCAATACAGTTTTCTGTTCCCAAAACAACAATCTGTTACGAAACAGAGTGGACTAAGTTTTGTAGACTTTACCCTTTGCCCAAGTTTCAAAAAATTCCATTGTTTAGGAGTGCTAGGGCGAATTTAGTTATTGCACATGCGCACTTCAGAGTAGGTGTTCCCTAACGGAAATATGCAAATACATGTTAGAACAAGCCAATAGGATCTCACTAGCTCGTGCTTGGCTCTGCCCACCTCCTTGCTTGTTCTGCCCACTATGATTAATTTGCTACCATTGGAAACGACAGGCAGTGGTCTATCTTGGGTTATTTATAAAAAATCTTTGATAGTATCTTCTGGCCGGGGTAGTTTTGTTATTTACATTTTAGTCATTTAGAAGACGCTCTTATCCAGAGCGACTTACAGTTAGTGAGTGCATACATTTTTTTCTTCCATACTGTTTCAAAAACCGTTTTGCAAGTGATGATTACTAACGTTTCTAAACGTTAAAACACAGCGTTGGAATTGTAGTTCACATGCAACCAAATGTGTGCGGTGATAACTGCTGAAAACCCTAAGGAGACGGGTTTGAGAGCTAGTAATAATAAAACATGCATGTTTCCATATCAGGGAGTATAAGTTACAAGTGTGAGTTACTTACACTGATCCCATCCACATGTAATGTAATGTAAAGTAACCATCTCCTTACAGCATAGGCAACTGGCAGCCCGCAACCCCCGTATTGAAGGCCCTCGGATCAATTTCCAATTTACTGTTGTAAATTGGGGTCTAAACTTACTGTTGCAAGATAGAATAGTAGAATACACAACGTGCAATTTTGAAATGTGGTTGTGCATCAACAGTATCTTCTGTCAGTCACTGAGAGTCACTCAATTAACCCATGTCAGCTAACATTTTTTAGATTAGTAAATTAGTCTCGCGGCCAGATATCTAAATTTAGTAATCATGATCGAATTACTGGCGGGGGGCCCCATTGATGTTGTTAGCCTGTCTCACTCAGATATCATTAAAACCTGCAAACATTTCTCTCTGTCCCATGGCAAAATGAGTAGAATTGCATGAAATGAGTTGTAAAATAGCTAAATCTTCTCTCCACCCCATGTCAAAATGTGTAGAATTGCAGTAAACTTGCTTTGAAACTGCAACATTTTCTCTACACCCCATGGCAAAATACAGTATGTAACATTGCACGAAACAAAGACAGTAGCTGCAGTGTGAAGATGGGTTAACTGCTTCTCCAATAGAAATCCCCAATCACACTTTAAGGCGACGTTGGCTAGCTAAACCAAAGATTTGTTATAACTAAACCTCTCAAAAAATCTAGTTGTTCTTTCTGTGGCTAAACTCATGCCTATAAACACGTAATCGGGTCTGAGGGTCGTCTTGTACCAAACTGCGCATGTCGTCAAATCAAAGGCACTCCTTCGATATAAAGTAGTTTTTGACGAAAATGAAAACGTGTCAGTTTGTCACCCTCACGAGGTTAGAGTAATAAGTTCAACTACTGAAAACATTGGCTCGAATCTAGGTTGTGCCTTTAGATTTCGAGAAAATTAACAACAAAGTAATAATGTTTCACTTCTCTCATTTACTTCCCAAACCCCGGGCTGGCCTGTTTGGTCTGTTTGTGGTGATGAGTATAATTTTTTTGTGGCCCCTACCCTCATCAAAGTTGCCCATCCCAGTCTTACAGCAAATATTATATCCATCTGTGCCAAATATCCATAAAACCAAATATTAGCTATATTCAAACGTAAACAGATCTGGGCCTACACTCAGATTTTCATATGCCCACGTGACCATACGTACATAAACAAACCATGTCACGCAAAAAAACTGTGACACAGTTTGCTAGCAGCCTCCTTTACCAAATATCCGAAAACGGCATAACCGTAACGTTTACAAGAAGCAATGAAGACTGTATACCTGTAGCTAGCTAGCCAGAGTAGCAATCATTTAGTTAGCTAGCGCTTGAACGGCAGTTCCCATGGCATCCTCAGCGGGAAGCGAAGTCCGAGCCCTCGGCTCTAGCGAAGGGACTTTGGGAGCACTGCCCGGTGCTCGGCCACCACTTCGCTCGCACCACCTACACACCACAACCACAACCACCGCAGGTTCCCCTGGATCTCTGATGGTGGAGTCGGTGGACGACGCGGAGGGTCTGTATGTCGCCGTGGAGAGATGTCCTCTCTGCAACACTGCTAGGCGCAGGCTGACTTGTGCCCGATGCATCCAGGCAGGGGATTTCGTGTACTTCGACGGTAGAAACCCCGAACGGTGCGTGTTAACATTCAGCTAACTTCATAACACTGCTCTAAGTGATGTCACTAATGAAAACATATGCGGCATCATCAGCTAACATTGCATTTAGCGATCAACAATCGAACAAACATGATAGCTAACTAGCTGTGTTTACAAGAAGCTAGCATTGCCTTTAACAAAACGTTAGCTCTTAGCACTAGCTTGTTAGCTAACAAGGTAGTTTGTTTACAAGAGGACCATGGAACATTACACCCAGTAGGGCTGTTTGGGAAACATTCTTGTCCTAGAGTGGATAACACGTAGCTAGCTATATGTTAAGAATAGTCAAGCCATTTGAGCACCAACCTTCTCACACTAAACAGTGTAGCTAGCTAGCTTTCTAACTTTCTAGTGTCGTGAAACTAAAAATAACTGTCATGACATGTGGTGTCATGATGGCTCTTTGTCAGTGAAGTCGTGAATGGCCATTTGCCTACTACTTTACTTACATTTGCATGTTCTATCATACTTTTGCTTTTGTGAGTTTCCAGAATTCAATGACTAGCTAGTAGTCTAATGACATTTCATTTAGTTTTTCTAAAGTTCAATGAATCTCAACTTGTTTTCTGTAAAGTAGCATGTTCTATGCCACTCTCTCGCCCAACACCTGTGCTTGGAGCATGTTGGGGGCACTTCACTCATTCTGCTGTGCTGCTGTAACATGCCATTGGGTTTTTAATGAAGTCTCTCTTTTTTTTTTATATAGATACACTAAAAAATTGGAAAGACTTCAAATGCTGAAGGAGGAGAAAGAACTTCTTGAACAGAGGTAAAAAAAAAAGACTAGTTGCAGTTAATAATCATGAATATGTTGAATAATATCATACTACTTTGCTGTTGTCATGTTTTCAACCATTTCTGTATACTGGCATATCTCTTTCATCATTATATACATCATATTAATAAATCTACACTATACTCTCTTTTCCCCAGGGTCATTACTGCCATGGATAAGAAGGTCCAGGCAGATCAGCTGGTAAGTTAAGTTATGACGACACACAAGAACATGATGATAAGCTTAATTTAGTCTGCCCTAAGCAAGGTAGCCTGTGTGTGTAATATTGTTTCTATGTGTCAATATCCTGCCTATTCTTTTCAAATCTAATGTGTTCGGTTTCGTTCAGAAATGGAAGATGATGTCATGCAAGATGAAGATTGAGCAGCTGAAGGAGGCCATTGGCTGTGGGAACGAAGAGGTGAAGAGTGGTGAGTTACATGGCTCCAACGGACATTCAAATCAGTGATGAATGACCCTAGATTATTACATTTTAATGTATTGTCTTCTTTATACTTTCCGCGTAATGTCTTTATGAAACTTGGAATCTGTAATAGTGGAAGACATTGGATGCGTCCCAAATGGCATTATATTCCCTATATAGTACACTACTTTTGCCATTTGGGATGAATTCATTAAACATATTATCCCTCCCTCTCCCCCCTCAGGTAAGGACCTGCTGCTTCGCTCCCAGGAGGAGAGCCAGAGGCTGCAGCGGCGGGCCAGCCGCCACCAGGAGAAGAGGGACAAGATAGAGCGACACAACCAGCGGCTGGGAGAGCTGCTGGAGAAGAGGGGCAAGGAGCTGCAGGGTCGTCTGGAGCACCTGGCCGAGGTCCGCAAGGGACACATCCTGGAGCTCACCGCTCACATCTTCCCCACACAGGAGGAGAAACAGGGCAGCAGGTCAGTGATGCTGTACCTCATAAAACAGGACCATAAATGTACAGTTGCGTCCAAATATATTGGCACCCTTGCATTTCATAAATTATTCCCAAATTTTTTCTAAAATAAGGTGAACAATTATAATAATTAGTCACCACACCTTGTTATTGGATTTTCAACATTGCAGACACATTTTATTTTTTGTAAACTTAAGTTTACAAATTTAATTTAGAAAATAAAGACATGGCTTGGACAAAATTATTGGCACCCCGGAGCTAGTACTTGGTTGCACAGCCTTTGGCCAAGATAACTGCAGACAAACGCTTCTTGTAGCCATCCAATGAGCTTGCTACACCTTCCTACTGGCAATTTGGCCCACTTTTTAGCAGCAAACTGCTCTAATTATTCAATGTTTGAGGGGTGCCCTCCACCAACTGCTGGGTAAATAGAATACCCTGACATAATCCTTTGAGGACTGAGAATTCTGACAACGGTTAGTGCTCACATTCTCAGAGGACCCGAGGAGGGGTTAGGAGAAGGTTGGGAGGAAGGGGGAAGTGGTAAAGGAAGAGATCCAGCGATTCCTCATCAGTATCAGCAACCTGGTTGCCCTCAGACTCCCCACAAATAAATGCACATATGGCGACACACAGACACACGCAGCCCTCAGACAAAATAAAGTGCACAGAAGTAAAGTCAGTTCTTCTCCCATTGTCTGTACCACCACTCCTCAGAGACCTCCCTGGGTTTCTTATACAGTACCAGTCAAAAGTTTGGCAAACCTACTCAAGGGTTTTTCTTTATTATAGAATAATAGTGAAGACATCAAAACTATGAAATAACACATATGGAATCATGTAGTAAGTGTGTAAAGCTGTCATCAAGGCAAAGGGGGGCTACTTTGAAGAATCTCAAATATAAAATGTATTTTGATGGTTACTATATGATTCCATATGTGTTATTTCATAGTGTTGATGTCTTCACTATTATTCTACAATGTAGAAAATAGTAAAAATAAAGAAAAACCCTGGAATGAGTAGGTGTGTCCAAACTTTTGACTGGTACTGTAGATTGGTGATGGTCATACCAAGGATCATTTAGCTATTTTATTTTGAATTTTAGGACCCCTTTAGGTATAAAAAATTATTTGAAGAAAATTTAATTTGGCCTTACTGCTATTAGCCCATAGAAACGGATTGAATAACAGATTCATACATGGAAAAACAGTTAAAAAATATATATATATCTAAAGGAAGTTTGTTTGAGGTGTCTGTCCTGTATCTGAGAGATATAAGAACCCCTTTTCTTAGGCACTAAACTCCTTCCATATATACTTCTATTATTTTTTTAAAAACTGGTACCGGGCTACCTTCAGACGAGTCTTGTGAGGCTTCTGGGTGTCCTAGAGCAAAACAGACATGTTCGTGAGAGACTCACCTTTCCATAGAGGGGTCATAATAGTTTGTAGGCCTAACCGTTCGGACGCTACTGAAAGTTTCGTGAGAAGACACATTTTCGGGATGTCTCATGGTCTGACAAACACTGCTGTAGCTCTGCCACCTTTCACCGCAGATGCAGAAGGCCGATATCGGCAGATGTGGTTGGATTGCGATGCAATCCCCCCCCCGATATCTCTACCTTAAACACAAACAAAGACTTTTATGGATATGTTTTTAATTATGCTAATTATATTTATGCTGGGCTGCGGAAATTGACTCGGGTTAATGTCAATCCCTGCATATTCACCACATGATCAAAAGTAAGTGGACACCTGCTTGTCGAACATCTCATTCCAAAATCATGGGCATTTAATATGGAGTTGGCTTTCCACTAGATGTTGGAACATTGCTGCTGGGACTTGCTTCCATGTTGGGCGAAAAAAAATTCTGTATGGACCTCGCTTTGTGCACGGGGGCATTGTCATGCTGAAACAGGAAAGGGCCTGCCACAAAGTTGGAAGCACAGAATCGTCTAAAATGTCATTGTATGCTGTAGCGTTAAGATTTCCCTTCACTGGAACTAAGGAGCCTAGCCCGAACCATGAAAAACCGCCCCAGACCATTATTCCTCCTCCACCACCAAACGTTACATTTGGCACTATGCATTCGGGCAGGTAGCGTTCTCCTGGCATCCGCCAAACCCAGATTCGTCCGTCGGATTGCCAGATGGTGAAGCGTGATTCATCACTCCAGAGATCGCGTTTCCACTGCTCCAGAGTCCAATGGCGGTGAGCTTTACACCACTCCAGCCGACGCTTGGCATTGCGCATGGTGATCTTAGGCTTGTGTGCTGCTGCTCGGCCATGGAAACCCATCATGAATCTCCCGACGAACAGTTATTGTGCTGATGTTGCTTCCAGAGGCAGTTTGGAACTTGGTAGTGAGTGTTGCAACCGAGGACAAATTATTTTTACACGCTTCAGCACTCTGTGGTCCCGTTCTGTGAGCTTGTGTGGCCTACCACTTCGCGGATGAGCAGTTGTTGCGCCTAGAAGTTTCCACTTCACAATAACAGCACTTACTGTTGATCGGGGCAGCTCTAGCAGGGCAGAAATTTGATGAACTGACTTGTTGGAAAGGTGGCATCCTATGACAGTGCCACAGTGAAAGTCACTGAGCTCTTCAGTAAGGCCATTCTACTGCCAATGTTTGTCTATGGAGATTGCATCACTATGTGCTCGATTGTATACACCTGTCAGCAACGGGTGTGGCTAAAATAGCTGAATCCACTAATTTAAAGGTGTCCACATACTTTTGTGTATATGTAGTTTATATACTGTATTACTCCATGGCATCTAGCCATGACTGGCCGGAATATGACTCCGGGCTTTAGTTTGCTTCAAGGACAGGACCAATAGTCTCTGTCCAGGGATTTGATGCTTTAACAATATACATCAAGTATAGGCCTACATTAAAATCCATACTGCCCTCTCATCTACTGGTTGAAGAGTTTTAGAGATGTTCTTCCCAGCCCTCTGTCCCTCAGGGACCCAGCGGACGTGTTGTCAGAGTGTGACCAGGCCCTGACCTCCAGCACGGTGAGTGAGCTGGCTGAGGCCCGCCGCACCACCTACCTTTCAGGGCGCTGGATCTGGGACGACCAGAATGGAGAAACCAGCATTAGCATCACCGGACCCAGGGTCACGCTGCCTAGCAACGGGGACTGCTCCCCCTATTACAGCTGGGTGGAAGGACAAGAGCACCAACGAGGGGCCCGGTAGGACTTTTTAGCTAAATACAGTTGAAGTCGGAAGTTTACATACACTTAGGTTGGAGTCATTTAAAACTCATTTTTCAACCAATCCACACATTTCTTGTTAACAAACTATAGTTTTGGCAAGTCGGTTAGGACATCTACTTTGTGCATGACACAAGTCATTTTTCCAACAATTGTTTACAGACAGTATAATTCACTGTATCACAATTCCAGTGGGTCAGAAGTTTACTAAGTTGACTGTGCCTTTAAACAGCTTGGAAAATTCCAGAAAATGATGTCATGGCTTTAGAAGCTTCTGATAGGTTAATTGACATAATTTGAGTCAATTGGAGGTGTACCTGTGGATGTATTTCAAGGTCCTCTGTAGCTCAATTGGTAGAGCATGGCAGTGGGTTCGATCCCCGGGACCACCCATATGTAAAAATTTATGCACACATGACTGTAAGTCGCTTTGGATAAAAGCGTCTGCTAAATGGCATATTATTATATTTCAAGGCCTACTTTCAAACTCAGTGCCTCTTTGCTTGACATCATGGGAAAATCAAAAGAAATCAGCCAAGACATCAGAAAAAAAATTGTAGACCTCCACAAGTCTGGTTCATCCTTGGGAGCAACTTCCAAACACCTGAAGGTACCACGTTCATCTGTACAAACAATAGTACGCAAGTATAAACACCATGGGACCACGCAGCCGTCATACCGCTCAGGAAGGAGACACGTTCTGTCTCCTAGAGATGAACGTACTTTGGTGCGAAAAGTGAAAATCAATCCCAGAATAACAGCAAAGGACCTTGTGAAGATGCTGGAGGAAACAGGTACAAAAGTATCTATATCCACAGTAAAACGAGTCCTATATCGACATAACCTGAAAAGCCGCTCAGCATGGAAGAAGCCACTGCTCCAAAACCCCATTAAAAAAAAATAAAAAAAATAATAATAATAATAATAATAAAAAAAAGCCAGACTATGGTTTGCAACTGCACATGGGGACAAAGATCGTACATTTTGAGAAATCTCCTCTGGTCTGATGAAACAAAAATAGAACTGTTTTGGCCTTAATGACCATCGTTATGTTTGGAGGGAAAAGGGGTCTGCTTGCAAGCCGAAGAACACCATCCCAACCGTGAAGCATGGGGGTGGCAGCATCGTGCTGTGGGGGTGCTTTGCTGCAGGAGGGACTAGTGCACTTCACAAAATAGATGGCATCATGAGGAAGGAAAATGTATGTAAGACATCAGTCAGGAAGTTAAAGCTTGGTCGCAAGTGGTTCTTCCAAATGGACAATGGCCCCAAGCATACTTCCAAAGTTGTGGCAAAATGGCTTAAGGACAACAAAGTCAAGGTATTGGAGTGGCCATCACAAGCCCTGACCTCAATCCTATAGAATCTTTTTGGGCAGAACTGAAAAAGCGTGTGCGAGCAAGGAGGCCTACAAACCTGACTGTTACACCAGCTCTGTCAGGAGGAATGGGCCAAAATTCACCCAACTTATTGTGGGAAGCTTGTGGAAGGCTACCTGACACGTTTGACCCAAGTTAAACAATTTAAAGGCAATGCTACCAAATACTAATTGAGTGTATGTAAACTTCTGACCCACTGGGAATGTGATGAAAGAAATAAAAGCTGAAATCATTCTCTCTACTATTATTCTGACATTTCACGTTCTTAAAATAAAGTCATGACTAAGTCGCTTTGGATAAAAGCGTCTGCTAAATGGCATATTATTATTATTATTATTATTATTATTAAAGTGGTGATCCTAACTGACCTAAGACACTGAATTTTTACTAGGATTAAATGTCAGGAATTGTGAAAAACTGAGTTTAAATGTATTTGGCTAAGGTGTATGTAAACTTCCGACTTCAACTGTACATTTTATGTAATGATGATGTATGCCATTTAGTGCACGCTTTTATTCAAAGCGACTTACAGTACATTTTTACTATGTTTTAGTATATTTTTCTAGCGCCACACACTTACCAAAAGAAGACATCTTAATCAAGTTATGTCTTTTGAGATGTAACAAGGAAAACTACTAGCCGATTGAGAGGAACATCTAGTCCTTAGAGATTACCAATTGACAATATTTACTTGTACTGTGCCAAGGCTATTTGTGATCATAAAAGAGCTTTCATTTCCAGAGCTGGACCACATCAACCCAGCCCACACCATCAGTGCAGCTCTCTGCTACGCTACCCAGCTCATCAACATCCTCTCTCATATCCTGGATGTCAATCTGCCCAAGAAGTTGTGCAACAGTGAGTTCTGTGGTGACAGCCTGAGCCGGTACAGGTTCACCCGGGCTGTCACCAAGCTCAACACCAACATCCTTCACCTCTGCTTCTCACAGGTACTACAGAGCATGGTTCCTCTAGGAGTTTCTTCCTTCTGAGTGTTTTTCCCCTTGCAATTGTTCTGCTGCAGCTCTTCTGTTAGGGATAGTTCACCTAAATTACAAAATGACATTTGTTTCCTTACCGTGTAAGCACTTTATGGACGAGGTATGACAGAAATCCATGCTTTGGTTTAGTTTCCCTGGCATGGTTTCTGCATGCAAAAGTTTTAGCATTTGTGGCACAAATCCCATTCAAGTCATGGGACCGATTATTAGCATTTTACGCACATCATGTCCAAACAATCTAAAAATGATTGTGAAACTCTCTACAAAGTCACTTTTAGATGTTTTGAACATGATGTGTGAAAAATGCTCATATCGGTCCCATGACTTGAATGGGATTTGTGCCACAAATGCTAAAATGTCAAAATAGAGGTAAGATGGATATCGATTTTGAGATATGGCGTAGTATTTTAGTATACGCTTTTGATTGAATTTATTACACAATGTTTTTTAAATACATACATAATGCGAAATTCCAGTTCTTATTTCGATTTCTCACAACCAAGCGAATCTCTGTGAAATGTCAACGGAGCACAGTGTACCGCAAACTTTTTACATTTAATTCAGTTTGTGTTAATTTGGCTTTTTGCGATCCGCGGAAAACAACTTTGCAGACGACCACCACATGTAAAATCCTCAAGTCGCTGCGAGAAAGCGCATAGCTATGTCTACAGAGCTCAACTCTTATCAGATGCATTAGGCCACGAAATCCAACTTTTTGGATATAGTGTTAATGATGTTATAGAAAGACCCTACTGAATGAATCAGAACATGAAGAATCATATTTGTCTTTGTACAATGTATTTTATGACATAAGGAAGTGAAATTACATCACCAATGCACGTTTTCACCCACTCTGGGCCGAGTGGGTGGACACCCTACACTAACCAGTTGTGTGTATTCTCCTGGAGCATGTTGAGAGTGAGCTGCTGCACCCTCACCACACCCTGAGGAATATCATGTTCCTGGTCTCTCCCGACAACAAGAACCTGGGCAGGTAAGAAAATCCCTGGTCAAAAGTAGTGCATTAAATGTTGAATAGGGTGCCATTTGGGACGCAGACTGACTATCTCCTCCCTCTGTGCAGGACGGGTCCATATGAGGTGACTGCAGACCTGGAGGACTCCATGGAGTTTGTGGAGCCGGAGGCGGCCGGCCAGGCAGAGGAGAGCGGGGACGAGATGGTGACGGACGAAGAGACAGACCTGGGGACAGACTGGGAGACTGTCCCCAGCCCGCGCTTCTGTGACATCCCCTCCCAGCCCATGGACCTGTCCCAGAGCATGGCCATGCAGGTGTCCCAGCCCGTGGGCCAGGCCGGGGGCATGATCTCCTCAGCAGCTGCCTCCGTCACCTCCTGGTTCCGGGCCTACACCGGCCAGCGCTGAGGGAGAGGAGGCTCACTGGCCAGGGTTGTATTCATTAGTGCAAAGAATATATAAATAATTAAACGTTTTGTAATGTAGAATAAAAACGAGGGTTTCTTATTGGACAAGTTCAGGTAGTCCCTCCCTGTTTTAGTCCATTTGATTTCTAATGAATACACCCCAGGACAGGCTGGAGCTATGCAGAACCACCACCTACCAACACCATGGCACCAGCACACCCAAACACAGAGATAGTTCTGTTCTCTGCCTGTAGTCAACTGCAGCCCTGCTTCCACAACCACCAACAAGGGATATTTGTTTTTACTAGAAAAGTTGTAATTGAAATAGCAGCAGTGATTCTTCTGGTGAAAAATGTTTATAGTGAGAAAGACTGACTTTTGGGGAGGGTGTTGTTCAATGAGTAGTCTCTCTCTTGCAAGACTCTGGGTGCTCTGCACGCTCCATCCCAGTGGTTGTGAGAAGACTATTCAAAGAGAGACTGGACCAGCAGTTGCATTAACTTACATTGATTGAAAATGTCAAGACTGAGGAATGCCACAGCATTGCACTGGATATGGGACTTCATTTTGATCCTGTTATTTTCCCCCTGAGATCTGGACTGTCCTGTGTACCTATCCTTATTGTCCGTTTTTAATGTTTATTTTCTGCATCCTACGGGCCTTGGTCAAAAGTAGTGCATTACATAGGGAATAGGGTGCCATCTGGGATGCAGTTGACTACCTTCATGTTGCATTATAACAAAATGGTTCATGTAAGGATCGTGTTTGAAGACTGACAAATGCCAATTATGACATGACACTTTCTTTGTTTTACATCAAATGTTGTTTGCTTACGGGTCGGGTCGGGGGGGGGGGTCGGAATGACCTAGTGGCATCTTGTTTTCCTTAAAAGGGTTAATTTAGGGCTCTAGTCAATCCGTTTCATGGAAATTCTGGCTACAGCCCAATATACATTTTAAAGCCCATGTTCCAACATTGGCGGAGACTACACTACAGGTGGACGATGACATATAGGTGGCTTAAATGAGAATGATAGAAAGGGACACATCTTTGGCTTACTTCATTTGTACACTGAACAAAATATAAATGTAACAAGTAAAGCTTTGATTTCATGAGCTGAAATAAAAGATCCCAGAAATGTTAAATATGCACAAAAAGCTTATTTCTCTCATTTTGTGCACAAATTTGTTTATGTCCGTTAGTGAGCATTTCTCCTTTGCCAAGATAATCCATCCACCTGACAGGTGTGGCATATCAAGAAGTTGATTAAACAGCATGACCATTCATTACATAGGTGCACCTTGTGCTGTGGACAATAAAAGCACACTAAAATGTGAAGTTTTGTCTCACACAATGCCACAGATGTCTCAAGTTTTGAGGGTGCATGCAATTGTCGAATTGAATGTTCATTTCTCTACTATAAGCCGCCTCCGTTGTTTTAGAGAATTTGGCAGTATGTCCAACCGGCCTTACAACCGCATGGCGTCACGCGGGCAAGCGGTGTCAACCTTGTGAACAGAGTGCCCCATGGTGGCAGTGGGGTTCTGGTATGGGCAGGCATAAACTACGGACACCGAATACGATTGCGTTTTATCGATGGCAATTTGAATGCAAAAAGATACCGTGACGAGATCCTGAGGCCCATTGTCGTGCCATTAATCTGTCCCAGTTCTTCTATGGCCTGCATACTCACCATACATGTCACCCATTGAGCATGTTTGGGATGCTCTGGATCGACGCGTACGACAGCACGTTCCAGTTCTCGCCAATATCCAGAAACTTTGCACAGCCATTGAAGAGTAATGTAACCTAAAGAATTTATTTCAATTGACTGATTTCCTTATATGAACTGTAACTCAGTAAAATCTTTGAAATTGTTTCATGTTGCGTTTTATATTTTTGTTCAGTATAGAACCCGATAGCTGTATTCTACTACTGATTGTTCCGTATTGGAGACAATTTGTCTCCTTTAGAGTGACGATCATCATCCGTCTGTAAAAGCATGTCTTAAACTGTTGGTTTATTTTGTCTTTGGGTCTTGTGGAACGTAATTTGGAAATTAAAGGTAATACAGATTAAGCTTTTACGCAAAATGTCGCAATATTTCACGAGACAATTTGAATGAAGATCTAATGACCTTTAACTTGTACCTACTAGTGACAAAATAGGTTGTGTAAAAGGATTCATGCGATTTATGTTCAGATGGACTCAAGGGCATAAGTGTTAACTGCACTGCAAACCCCAAACTATTGTAACGAGTTTACAGAAAAACAGGTTACATAGTTGAAGGCTGTGTTTACACAGGCAGCTCAATTCTGATTTTTTCTTCACTAATTGGTCTTTTGACCAATTAGATCAGCTTTAGGCTGTGTAAACATAGTAACCTTTGCTTGCTGGTAAATGTATATTTTGTATAGCAGGCAGGCAGACTACGGTGTACATGAAATACACATGGCATGCTAGTACTCAGATTTCAGAGATCTCTAGCAAGTTTAGATTTAGAAGATGATCCTTCTCGTTGATCAGCAATGCTCAAATCAAAACGACTGGCCACCACAATATATTTTAATGCATTTTATTACCAAGCCTCGTTTCATCCCCTAGTTACGAATTCCAAGGGCACCCAACAATTCATTTTTTGGGGGGCATGTGACCACACCATTTCAGGAGGCAGACAAATCCATGCTAGTCCAACCCTGGTTCATATTAGCACCCTTTGTTTGGTATTTGCCTACTTATCTCACCGTCCCTTTTAAAGTGGACAGTCCAGACCCTTTGTCTGAGGAGAATGCAATTTTGATATAAAATTGACAAGCGGTAAATCTCCCTCAAATGTTTGACATGACTAAATATCAACTTCCAGGAAGTCATAGATTTATTTTGCTTTTATAATTCAGTTGTGCTCTTTTCCAACACACCTGGACCCTAACCAATTCCCCTTGCCCCAGTGAAAGGCAAGCATACCAACCAGCTCTACAGTACTGAACTTAAGTTGTGAAGAACACAACATTGACAATTGAATGTTATTTAATGACATCAAGATGTGATAAATGACAATTGAATGTTATTTAATGACATCAAGATGTGATAAATGGAAAGGGGTGACATTTAAGGCTGGAGTCCCTCCATATATATTCAGTAAAGATAAATATTCCATTTTATGTTGTAACAGTTCCACTTCCTTTCAGTTTAAAGAGACTGAATGAAAGGTAGGGTATGATAGTTAAAACCTCAAAATTAATGCGCTTTATTGAAGTAAAATGCATTTACAGACAGAATACAGCAGGAATATTATACAACAAAGTAAAAAAAAATATCTGGGAGCAAACTACTTTAAGAGACCATTATTTTCCCATTTGTAATCAATCCTGATTATTTTTTTTATATTTTTTATATCATGTCCAGTTAAAGTCATTGTAAAGAACAGCGACACTGAGGTGACATTTTCCATGGTTCCCTTCAAGAAATTACTGCATTATAAAAAGAGGGATATTAATAACAAACACCTGTCCAAATGGCACTATATAATAACACACTACTTTTGACCAGAGCCTTATGGGTCCTGGTCAAAAGTAGTGCACTACATAGCGAATCGTGTGCCATTTCCAACACATAAAAAAAACGGTAGAGAAAAAAAGAGTGGCTAATAAGCGTATGGATTACAGACTGGGTTATACATCTGGGACCCACTGCAAAAAAAAACACCCAATAATTATTAATCAATATACACATGACAGGGTAAATACGTTTTTCTTTTTACCAAACTGAAGCTAATAAATGCATTCAAGTCATGTCATAGATATTTGTGCTGCTTGTCAATCTTATTCTCCCTGTTTTTGATATAGGACTTTAGCACTATGTACAATGTAAACACAACCGGGGACAGAACAAACTAGTTCCAATCAATTCAGATCCAAACAGACAACAAACCCTCTCTGGCCCGGAGCCTGATACAGTGGAGTGGGGATATAGATTCCACCACCCAAATGGCGCCCTATTCCCTATATAGTGCACTACTTTTGACCGGTGCCCTATATAGGGAATAGGGTGCCATTTGGGATGCAACCAGGATATGGAATATGGGATGGGGTTGATTCACATTTTGCATAAACCGAGGACCTGCAGCAATGTATGTATCCACTTAGACAACATAATAAACACACTGAGTAAATCACTTGTGGGTGGGGTACACTGCATAACATTGATAGGCTTTACCTTGATTAAAGTATCTATTCCAATGTAACGGTCGGTCGATGCATAAGGAAGGAGATATGGCAGGAGGGACACATTAAGCATCAACACTGAAGAGAAAGATTAATTAAAGCTCTTCTCTGCAATACACTCTTATCAGATTTGATGCTTTAACCCAAAACGTTGAAGCAAGTAAATAGAATACCCTGACAGAATCCTTTGAGGATTGAGAATTCTGACCAAGGTTAAAGTGCTCACAATCTCAGAGGACCTGAGGAGGGGTTAGACGTCAGGGGTCAGGAGAAGGTTGGGAGGGAGGGGGAAGTGGTAAAGGAAGAGATCCAGCGATTCTTCATCAGTATCAGCAACCTGGTTGCCCTCAGACTCCCCACAAATAAATGCACATATGCATATGGCGACACAGACACGCAGCCCTCAGACAAAATAAAGCGTACAGAAGTCAAGTCAATTCTTCTCCCATTGTCTGTATCACTACTCCTCAGAGACCTCCCTAGGTTTCTTATAGATTGGCATGTTGATACTATGGAAGGCGGGCACCCAGCGGTTGTCATGGAGACCGACATTGCAGCCGGGCGTGTCTTTGTGGGAGCCGTGGCAACACATCCAGTACCCGGGGCCGTAGGGCAGCGCCTGGCAGTAGGGCTTGTGGTGCCAGCGGCAGAGGGACACGTCTCCACGCCCGTACCGCTTTTTACACTGCTTGCAGGGATCGTCTTTGTAGCGGGGGTCGCACACCCAGCGGGAGTCCGCGGGTCGAACGCCGTAGCTCTCGATGATGAACTTGAAATAGTGGCAGGTGCACTTGAGCACGGCCAGGCTCTCCGTGGGCAGCAGGCAGAAGATTTTGATGATGATGTGGTGAGGCAGGAAGGCCATGTACTGCTGGGGTTCCAGGAGCAGCTGGATCTTAAAGCGCATCTCCAGGAACTCGTGAGACACCATGCGGCGCAGGGGGAAAGGCACAGTCTCACACCGGCTAACAGCACTCCCCTCTCCCTCACTCACCGCCTCTTCCTCCTCAGCCCAGTTCTCACTGTGAGATATGGGTTCAGAAAGGAGGGAGGTGATAGCGGGGTCGCAGGGCTGAGTCTTGGAGGGTTCCGCTGAGTCTCTTGTGGGTTTAGGGCTGGACTCCATGTCCTGGGGGGTGGGGGTGTGGGTATTGTCTGTGTGTGGCAGTGTGTGTTCAAGCACCGCCTGTGAGGGCAGAGGGTGTGAGAAGAACAGCATGCCTGGGAGGGGCTCCTTACACTGTAGTTTACAACTACTGTCTGTCCTGCTGGCCCTGGCCTGCTCTGACTGGAGCTGGAAGTGCAGGTCCTGCCCAGCCTCTACAGCCCTGTTCTTCTGCTGCCCCTGCCCCAGGCCCTGGGCCTCACAGCTCTCCTCCGGCTCTCTGACGACGGAGGCGCCACACCCGGAGTCCACGCTGTGAGACGGAGAGGCTGAGTCAGAGGTGCTAGAAGCCAACTGGGCAGCTTCACGGCAGCTGCTGGGAACTAGTTTGTCCGTGTGGCTGGTGCCAGCAGAGGGATAGCCAGTAGAGGGACTAGCGTGGCGGTGCTGCACCCTGGTCGTCTCCTCTAGTCCATGGTGGGGCTCGGTGGGAGACTGAGGTGGAGGAGGCTGGGCTGAGATGGAGAAGGCGTCTGCTCCTGCCAGTAGAACCCGGCCCACCCTCCTCCGCAGGCTGTTGTTGCGCGAGAGGCTGTTGTTGCGCGAGAGGCTGTTATTGCGCGAGAGCTCTCCCCCAGATCTGGACCCTTCCCTTGTAACATTCTGGTGCTTCAGGCACTCTGACTCCAGCTTGGCCACCATGTCTGACACCTTTACACACTCTGCTTCCTCACCTGTCCCCTGGGGGCTCTGGTCGGGGGCTCTGGGTTGCTGGGGCTCTTGGGTCAGTGACAGCCCCCTGGATAAGGTAATGCTAGTGGAGCTCCGCAGAGACACAGGCTTAGAGTCCACTTGCTTGTCGCTAGCTCTCTGCTCCAAGAAGGCCACCAACTCCACCACAGAGAGAGCCTTGCCCGTCCCAGTCTCACTCCCCTCCTCGCCCTCTACCCTACACACCTGCTCCCCACCCACCCTTACAACCATCTCCCCACACTCAGGCACTCTGGGGCTCTCTCTGAGGCAGATGGTCACCTCTACAGGGCTGTTCTCAGTGGGGCTCAGTGGGCTCTGTGTCTCCAGGGCTCTGGATGACTGTCTGTCTCGGTCCTTGTGTTGCCCCTGATGCCCTGACCTCCTCCTGCGCTTGGCCACAGAGCCACCCTCGTCCTCCCAGCAGCTCTTCATCTTCACAGACACTGTCCTCCCCAGGCTGCTGCTCACAAAGTCCTCACCGGCCTCCCTGACCGGCTCTCCACCGCCACCGTTCACCAGGCTGCCACGGCACTGGGGCGAAGCGAAGATTGCGATCTTCTCCTTGGTGTTGCCGGGCTTGATGACGGCCCAGATTTCCAGCGGTCCCTCTCTGTCCTCCCCTTCATAGGAGAGGCTGAGGGAGGCCTCCTGGTCCTCAGAGCCCACCGAGCCTGTAGAGGTGGTGGTGCAGGAGGAGGTGGAGAGGAGTAGCAGGGAGGAGGGGGTGTTGCAGGTGGTGGTCTTGGAGGCGCTACTGTGGAATACATCCCCTTCGGACTCACTCAGCCTCGAGGTCTGCAGCCCACAGCCACTACCACGGTTGACGTGGATATTATTACTGTTGTTGTGGTGGTTGGAGCCGCTGTTGTCGTTACTGCAGCACTGCAGGGTGTTGGTGGATATGACACTGAGGGGGTAGCAGGCCGTACCCTGGCCAAGCCCGCTGCTAGACGGGCCCACCCGGCGGACCCCCCCCACTGTCCTCTGCGACAGAACACCCTGCTGGCTCACATGATGAAGGCCTCTCTGGCTGTCTTGACTGGACTCCAGGTGGAGCTCTTTCTTCTGCAGTTTGGGGTATTGCTTGAGATGCATGGCTGCAACCCTGGAACAGAAGAAAGGAAATTAATGAGTTATTGTGGTGCATGTGATGTGACCGTCTGACCAGGGGCCTGTTCAGGAGGATGCAATGTTAGTGAATATTCATAGAAGGCAGAATAGCTAATTAAGTCAGCTCTAGTGATTATATTTGTATCTGACACCAGATGTATTATCAACAAAATCCGTTAGGACAACTATGACCCTCTATCTAGGCACTGACTGCTGGGCCTCAGGTCAGCTGCAGAGAAATGTCCAGGATCAAAAGTCGTCCAATTGAGTTCCCTTGGAGAGGAGACAGATGTGCGTCCCAAATGGCGCACTATGTAGTGTATAGGGTTCTATTCGCGACACAATCCGAGGAAACTGAAGAGCAGGTTTTTGCACTTGGCATGGAGACGCAGAAGGAGAGGAGGCCAGGAGGAGAGGAGACCAGGAGAGGAGACTAGCTAGCCTACTTTATATTGGCGTAAGATTGTGTCACGTATGCATTATCAGAGGTTGTTAAAGTAAAGATTCACCAATTTAAAAATGTTATATTGTTTTTGTGCATCTCTGAGCGATGTTCTACCGATTCCCTGGGTCCTTTCATGTGCATCTGAGCTATTGCCGTTCAAGCAGGCAGAAATTTGGCTGGTATGATGTAGCATTGTGATAAAGCCATGCTCTCACTACACTAGAAGTTAATAGGAATATGACTTTTAGATTGCGAAAACGTCTATTATATATGTCAGATTTCAATACTGGCTGATGTCATAACATGGGAGGTTGTCTTCTCTTGAATGTCAGACTCCACTGTGAGGCACATAGATCTGCAGGTTGAACATGGTGAGATTGTAGACTCCTAAATTGAGAGTGCAGTTTGTTTAGATGATTTTACGGCTAACTAGCATGCTGATATTAACTTTGGTATTATTGTGTGTAGCTAGCTAGCCCATAGAGAGCATTGCAAGTTTTGTAGTCTACCTGAGCTGCAACAGATTTCCACAACGATTTTCATGTTACTACCAACCTTATCATTATGACAAAATTATACTTTTTTTAACACATTTTTTTGTTATTTTGTAAATTATTGGATTGGGTGGTTTTGGGTGGATTATTCCTTTAATGCAGCCTGCTTCCTAAGCTTATCTAAGAGATCTTTAATCCCAGTGATCAGACAGGCAGGCAGGGAGAGGGAGCAGAGCTCCATGCCTTGGAATGGGTGGCTCAGAACCAGGTGACCCTATTTGTTCACACTGCAGACAGTCTTAGTCACAAATGGCATCCTATTCCCTACATAGTGCACTACTTTTGACCAGAGCCCTATAGGCCCTGGTCAAAAGTAGTGCATTAAAAAGGGACTAGGGTGCTATTTGGGACGCATGTGGTTTCTTGGGGATGGAAAGGCGTGTCACATTAAACCTCAACACAAGGGCTGCTGTTCCCCCAGCCCAGCCTCCCTCTGCTGTTCCCCCAGCCCAGCCTGCCAATTGGTGCAGAGCCTCTGAAGTCAAGACACAGCTGGGCTCTTAAACAAGCCCTCTCAGCTGACCTAGCCCCTGACACACCCCTAACAAACAAACACACACTGTCTCTCTCTCTCCGTCAGACACACACACAGGACATGACTTCAAGCAGCCGCAGTGGGACAGGACAGACGGCAGGCAGGCCCTAGCCTTCACAGCCTTACAGGCACAAGTGCATATAAGGCATTCTTCACTGCAGCCCTGGAACTCTGATAATGGGGGACAGAAGGGAGGGGAGGTGGGACACCTCACGTGACCAAATCAGGGATGGCATGCAGGGGTGGGGGGAGGTGTTAGAGGGCGACAAGGGGACAGCAAAGGCACTGGCTGCTTCTCAAAATGGCTCCCTATATAGTGCGCTAAGCTCGACCAAAGCCCATAAGGTATATAGGGAATCGGCTGTCATTTGGGATGCACACTGCTTTCTATGGGTGGGGTTGGGGTGGCTTCATCTACTCATTGGCTAGCTGGTGAGTGTGTCAAGTGGTGTGCCAAGGAAGGAAAAATTGCAGCCTGTTGTTGTGTGTCCTTGAAAGGCCTGCAGTAGCCCCCGTCACTCTCCTCTCCTTTCTTCTCTCTCACCAGTCCCAGGGTTCTCACTGCTCTATGGAAACCGACAGAAGGAATTTATGTCACGTCAGTATCACATTGCCTGCCTCCGTCGTGGTCGTGTGTGTACTGAGGGGCAGTCACAGCAACAAGAACAAGTTAAGAGTGGCACAAACGTCAACAACATGGCTGATATTATATCTCCATGGGAACAACTACACGAAGACTTGCACTACTTCCTGGCACAATACTCCAACTTTCACTTCCTGGTTTCAATGACAACACTGTCTTGGCAGCACTTAAGCAGGCAGGAGGCTCTGCTTTCAAGCCAGGGATTGGTTTATCTGGGTTACTGAGGAACATATAGACTAATTCACCATGTCCCTTAGCCTGAGCAACAGTCTGTCTGTGCCATTGTCATGCCAACTCCTTGTCACTCATTGTCATGGCAAACATGGAGTGTATGCCTGGAGAGGAGCCAACTCAGGAGTGTATTATTCAGTGAGGTGAAACGTTGCAGATAGAAATGTAACGAAGAGATGCTGAAATGACTCCCTATTCTAGATGACAGAATTATGTTGTTATACACTATATATTTCCATGTGAATGTTTTGTAATGTTTTAGTTGCACCCTCCTAAACAGGCCCCTGGTCTGGCTCGCCAAGTTTCACTGTAAGACATTTTTACACAACCAGGCCAGAAGAGACACTTCCCCTTCCCAGCAGTGCTCAGACCCTACACTACCCCTTCCCAGCAGCGCTCAGACCCTACACTACCCCTTCCCAGCAGCGCTCAGACCCTACACTACCCCTTCCCAGCAGCGCTCAGACCCTACACTACCCCTTCCCAGCAGCGCTCAGACCCTACACTACCCCTTCCCAGCAGCGCTCAGACCCTACACTACCCCTTCCCAGCAGCGCTCAGACCCTACACTTCCCCTTCCCAGCAGCGCTCAGACCCTACACTACCCCTTCCCAGCAGCGCTCAGACCCTACACTACCCCTTCCCAGCAGCGCTCAGACCCTACACTACCCCTTCCCAGCAGCGCTCAGACCCTACACTACCCCTTCCCAGCAGCGCTCAGACCCTACACTTCCCCTTCCCAGCAGCGCTCAGACCCTACACTACCCCTTCCCAGCAGCGCCCAGACCCTACACTACCCCTTCCCAGCAGCGCTCAGACCCTACACTACCCCTTCCCAGCAGCGCTCAGACCCTACACTACCCCTTCCCAGCAGCGCTCAGACCCTACACTGAGGCTGCGTCCCAAATGGGGTCTGGTCAAAATGAATGCACTACATAGGGAATAGGTGCCATTTGGGGGACACCCCCTACACCAACTCTACCCTCCTCAGCCTTTTCTCAATGCCTTGGACTGTGCCAAAACACACATCAGCCTAATGGCAATTTGAGGGAAAAGTACAACTTAGCGTTACCTAAAAAGAAAACAAACGGTCTGAAGTGAAAAGCACAACAGAGCTGGCCCTGGGTAGACTGGGGGGTGAGTCATGGGCTCTGATGGGGTGAGCTCATGCCTGAACTCAGCGAAAGAGAGCAGCTTCAATTTAACAACCTTTTTCCCTTTCTCTCTCTTTCAAGAGTCCATGACTTCTTCTGCATAGGGCGCTGCCAGGGAACTGAGCCAACTTCAAAAGTCAAAAGAATGAAGTCACATGAGGGGCTGTGTCCCAAATGGCACCCTATTCCCTATGTTGTGCACTACTTTTGACCAGAGACCTATGGGATCTGGTCAAAAGCAGTGCCCTATATAAGGAATAGGGTCCATTTGGGACGAAACCGAGAAATCAGAGTCTGAGGCTCTGCCTGCCTGCTGCAATTATGGTGTAACATCACATCATGTTCTTCCTGAGGCAGGGGGCTAGTGGGCCTCAGACCTGGGTTCAAATACTATTTGAAATCGATCAAATACTTTTGAGCATTTGCTCTAGCCTGCCTGGAGTACCAGTATGGGCAGGGTTTGCAGTTTTGGGACTACGCTATGGATCCATTAAGCCAGGCAAACTCAATCATGCACAGATTATTATAAAAAATATTTAACTCCAGGTCTGGTTGGTTGGGCTACAGCAACTTGGGCTGAGGCAGCCTGAAGCACGGCACGGGCCTATATGTCATAAACAAATGGGCAGTTAATTACAGACGAGGTAAACACAATATACTTTTATCTGGCTAGGTAAACAAACCCCAAACAAATAAAGCTGTACGATTTGGACCAAATATCTCATTTCCAGATATTGCAATTGCGATTATGAATTGCGATTTTTCTAAAACTTGCGTGACAACTTGGCAATTCCATCAGACTTGGTTAAAAGAAGTGTCAGGGTAGAGAACATCACTTTTATAATGAGATCATATGAATGAATACATACTGTGCTAACTGAATACAAAACCAAATGACACAAATATTTTCCAACATTGTTATTTACATTTACGTCATTTAGCAGACGCTCTTATCCAGAGCGACTACAGATAAGATTATTACACTGCTACATTTACATTAAAAAAAAAAAATATGGTGGGTACACCCCTGCATATTAACAAATACATTTTTAACATTATCAAAATATAGTCCAACACTTAATTGATGAATAACATGACTTCTGATTTCTATTTTACCATTATGAGTTCTTAAATAACCTAAGATAATTATTTATTCAGGCACCCATAGGCTGCAGATGGAATAGGAAGCTTATGACTGTGTAATTATGTATAAATAAGCTCAATAATTATTATAATTTTAATTATAAAAGTCAAAGTGCCTTAAAAACTTGTAACATGTAGTCTACCGAATGCAAGGTGCAGCCTGTGTCCAAAACATTGGAGTCTGGTCCAGTCATTCAACGCGACATGTTTAAACTTTTCCCTTAAATTTTGTTATAGTGTTGGAATGGCAACTTGGGAGAAATATGTGCGAGGTGGAATCTTGCATCTCCTGCCCAGCTTGTTTATCATCTTCTTGAAGCCGTCTTTTCTGACTGTGTCAATAGGAACCATGTCTTTGGCTATTTGATAGGCTCAGTTATTTCTATGTGTCTACGGGATGTTTTTTCGTAAGGTGTTAACACTTCAAAATGCATTGGCAATCAATGCTTGTTTAACGTAGGTGGCTGGTTGTGGCTGATGGCCTTTGCTGCTATCGGGCGCTTTTTTACCATGCAATCGTGGTAAAGTAGGGGATGGTTCTATTTTAAATGATTGAATACATTTGTCGTATTGCCTCGTTGTCACCACAACTCGAGGAACTTTTTGTACAACACTTGCATTTGGTTGACATCGGTTTGCCTGTAGCAGAAATACTGCCATACCACTGAAGACGCGCCCTTCTTTGGCACCAAATCGAAGTTCTCGTTAGCACTCATGTTTCTGATGATACACTGAGGTAAAGACAGATTTATTTTAATCTCATACTGTACCACAGACAGAAGGGAAAACTCAGACACGGGGCTATCAAGCTGAAGCATCCATTTAGAACGTTTTCTTACCACCAAATATGGTAGTGAGAGGAAGTCCAGTCGCAGGTAGTTGGAGATGATGGAACTAGGTGAAACTGGGCCATCATTCTGCTAATTCTCAAAAAAGGTTTGTTCCCAAAACTAGAATCTGTTACACAGTGCACAAAGTTTTATAAACTTGACGCTTTGCCAAAGTTATTTTTTGTTATTTAGAAAGAGTGCAAAGTCTAATTGAGTTTGTGCACACGCAAACTTCAGAGGAGAGGCGTTCCCTAACAGAAATACATGCTACAACGTGCCAATAGGATATCGCTAGCTTGTTCTTGGCTTTGCCCACCTACTTGCTTGTTCTGCCCACTATGCTTAATTTGCTCCCACTGTAAACGCCACAGATGAACTATCTTGGGTTAGTTATAAATATATTTAATTGTACCTGTCTTTGGTAAAGCCCTTTCTCTCCTCACCAGCATCTAACTGCACGCTCTAAGCGGGGACGCTTGTGATTGGCCAGCATGTGCATGCCATGCAGAGTGAGAGCCCACTTGTGATTGGTCAGCATCATCTGTGCATGTAGAGAGTGAATTAATTGAGTCTAGCGCATCTCATTGGAGGTACCGTAGATCTAGTTTTTTTCTATTAACGGGGGGTGTCAAAGAAATTCGATTTTTTCTCATGTCAATATCGCAATGAATTTGATTAATCGTGCAGCCCTACAAACAAAGCATGAATTGTAGTCTTACTTGTCCATAAACTACTTTTAACATAAGGAGCCAGGTATGTAATTTGGGTGAGCTGTCCCTTTAACTGTGCAGTAGGTAAGTAGAGTGGTGATTTGTGAGTGGGGGGCGAGGTGAGGCTTACCTCCAGTGTGTGTTTGTGTGTGGTCGCTTACCTCCAGGCTGACTGCAGCAGGTTGGGTGGTGGTGGTTTCCTAGGTTCCCTGTGAGAGGCGGCAGTAGCGCTGCAGTAACTCATAGATTCACATCTCTCAGGCATTCCCTCCAGTCCAGTGTGATGACGGACTATTCCCTTCAGTCTTCTCCCACAACCCCCTGGTCGTCTGCAGGCCACAATCTGAATGCCTTACAGTTCAGGGTCCCACCCAAAACACTGTAGGGAAACACAGGTACAGGATATACAGTTTATTACGCAGTTTAGTTTCAGACCACCTTGCCTAGGAAGGAACATGGCTGTGTGTGTGTGCTGTTATGACAACATAACGACAATTCAATTAGCCAATAATCATAATAAGTGAATCACCCTGGCCTCCCACAAACAATGACCTGAAGAACTGCCAAAGTCAATAAGCCCAGGGCCGATTCAGAATCAAACACTTCATGATGGAACGCAGCCTGACAGATTGACAGACAGGTTGCAATAAGTAAATATACTAGCAAAATACAACAAATAATTCCCTAAATAATTCCCACAAAGTTGTTCTACTGAATGTGAATGAATGGTTTATGGGCAATTCCACAGCAACAGAATTACAAACTCAGATTTTTCACTTTAAAATGTAAGCCAAACAAAAAACAAGGACAAGGACTACTTTGAACAATTTACACAGAACATGTCACAAAAACACATTTACTGAAAGAACTGTGCAGATGCAAAATTTGGTAACAGAATTATGGTAAAATCTCCCTCAGTTTTCTTATGCGACCACGTTTTCCAAAAACGTAAAAAGGTGCACTATGCAGAAATCGCTCTGCCATTTACTGGTTGCAAAGATAAATAGTTTGCTTAAAACAAGCATAGAGAATGTAGAGAATCATTGTACCATCTAAACCGCTGTGAAATACACTGCTAAAAAAAATAAAGGGAACACTTAAACAACAATGTAACTCCAAGTCAATCACACTTCTGTAAAATCAAACTGTCCACTTAGGAAGCAACACTGATTGACAATAAATTTCACATGCTGTTGTGCAAATGGAATAGACAACAGGTGGAAATTATAGGCAATTAGCAAGACACCCCCAATAAAGGACTGGTTTTGCAGGTGGTGACCACAGACCACTTCTCAGTTCCTATGCTTCCTGGCTGATGTTTTGGTCACTTTTGAATGCTGGTGGTGCTTTCATTCTAGTGGTAGCATGAGACGGAGTCTACAACCCACACAAGTGGCTCAGGTAGTGCAGCTCATCCAGGATGGCACATCAATGCAAGCTGTGGCAAGAAGGTTTGCTGTGTCTGTCAGCGTAGTGTCCAGAGCATGGAGGCGCTACCAGGAGACAGGCCAGTACATCAGGAGACGTGGAGGAGGCCGTAGGAGGGCAACAACCCAGCAGCAGGACTACCGCCTTTGTGCAAGGAGGAGCAGGAGGAGCACTGCCAGAGCCCTGCAAAATGACCTCCAGCAGGCCACAAATGTGCATGTGTCTGCTCAAACGGTCAGAAACAGAGTGGTATGAGGGCCCGACGTCCACAGGTGGGGGTTGTACTTACAGCCCAACACCGTGCAGGACGTTTGGCATTTGCCAAAGAACACCAAGATTGGCAAATTCGCCACTGGCGCCCTGTGCTCTTCACAGATGAAAGCAGGTTCACACTGAGCACACGTGACAGACGTGACAGAGTCTGGAGACGCCGTGGAGAACGTTCTGCTGCCTGCAACATCCTCCAGCATGACCGGTTTGGCGGTGGGTCAGTCATGGTGTGGGGTGGCATTTATTTGGGGGGCCGCACAGCCCTCCATGTGCTCGCCAGAGGTAGCCTGACTGCCATTAGGTACCGAGATGAGATCCTCAGACCCCTTGTGAGACCATATGCTGGTGCGGTTGGCCCTGGGTTCCTCCTAATGCAAGACAATGCTAGACCTCATGTGGCTGGAGTGTGTCAGCAGTTCCTGCAAGAGGAAGGCATTGATGCTATGGACTGGCCCGCCCGTTCCCCAGACCTGAATCCAATTGAGCACATCTGGGACATCATGTCTCGCTCCATCCACCAACGCCACGTTGCACCACAGACTGTCCAGGAGTTGGTGGATGCTTTAGTCCAGGTGTGGGAGGAGATCCCTCAGGAGACCATCCGTCACCTCATCAGGAGCATGCCCAGGCGTTGTAGGGAGGTCATACAGGCATGTGGAGGCCACACACACTACTGAGCCTCATTTTGACTTGTTTTAAGGACATTACATCAAAGTTGGATCAGCCTGTAGTGTGGTTTTCCACTTTAATTTTGAGGGTGACTCCAAATCCAGACCTCCATGGGTTGATAAATTTGATTTCCATTGATAATTTGTTTGTGATTTTGTTGTCAGCATATTCAACTATGTAAAGAAAAAAGTATTTAATAAGATTATTTCATTCATTCAGATCTAGGATATGTTATTTTAGTGTTCCCTTTATTTTTTTGAGCAGTGTATATTTTCAATAGCCAAAAAGATTGTATTTTCATCTGTTTGAAGCTGGTAAAAGTAAAAAAAGAATGTGCGCTCCTAGTGGCCGGGGACTTTAATGCAGGGAAGCTTAAATCCGTTTTACCTCATTTCTACCAGCGTGTTAAATGTGCAACCACAGAGAAAGAAAAACTCTAGACCACCTTTACTCCACACACAGAGACGCGTACAAAGCTCTCCCTCCATTTGGCAAATCTGACCATAATTCTATCCTCCCGATTCCTGCTTACAAGCAATAACTAAAGCAGGAAGCACCAGTGACTCGGTCAATAAAAAAGTGGTCAGATGATGCTAAGCTACAGGACTGTTTTGCTAGCACAGACTGGAATATGTTCCAGGATTCTTTCGATGGCATTGAGGAGTACACCACATCAGTCACTGGCTTCATCAATAAGTGCATCGATGACATCGTCCCCACAGTGACTGTACGTACATACCCCAACCAGAAGCCATGGATTACAGGCAACATCCACACTGAGCTAAAGGGTAGAACTGCCGCTTTCAAGGAGCGGGACTCTAACCCGGAAGCTTATAAAAATCCCGCTATGCCCTCCGACGAACAATCAAACAGGCAAAGCATCAACACAGGACTAAGATCGAATCATACTACACCGGCTCCGACGCTCGTCGGATGTGGCAGGGTTTGCAAACTATTACAGACTACAAAGGGAAGCACAGCCGCGAGCTGCCCAGTGACACAAACCTACCAGACGTGCTAAATTACTTCTACGCTCGCTTCGAGGCAAGTAACACTGAAACATGCATGAGAGCATCAGCTGTTCCGGATGACTGCGTGATCACGCTCTACGTAGCCGATGTGAGCAAGACCTTTAAACAGGTCAACATTCACAAGGCTGCAGGGCCAGACGGATTACCAGGACGTGTACTCTGAGCATGCGCTGACCAACTGGCAAGCGTCTTCACTGACATTTTCAACCTCTCCCTGACTGAGTCTGTAATATTAACATGTTTCAAGCAGACCACCATAGTCCCTGTACCCAAGAACACCAAGATAACCTGCCTAAATGACTACCGACCCGTAGCACTCACGTCTGTAGCCATGAAGTGCTTTGAAAGGCTGGTCATGGCACACATCAACACCATTATCTCAGAAACCCTAGACCCACTCCAATTTGCATACCGCCCCAACAGATCCAAAGATGATGCAATCTCGATTGCGCTCCACACTGCCCTTTCACACCTGGACAAAAGGAACACCTATGTGAGAATGCTATTAATTGACTACAGCTCAGCGTTCAACACCATAGTGCCCTCAAAGCTCATCACTAAGCTAGGGACCCTGGGACTAAACACCTCCCTCTGCAACTGGATCCTGGACTTCCTGACGGGCCACCCCCAGGTGGTACGGGTAGGTAACAAGACATCCGCCACGCTGATCCTCAACACGGGGGCCCCTCAGGGGTGCGTGCTCAGTCCCCTCCTGTACTCCCTGTTCACTCATGACTGCATGGCCAGGCACGACTCCAACACCATCATTAAGTTTGCCGATGACAACAGTAGTAGGCCTGATCACCGGTAACGACGAGACAGCCTATAGGGAGGGGGTCAGAGACCTGGCCGTGTGGTGCCAGGACAACAACCTCTCCCTCAACGTGATCAAGACAAAGGAGATGATTGTGGACTACAGGAAAAAGAAGAGGACCGAGCATGCACCCATTCTCAGACGGGCTGTAGTGGAGCAGGTTGAGAGCTTCAAGTTCCTTGGTGTCCACATCACCAACAAACTAACATGGTCCAAACACACCAAGACAGTTGTGAAGAGGGCACAACAAAACCTATTCCCCCTAAGGAGACTGAAAAGATTTGGCATGCGTCCTCAGATCCTGAAAAGGTTCTACAGCTGCACCATCGATAGCATCCTGACTGGTTGCATCACTGCCTGGTATGGCAACTGCTCGGCCTCCTACCGCAAGGCACTACAGAGGGTAGTGCGTTCGGCCCAGTACATCACTGGGGCCAAGCTTCCTGCCATCCAGGACCTCTATACCAGGCGGTGTCAGAGGAAGCCCCTAAAAATTGTCAAAGATTCCAGCCACCCTAGTCATAGACTGTTCTCTCTGCTACCGCACGGCAAGCGGTACCGGAGCACCAAGTCTAGGTCTAAGAGGCTTCTAAACAGCTTCTACCCCCAAGCTATAAGACTCCTGAACATCTAATCAAATTGCTACCCAGACTATTTGCATTCCAGTCCATTGTCTGTGTTCTTTTGCCCATCTTAATCTTTTCTTTTTATTGGCCAGTCTGAGATATGGCTTTTTCTTTGCAACTCTGCCTAGAAGGTCAGCATCCCGGAGTCGCCTCTTCACTGTTGATGTTGAGACTGGTGTTTTGCGGTTACTATTTAATGAAGGTGCCAGTTGAGGACCTGTGAGGCGTCTGCTTCTCAAACTAGACACTAATGTATTTGTCCTCTTGCTCAGTTGTGCACCGGGGCCCCCCACTCCTCTTTCTATTCTGGTTAGAGACAGTTTGCGCTGTTCTGTGAAGGGAGTAGTACACAGCATTGTATGAGATCTTCAGTTTCTTGGCAATTTCTCGCATGGAATAGCCTTCATTTCTCAGAACAAGAATAGACTGACGAGTTTCAGAAGAAAGTTATTTGTTTCTGGCCATTTTGAGCCTGTAATCGAACCCACAATTGCTGATGCTCCAGATACTCAACTAGTCTCAAGAAGGCCAGTTTTATTGCGTCTTTAATCAGCACAACAGTTTTC